GTAACGCTTCCTTCCTCTTCCTGCATTGAACTGCGTACGTGACCTTGTGCAGTGAAAAAGGACACCAGCGGCTCAGCGCTCAACAGACTAGCTAGACTGTGTAGCAAAAAAGCAGGCTAGCTCAGCTCTGCGGGCAATGCTTGTTGTTTAGCTGTGCGTTGTTCCCTGCCTGCCTCATGTTCGTTGCTCTCTGCAGTCAGTGTGTAGTGCTTCTGCATGCACACGCTAGCTAGCTGGAAAGGGTATTATTTGCATGGATAGTCCTTGCAGTTTAACTGGTGACTGTGTGTGCTTTATTCCTCCATTGGACAGAATTCATTCTGCATTGCTCTCTCTGTACCTCCTTCCCTTTGAACTGGCATCGGAAACAACTTCCAGCAGAGGGGAAAGGAGTTCGTAACGCGAGGATTTATATATTTGTTGTGTGCTTTTGATTGTGGTCGGAGGGAATTGTGAAGAACTGATCGTCGTAAATAGTAATGGAAGAACGGCATGGTTAATGGTTGCAGCATGCAGCAATGTTCAGTCATGCCTATGATAGTTGTGAGTATCTCGGCCTCATTATCACATTATATGTCGTAATTGTCATAATATGTATCAGTTTTATGTATTGATGGTGGGTCCCAATGCTATGGGCCTTCAACAAGATGACATGTGTCGCACAAGGCTATTCATTGTCGCATTGAATTGTATAGTTATTATTAACTATTGAGACAAAAGGATGGTTTATGGATTTTAGTAGTGTCTGACAATGCCTGTCATGTTGTGTTTTCTAATGCCAAGAGCTTATTACATGAATAAATACCCTCCATTACAGTAGGGGTGGGGCCATTGACAACAAAGAGTCAGGGGCTTTTATAGATCACTTCAAGGGTAACACAAAGTGGGATTAGCGATGTCTGCCTCGCGCAGGGATCATGTCTGCCCGAGACTGATGAGGGCACTATACAGTGATGAATAGGACAGGGGTGATTAAAAGCAAATCTGCTGCTGTGTGTTGAAGCATGTGCCTTTCCAGTCTACCAGGCTAGGCTCAAGTCTGTGTTTGTTGTGTAGTGAGTGTGTATTGTGTGTGTGTGTGAGAGAGAGGGAGAGAGCAGAGATGGTGAAAGGCTTAGGTGTAGTGCGATAGTAAGGCAATTGGGTCGCTACCCTCTTTTTTCCTCTATATTACAAGTCTGGCAGTGGAGTGAAGGAAGTACCTAATAAATGGTTTATTCCTTTTCTCCCTGCTATGTGCTGGAGTCGTTGCTTCGCAATCAATGGCAGGCTCGAGCCAGAAGATAGGCTTTCTTTAGTCACACTCTTTCTATCTCTCTATGCTTGCTCGCCCAGGAGTGCCTCATTTTGGCTCCATCCATTCTCTCTGCCTGTGATTCAATTTTAATGTGGTCAGGATATTTGTTGCCCCTTTCTCTCGCCTTTTTTCCACGCAATTGGGAGTGATGAATGACATCTTGCTGAGTGAAATCATTTGTTAGTGACTCCAGTTTTTTACCCTCTCTCTCGTCACTGAGTACAAGAGATGGAAACAATAAGATACATGATGATGTGTGTGGTCATGAATATGCTACAAGCATTTAACCAGATGCTTGTTGCCAGCTTGTAGACCAGTGGATATGGTTAATATATGTGGTGAGTGATGACGATTATTATGTTTTGGTTTTGCCTCTAAAACTTTTTTTGGTTTTGTTCAGCTTCAAGCAACCTTTTCTTATCTTCCTTAGTGGTGTAAAAACATTCATGCAGTCTTTATTATGCCATAATCGATACTTAGAATTATATTATTTGTAGGGTCGCAGTAAAAGCCAAGGTTTATTACCCCTCCCCCCACTGTTCAAACAATGAAATTGTCTAGGATATAGATAATTTGTCTGTAGTGTGATGACTCTGTACACCATCACTAAATCTAATTTCCCTAGGCCCGGATTCTCAAAGGTCAAGTGGGGGTCAAAGGGCAGACTAGTCATTGTTGGGCTGTGATAAACATTTCCTTTTCGAGGCATGCTAAGGAACAAAGGAATCCATTGCCTAGGGGTGGGTAGGAGGAGGGTGGATGGGGTTTCCTTCGACCAAGTTAAAGAGAAGGTCGGGTTAGAACTGGCAAAGGTGCGAAATAGCTTGTGAGCTTCCTCCTTCCTGTGATTTCAGTTAGGAGATTAGTAAAGACGAAATTGCCCCCCTGTAAGATGATTCATGCAAAAAAAAAGTTCTTATATTGCTTGCTTGTGCACACGCAACAACTTATTGAGTGTCCTGTGATAGCTTTACTGTCAGTAGGATACTCTCTAACAGATAACCTATTTGTAATTGTCATTCAGTGAATGCACCTGCCCACTTACTCTCAGATTTCTTCGGCACAACGCCAGGATTACATTAATACAGAAAGGAACTAGAAAGAAGGGTACCCATAGGCAAGGGTCAAGTTAGAAATGAATGAGAATGTAGTTAGTTAAAAAAGTGTACAATGCCCACCCAATCATTTTCAGCTATTCTGTAAAGAGGGTGCCATAATTTTATGGCATGGAAGGGGGGGGGGTGTCACAAATGCTGTTTGGTTTTTAGCGTTTGTACAGTATTGAAGTACTTAAATAAAACAAATTAAAATTATAATATAAACCTTTGTATTTTTGAAACTTTAGTGTGGGATATTAGGGAATATTTTCAAATAGCTGCAAAGAATTTAGGAGTTCAGGAATGGGTGGTGGAGTAAAATTAGAATGTGTGAATAATGTAAATTGTATCATGTGAAATAGGGTAAGAAATGGGGTCTTATGCCGTCTTATAGATGTACTTTAGTGGTCACATTAAAGGGATATCTAATTCCCCAAGGCGATTAACTCTGTTGATATTTTGATCTCTTTTCTGTCTGTTCTGTTACCTTTGATGGGGGGATTAGTGCGGTATTAGTGCTAATCTACCTGTATGACTTTGAGGTGGATTAGCAAAGAGTACTTAGTATCAAGTCCAGTCTTGTCCACCAACATTTCTCAAGGTGACCAACTGACCATGTCCGTGTATGTTGGTCCACAGCTGTAACAGGGCTGCTTTGATTTAAATCAATGAAAATTGTAGTCAATTCATTAGGGGATTAAATATAATTGATTTGTGTGACAGTCCTGTCTTGTTTAAAGGGGCACATGTCTCCCCTGTTGTTTTATGAGAACCAGAAAAAAGTGTGATGACTTATATTTGTAAAGTAAGTCAATGCATTGTTGTTTAATTTCCTTCTGCCTCTCAACAGCAGATACTTTATAAGAAGGACATAAAACTCATTTCTGTTTGATCATGGAGTGTGTGTTGTTATGACCATCTGCATTAAAAACATGGGAGCCTACTTCTGTACCTTGTATGTAGGTTAATACTGTGTGATTAACTTGTCATTCCATTCCATTACCGAACGCATTAAATAGTAAAATGATGAATGGGTGCGTGTTGATGCCAGCCGATCTTACCACTACCAGCAGGAAAAAAAAGAAAGATACACCATTCGTGTTTAGATTATGTTTTTTTCCTTCTTTTCTCAATGACCTGTGGGTGGGGAAATGGATTATCTTTTTTTTCAAGGGAAGGGCATTGGAGAGTGGCCTTTTGTTACCTGATATGCTCACACAACCATGAAGGTATTAACAGTGAGTGCTTGAGTCAACCAACGTATACGGTAATCTATTCCCTGACTCACACACACACTGGTTGGTTGGTTGTGAGCTTCTGAGGTGATCCCTTACACATGTACCGCTACCATGCATGAGTTGCCTTTCAATAGGAAGATACTATCTCACTTGTCTGGCTGTCCTCCAAGTGATGGAAAAACACTCTGAAGGGATTTCAAAGTGGATTGCAATCTATTGTTTCCATTGAAATTAAAAAACACACTAGTTGAAATCAGAAGTGATGTTTAGGATGAATCATTTATTGCCCAGGTTGATGGTACTTGAGTGCAAATTGTGAGTAAGGTGAAGAAGATACATTGATTTGTACTTCGACATATGGCAGCATCACATTTCTGGTTCATGTGCCATCTATTTTTCATCTGTTTTTCTGACTTTATTTTTAAAAATAGCAGTTTGAAACTATTTAGAGATGCTATCGTGTACCTAATCATGACATCTTATTGGATATTGTTGTATTAAACATAATTTGGTCTGACTATAAAGTATAAGAGAGAGAGAGTTACTAACTGCAAAGATGCTGAGCACATGTGGCACTGGATTTAATTTTAATCTGACGTTAATGTAGGAAATTGCATAAATGAAAGCGACAGCCACTCAAAGCTTCACTGGGCAAACTTTGCTGAAAGGTCACCCACATTATGTGTTAACTGGGGAATATACTTGGGCAGTTTGCTGTGTCAACAGTGAATAGGGTTTCAGCAAACAAAGCTTGTATTGACAAGATGTAGCTTGTGGTAAATAACTCCTTGGGTATACTGTAGGGATAGGGATTTTAGAGTGAGCTGAACAATGGGATATGTGGAACATTCAACAGAGGTCCATCTCGGTTGTATGTTTAGATTAATATTTGCTACATGTTCTCCTTTCGAATTTCTCCTGTCCATATGCATTTTAACTATATTAAGCTGGATGACATCTTGAGGAGGAAAGGTGTACCGAGAATGAGAATGGTGATACAGATGTTTTGTAGGGAAAATGCCTAGGGGGAAAACAACCTCCCCCTCAAGAAAAAAATTTAATGAAAATAATTAAATATCATATATGACTGGCTGCTGTGTCATAAACAAAAACAAGATGATATCTATACCTAAATGATGACCTTCATTATTTTACATTACAGTATGTTTAATGTGTTTAGATTATAGATGAAAGCTTTCTGAATTTCTGAAGAAAACTACCCAATTTGAAAAATAATTTATTTGGATTTGGATTTCAAATTTTCTTCAGTTCTTTGTTAATTAAGTCAGTTTTCTTGTTGGTAGGACTGAATGATTGTTTGTTCAATGATCCTAATGTTTTCTTTATTTTTTCACTTTCTCGTTGCAGTTGTGAATTCTCTTCTGAAGGGAGAAAACGTAGGAATAACAAGACGTACCAATCGAGCTACCAATAACCCAGCTGTTACTACCCAGGCTACCACTGTAAGTACATATTGATGGCCCTCTCTGCATGCCCCCCCCCCCCATACCCTCATAAATTTCAATTAATTCAATGCATTGATTTATTAGAAGCAAGGACCCATAAGTTTTGTTGATCCATGTGAAAATAAACTGCCACGTACCAATGGATGTCGAGCAATGACTTAAATAGATCACTTAAAGAAAGGCCTTTGCCTAGCAAGGCAGGAACTCCCAAACATCATGGAGAATAGAACCGAGGATGAAACCATACTTTTATTTAAGTACAAAAGTTTCGTTCATGCATAACAATGTCATTAGTACTGATAAACAGGGCATTATTAATTTTGGATTAGCTATTATCTTGTGAGAATGATCGTGATTGTGTATAGCCCAATATTCACTGTCCAGCCATATAAAGGATAGGATGTTGTGTTTGCCAACAAAATGAAAGAAACAAAAACCAAAACAAAATCAAAGCTTCTCAAAGGAACCAAAATCCTTTCGCACTTTTATTATTAGTAATCCTAAATGGAGGTCGAGGTCAAGCTTGTTTGTGACTTAAAATGAAAGGAGGGGAAAAGAGTAAATTCAATAATCCTGAAGGAAACCTGTTGCATCACATCCATTCTCCAGCTTCTATTCCCTGAATTTAATTGCCTAAACGAACAATGAGAGACGCAAGCAATATGACATGCAAGGTGCCTTTCTGTGCTTCGCTGTCACGCTTCCCTGCTGAGAGTCAAATCCTCTTATTACGGCTCTGCTTGGACTTTTCTGTGAAAAGGGCCTCAAGATTTATCAGCTTGCGCTCTCAGAATGCCATCAGGAAGATCAGTCATAAAGCTTCCCCGCTAATGTATCTTGGCCTATTTATATATATATATAGCGTGATGATGAGATAATACCCCCAAAGAGCTAGTGACATCAGAACGATATACGCACAGAATCAGACATGGGTTGAACTATAAAAGGGGATGATTTTTATCACTTGCAAATTGACACGTCTTGAAATTATCATATCTTGTGTTTGTGCGTGATGTATGCAAAGCTGGCTGCCAGAGCTACACGTACATAACATTTACATTTCAAGCTTACACTCTTCATGTACAACCCCTATGTGCAAACAGCTGTAAACCTTTTAGGTGTGTGCAGATGGAGTGATTAACCTCCAGGGTGCAGTCACTGACTTGGTTGGAATTTAAATTAGGTTGAAATTGATTGTGCCTTTGGTTATTTTAATTTAAAGTCACAGCTCCGATTGTGAGTAATCTGATTGCAAATTTTGTTTACAAACAAAGAGGTAGATCTGTATTGTATAGGGAGGGGTCGGAAGGAACGTACTAAGACTTAGGAATTTGTTCAAAATCAAATCAGAGAAAAGGCTACCATATTTCATAAAGGGAGAATAAAAAAAAATAAAAAATGCTTTCTCCACATTGATAGATTAGACTTTTTTTTTCAAAAGATGATCAGCTGATCGTAAGAAGGCTGTATTGTTAATGGCTGAACTGGCCGTCTTGCGGGTAGCCGACCGACCGTATATTCTTTACATCTGTGAAATGAGTTCTGATAGTTCATGAACCCAGAAATTATCTAGTGCGCATGTAGGTGAGTGCAGTTTGAATCTCTTGGTTTGAGCAAAAACCTGTGAGTGTATATGATGTTAACCAAAACTAGTGGAAACTTCTGAGTACTTCATGAGGAAAACACTTGCCCTCTCTGATACACTCCAGGTTTTTGCCTCTTCCTTCCAGAGTTTAAACTTTTAGAGGGATTTCTAAGGAACGGTTATCTTTATTGCTCGCTTGTGCGATGTTAATGACCAACCAAGTGGAAAAAACGAGGAGGTAGTAGTGAGAAATGAAGCTCTGTTCAGCTCCAACTCCAAAAGTGTTATTGAATATTGAATAAAAGAGCTTGTTATATAAAAATTCCATTAGAATTAGAATTTGTCATAAAAATTAGAATGTGTCATTAATTAAAATGACGTTAATCAATTGAGTAATATTGCTGGCCTTCACACTTGTTTGTAGAGTAACTAAAGGCGTGTAATCAATTTATGTTATCCAGAATTAGCGACAAACAATGACATGACTATTGAATAACGGTTGATTCAAGAAATAACTATTTATCAATGGTCATTTTTCTAAAAGATTTTCACCTCTTAATGAAGTAAATAGATAAAATTCTTACATTCTATGGGGCACAGGATTGCCCAGAAATGACAGTATCTTTAAAATTGAACAACATAGAGCATTTGATATTCTGTAGTTGAATAACATGTAATGTAGACAGTTACCCTTCAGATGAACTAAAGCATGCTATCTCCCCGTGGCTGACACCACCTATGTCCTTTAAATACCCTTCAATGTCTGTCTGCTTGAAGGTTCCTGCTTATCGTAGTGTTTACAGATCAGATAATCTTCATGTGACCAAAGTTCCAAGAACCATTAACATTAAGGCCTCGCTCGTACACATATCGCTAATCTGCTTCAAATGCCACTGCACCAAAATAGCATTAGACAAGCACAGTGCACTTCACATTTCTGTTTCTTATAACAGAGGTAAAGCCTCTTTCATATATGACACGGTTATCCGCCGGAGGAAAAATGAATAAATAAAAAATGTGCAAATGAACTGAAGAAAAAAACCACAACCCTGTTTTGCCACATATCTAATCAAGGCTTAGTCTTAAGCGAGTTGGCTTAAGGGCTTTACTATGCACTATATATTTTGCCACTCCTACAAATACAGTCCCAATTGTCATTGATTTAGGGCCTACATGTAGAATAGTTTTTATTTCGCTTAAGGTGCTCTTTTGAAGCGAAACACCAATGTTGTATGAACAAGGCCATGAGAGTGTTACCTTAGGTACATGTACTCCAGCCAACAGGATATGTGTACATGCTACTGTTATTTGTATCACTCTAGATCCTTTGAAGTAGTCTGTTGTTTATTGCTGTATCCAAATATCACATCCTCTTTCAAGTTGTCCTCTTGACCTCAAATAACTAATAATGAAACTGAAAGCTCAGTCTTCTTGAATACAGGCCAAGCATGCTTTCTTGAGTCGCTACAATCCAAAGCTTGCAGGGCGAGATTAGATTGAAAGCTTGCTTGCCAAATGCAAGAAAACTCATGGTATATAATAAGTATGATATTTAGTTACATATAAAAGAGATAGAAACTGTCATTAGTCCATAGTCTGAGTTAGGTAAGAAGGATTTGTTATTGAACTTTAAGTGTTACATTCCTGCTCTATGCGTGTGCTTGTGGTTGATTACGACTTTGTATCCTGGATTGAAGCTATTCCTGGCTTATTGGAAATTTGAACAATATAACTTGTATTTTGTGTGTTGAAAGCTAGAAGGGTGTTTAATGCTGTTACATGGGGTCAACGGCGTGATTGCTCTGAACATACGATCGGTTGTGCCTAGGAACACGGATCTTTGTTAAAATTTCAAAACCGTTTTGTTTTGATTGCTGTAGTATGTATTCAACTGTAAAACAAGTTTGATTTTGTACATATTTGGGTGTGTGTCATTAGTGTATTCAAAGAGAGGAAAAATCTCTTGACTGTGTTTTTCTCGGGGTGTATATCTGTTGCCGGTGCATTCCTTTGCGCCCTCTCTGCCGGGCACATGACGATTTATCTTCCATCTCTGTTGCTTCCCCCCCCTTCCCTCTTCCAGACAACCCACACACGTACAGCCCCACGGAGTCACAGTCCAAGCCATGCGCCTTCTGGACCCCAGCCTACAGTCGTCAGTAGCACCAGCAGTAGCAGTAGCGGAGGAGGAGGCAGCAGTAAGAAGAAAAGGAAAGACAAAGATCATGTCACCCCTGTCGTCTCTACCCCACCCGTCTCCTCCCATGAGCACCCTGAGAAAACTGACAAGATATTAGGTAAGCAACCAAGTTTCTCAATAGGCCTGTCCTCATCAGCTCGAGATTGCTAAAAAAAAAAACGCTATTGAACTATACCGATCGCAAATTATCCAGCTAAGTTGAGCTTCATCAGCCTGCATTTGCTATTAGCGGGATATTTGGTGGAGATCATCATCTCAAGATATCTTGGGCTAGTTTGCTAAATATCCCACTATTTGTCCGGTGGGTCTCCTGCGTCTCTCCTGAGACTCGTACTCTGCGCGAACGCTGAGCAAAATATCTTGAGCTGGTGAGAACGCGATTTGTAACTTCGGGCTTATTTCCCAAATCAGAAATAGCGGGCTATTTGGCAATCTCTAGCTGATGAAGACATACCTAATCATTCAAGTTCAAGGAGATAAGCTTGTGCGTGGAGGTATGCTAATATGGCATGTGCTCCTCCCTGTGCAGTTGCTCTGGGCTTTATTAGGTCACAGACATATGGTTGGGTTTATGGTTGCAATTGGGTTTCCAGTTAGGTTTAAGGTTAGTGTAAGGGTCAAGTATTTTGATGGGGGGGGGGGGGGGAGGGGGGTTGGTTAGTATAGGATATTGTTGCCAGAGTATGCCTTCCTGGTCTTCATTGACATTCAGCGTTTGACCCACTAGAAGTCAACTTACTACATCGGATATGAAATGGGCATCATAATACAGGAAACATGTCACGATTGCTGTAGGATAAGTCCGGAGCATTTTATCATTTCCAATCCCATACATTACCAAGAATAGCGCAATTGGACAGGAAATAACACCACAAGTGTCATTTCCTTCATAGTTGGTTAGTTGTAATCTTAGTAGGGATGTATATCATAAGGTAGGTCTATGGGTTTATAATAGGATGCTTGTAACTTAGTAGTACTAGACTAAAATACCTTGGACCTGCCAATACTATATTCGTTCTAAATTGCAAAAGAAAGATTTTCCCGCTCAGTTCTATCTTCTGGAATGAGATATTGTGTAAACCGAGACAGGATCTTGCGGATTAACCACTTGAGGTTGTCCTTTGTGCTAAATATAAACAAAAATCTGTAACACTTCAAATTGGCAAACCAACAGAAACTGGGTCGGAAAAAAAAGCATGCTGCTTGCGCAACACATGAAACATGATTGATACGCATGTTTACACAGGTTTTGTTTAGCATGAATAGCCTACTCATCATGGCTCATTCACCTCAAAGAAAAGTCTCTGACCCCCCCTCACCACCACTATTCAATGACTCATGGTTCCATGTAGACATTGTAATGTTCAGATGATGACAAAGATCAATCGGGACGACGCAAGGCTCCTTACATTTATGTCACATTCCTACAGTCCTTGACAATAATAATATAACTACGCTGGCCTTGCTGAGTGATTACAGATCATGGTTGATGATTTCAGATAGAGAAGTGTGAGAGAAACGGGAATGTTTTATCACCAAACCAAGTTTAATGGGCCGCAGTACACAGACTTGATGAATTATTACCACGGCAATCAGACATGCCATGAATGTGGAATTTTGAAGTAGTCAAAACATCCTTGCCCTATATATGTGTGAAGATCTTTCTCACACAACATCTATTCTGTTTGTCCTTCCTTGTGAAGTCTCACCGTAAACAGACATGTGTTGTGGCATCGTTATTGATTAATCACTTGAAAAATCAATATAGCATAGGATTCAGAAATATTGTTGCAAGTATCCTTGTCTGCAAATAGCAGTTACTGAATCTGTTACGCCAGATTATTTATGTAGACATTGTTTGTTTCTACTATTTTATATGTAACTCAAGTAGGAAATATAATCTTGTTATGATCTTTTATGCCTATTTTTTGTTGCAAGTGGGATACAAGATTCAACTCAAGAGTGTTTTTAAGCTCTTTGCTAATAATAGAACAGCCAGTCGATGTAATTTATGTGTCTATAAATAATGCAGGCCTAATTTATCTTGTCTGAGATATATTTCTTTGTCAAGGAACTCTATTTTTATCTCATAATTTAGAACACAAAGGAAGGATTATATTATTACAGATCTTTTAGTTTATGAAAGACTTCTGCAGATTGATTAGAAAATATTACTTGTACCTTGTACCCAATCAAATATGAAGGGCCTGCATCATAGCGAGTATGGCTACTTGTATATTGTCAAGCTTGTAAATCAAAAGTGGTTTGTTTTAGGGGATAGACTGGGTGGGAGATAGATAAATGAATCCATGGCTGTTGATACAAAAGTGAAGCAAGTGATTGATTTATTTTTATAATAATAAAACTTGCAGTAGGATATGGAACAGGTACAGTTTATTACACCCAGCAGCCATTTGCGCACATAAATAGAGGACATTAAATTGTATCAGGTGCAAAGGAAACTGCTTGGAGCTTGGCTTTCAACAGCATAGTTTTGTAGAGCAGAGCATAAGTGTCAGACCGGAGCAATTGGAGCATTAATCTTGTTGTCTGAAGACAACTGTCCCCATGTTTACACCTCAACTAAAGCTGACCTTTTGCTGCGATGCCTCCCTCTGAAAGCCCATCAGGAAAGCAGTTGTTATTCATTCTCGAGTGCACTCCAAACCCCAAACCTAATGGAGTTAGTCACCGCTAACACTTGCGTAGTCTATCCACTAGACACTTGAGCCAGCCAATCAGGCATGCCTTGTCATTGGTTTGCAGGAGGGATGACTACCTCAATGGCTACCTCAGACTATGAAATGTACATGTTGAGGCTGTGAAATGTACATGTTGGCATGTTATTCCAAACAAAAAGAACATGGTGATACATTGTGGTCTTTGTGGATAGCATGAAGGGGATAAAAACATTGGATGCTTCATGGAAATCTATAATAGTGGCGAGGTGGTCATTTTTGGGGAGGTTGGGGGGGGGGGGGTAGTTTGTGAACCCATGCTGCTACATGTATGAAGGTCTTGAAACCTTGGAGGGGAAAAAACAGTTGGAAAAGTGCCAAAATCAAGAGGGGAAGTACTTATTTATATGATTTAGCATAGTTTGTGCCAGGAAAGGATGTTTAGAAGGAAACATGAAGAGAAATAATACTAGTGAAACCAAAACAAGATTGTCAATGTACTTTTACTGCTCTGTGGTCCAAGGGAAAATTGTGTGATACAAGCTATATTTATTGATTAAAGTGTAGCGTCAGTCAAATATTTTCTGATTTCTCCCTTTATCCTTGTAACATGGAGTTTTAAAGAAAAGAGCCATTTACCAAGGCAAAGTATGTGAAATATATACTGCCTATCTCTTTAACATGAGAAAAGAGAAATTGGCAGTTTTTCAAAATATTTTCACAAACTGGATTTGACTTCACAACAAAAGATGTATTATTGTTAAATAATGCATTTTAATTTTGATTTTGCTGGGGGTGATGTGTTTGTGATTGTACTATGTACAGCGCCATGAGCGTCAGAGCCTGGCGGATACCGGCGCTATATAAATTTTCATATTATTATTAAGATATATTCATAGGATTATTCTTCGCATTGATTATTCATATGTAATCTTCTTCTATAAACAGTGGAAAAAGAAAGATACACCTTGTGTTTTTATTTTGCAGTGATTAAATATATGTTATCACTGTTCTGTCCTCCAAACTTTAAATCAAACATGCAAATAACAAGTGAAAAAAATGAAATGAGAAAATTGAGTGAAGCAGTATTAAAGGTAATACAAAGTTTTGGTATGGGGTTGTGAATTTGGTTCAAATGAATATATTGGAAGCATATACGATCCTACAATATCCAGTGATCGTTGTCGCTGTCGAAATCGACTCTAAATTATGAAATTGTAAATAATAAACATTTTAAGTTGAATAGCTCCCTCTCAAGGTCAAGATATTAATTAAGCTATAAAACAATGCTTTTTGACTAAAATCGACCGATTAGCTATTGTCGTTCGGAAATTATATACCACACCTACATACTCTGAGATTTTCATGGTCGCAGCTACCATTGTACGGGCGTAGGAGCTATTTGAAATCTATCAAAATTTACCAGGAGCACCGGTAAATCTTTATATTAAATTTTTCTCGAAAGCAGAAGTGTTTTAGGGGCTAAAATTTCTGGTGTTTTTAATACATCCACAGGGGCATCCAAATTAGTGCTGTAACATCACGGATATCTCCAATTCCGTTTAACCGCCTGTCAAAACCGGACGGTTTTCGGTTAAACGATTTATTTAAAAAAAAAAAAAAAAAAAAAAAAAAAAAAAAAAAAAAAAAAAAAAAAAAAATTGTGGCCGTGTGAAAAAGCAGGAAGGTGATTTAACTGAAGGCGCCGATTTGTGCCGATAAGATCATTAAAGTAAATTAAAAACAGTAGAGGACCTAGGATAGAACCTTGTGGTACACCATGTGTTAAACTTGGATGAATATATATTGAGATCTATTACAAAGATTACTTTCAAACCAAGATGACAGACAAATTGGAGTGTTGTTCTAGTTTCCAAGTGGTAAGTCATCACACCAATTACTGAGCTGGGAGACATTGCCAGGCATAGTGCCAGGTGGAGGGGCATAAATGGAAACTTTAAAAAAATTAAAAAAAATATTAAAAAAAAAAAAAAAATTATTAAAAAAAAAAAAAAAAAAAAAAAAAAAAACGGGAAAACGAAACCGTCCAATTGAAAACGGAATCCGCCATCGGCGGTCGGATACCGGACGGTTAAACGTTTGACTACAGCACTAATCCAAATATATCAAAATTGTACAGAATCACTATCCACCCATTTTTCAAAATTTCCCAAAACTTTGTAATACCTTTAATGAAAGCAAAAGAAATGGGAGGATGACACAGCAAAACCTTGGCGGTTATTTATAACGGCGTAAAGTGTGATACACTCACATTCTGTCCTTTGTTGCGTACAGTTGCCATAAGTGTACATGTAAGAAAACTGTCCTTTTTTGCGACGACTTACCTTACTGTGCCATTTCTGAACAAGCCTTTAGACAGTTCTTTACAATTAGTTTGTGAGTAGAGGGATAGGGGTCAAACACTAGGGGTGTCAAGGTACTGTGATTAGCCATGTCTGCTGGTGATAGATCCTCTCTAAGTGGATAATTTCACTGATTACAAATTTCCTGTGCTTATGACTAAAATGCTGAAACTTGCCCATTCGTCAAGATCCTTCTTTCGAGGCTTGATAAAGTTTTTTAGCATGTCTTGCTTTGTTCTGGTGCAGTCTTCTAGAAGTAGATAGCTTGAGGTATTGGTTATTTGAGATGTTCTGTTTGGTATAATATTCCCCCTCCCCCGTGAATTGATGTACTCATTTGACAAATTGTAATATGTATCATGGTATAGTCATGTGGAAAAAGAAAGAAAAAAAGGTTGAGACATTGATGATTGTCTTTCTAAGGGAAGAAATAGAAATGACTGAAATGATAGATATGAATGATTAATCACAGTCATGACGGTTTCCTATTCTTTATGTCAAAATTAGATTTTTACCCAGGCAATGACTGAGCATTTCAGTTGTTCATTGTATGAATCCTCCTATTATTGAACGGTCATTAGTAATTACTAGCTGAATGTCGGACTTAATTTGTGGTAACTGCATGAACCTCTGCGGGTTATGTGTTCAAGTGCTGGGTGGTTTTGCTATTACTTGCGCTGCTTGGTTTTGGCGGCTCAAACCACATTGCGGCTTGATGATTCGTAGGCCTGGCGTCATCCTGTTTCCTCTTCCAATGAGATATGTCATCAGTCTGAAATCACGTTAGATTCCCCCTATTCAGCTATACTGTACTGAAGCCTTTTGAACAGGTTGTACGTGGTGCGACTGTCTAAATGATATGCCTCTTCAATGTTTCTTTAACCTTTGCTTTTCCTGCAGAAAAAGCTGGCAAGGAGAAAGCCCCAGGATCCTGCAGCAGCGCACCCAAGAGCAAGAAGGAGAGGAAGAGAAAGTCGGATGAGCAGGTTGAAGAGGAAAAGAAATTGCCAACTTCTACATCTGAGAAGCGACCCAGGTCAAACTCTGGGTTTTCTGAATCGCCCCAGGAACGCGTCGTCGAGCTGAGCAAAGGTGAAACCCCTGACCCCAGTATTCCCAGTGGTGAAAGCGTTGTTCATAGCGTGTCTGTATCAAAACCGGATAAAGTGTGGCAATCAAACACTCCTTCTGTGCAAGTGGAACCAAAACCAAGAGAGGATAGTGATGTGAGTTGTAACTCCAGTAAGGCTAAGAGTAAGGCAGTCAATAAACAGGAACAAGCCATTAGCAGTGACAAAAAGGACTCGCGATCCTCGACTCCAGACTCTGTCAAGAAACATAAGCAGAAAGCAAAGAAGGAACACAGACCCAAGCAACCTGTAAGCATCGAGGTTACTCCTCAAGAAACACCTGCAAGTGATCAAAGCAGGTTGAGTGTGTCTACTAGTGTGACAACAACCGTCTCGAAACAAATGGTTGAGTCCAAAACTGAAGGAACCGGGCCTGCTGGTTTAAGGCCACCCATTCCTGAAAAGGAAGCAAAGAGGAAGAACTTTGGAGAGTTTCCTCCGCCTGATCTGAGGGAACAGTCACTCACTTCAGCCATCGCTGGTATCATTGCAAGAGAATTGAATAGAGACTCGGATATTTCCTCAAGTGTCAGTAAGAAAACGGAACCCAATTTAGTCCCGTCAGATATTTCCACGAAGGAAATACAACCATCTAGCATTAGTGATAGACCAGTGAACAGTGGACCAATAACCACAACCTCATATACAAGTAGTAACCTGCAGAGTGTGTTACCGAACAGGACGATAGCTACGTCAAACTCTGTACCTGTGATATCGCATGGGAATGGCGGATTGACGGGACTACCAGGCATGGATAGAAACTCCTATGGAATTACAAGTGAAAATACAAAGTTATCAAACTCTACAAATATTTCATCCAAGTCATTTGCTCCACAACCCGTGCTTGGGGAAAGGATTGCGAGACCTGAAGTTAGAGATCCACGCAGAGAAACAAGTAGTTCAACAAGTGAGAAGAGTGAGGGTGGGAAGTCTTCTTCTTCCACAGATAGGAGCAGAGATTCGGATCAGTCCAGGTCGGACAAAAAGTCCACTCTGGTCGCTGACCTAAGGACTCCAGTACAGGTTTATCGCGACCCCAATTTGTCCGACTCGGAAGTGATTCATGTGGATTCAATTCAGCACCATCCAACTCACTCTCACTTGATGAAGATTGGGGATCACCATTCCCCATCTCCAGGACAACACCCCATCACTCCATCCCCACACTCTGCACTCAGGAATCCCAGTGCCACCGCAGCCCCCGCCCCCGGGGCCAACCCCAGCGCCATCGTTGCCTCTCCGAGTGCCTTCGTTGCTGCGCCCTCAGTCGGTCACATTCCAGCCCACCATCCCATCCAACACCAACACCACGCCATGTTTCCTGCGCATCTCCAACTCTATCAGCAGCACCCGCTGGCCTCTCAGCTGGTCATGCCTGGGCACTTCCCGCAGCACCACCTGGCAGGTCTGGATCGGCACTCGCTGCAGCAGCTTCATGCTCAGGGCATCGTGGGGCTGGTCCAGCCTGATCCTATGGCTAGGATACGTATGGGTGGTGGTTTACATGGGATTGTGTCTCCACAACATGCTGCTACTGCTCTGCAGGGAAGCATGCACCCTGGTCTGACACAAGCTCAACTGCAGGCACTACATCAGCAGCATGGCTTACCACTGCCACCAAGCTGGGTTATACAGCATGAAGAACTGGAAAGGGCTCATCTACAGCAACAGGTTGGTTCATTAGAATGTGTTTTTTGCTACTGTGTGCATGTTCGACATAAGTACACCTCTCTTCACTCACTGCTATATTACATGCTATACTATTTATACACTAACTAAATTATAAAAAATTACTATTCTCCCATATATTAAGTTGACTAACCCTGTGCCTACCACTGTAGATGAGGCTGGAGGCATTATTTCTGATGAACCTCTATTTGGATTTACCAAACTGGCTTCTAAACCACAGAATATGTGATTTTAACTATGCCTGCCATATTTGTTTTCTTCAGAAGAAGTCTATCTGTATTTAGAATCTGATTAAATAAAAATTCCTTTCATGATTGTTTTCAAATTTCAACTACACTTAGTTTTATCAGTAATCATAATGATTATTATACAATTCTTTCCTACATCAGAAATCCCAGGCTGCTGCTGTAGCTGCAGCTGAGAAGGGTCCATCTTCCTTACCACCCCACCATCCATCAGCTCCAACTAGTCAGGATCGACGGATCGACCCTGCCGCTCAAGCCGCTCTCAGCGCCGACAAGAAACCCCATCCTTCCCATCTCCCTGGAGGCGGTGTCCACCCTCAGCACGCGCAGCACCATGTGCACCCTCAGCTGATCGCTGTCAGCCAGGCCGCCCAGGCTGCCCAGGGTCTGGTAGGGCATGAGTCAGCAGCAGCAGCCGCGGTCGCTGCTCACCATGCAGCCAGGCATCAGTACCAGGAACTGGATGCCCAGGTTAGTAATCACCCACCAGGGAACCAACCTTGGTCTTGACACCTACCTACCCAATCACTCTATTATTAGCACTGGATATTGGGACAGGTCAAGTTTATAATTGGATGCAATTGGGGGTCAGTTAAAGCCCCACTGCACTACTTATAACTACTTGCACCCTCTATATAGCAAACAATGTTAATCGGTGACCAATTGGTCCCCGTGATCCTCTTTTTCTTATGTTAATTGAGAGCTGATTTGATGAGATTAGCACCTGTCAAGTGACCTTGCATGGTGGTCTAATCACTCCTTTACACTAGTACAGATGGGCTTTAACAGTCTTCAAGATCACTCTTGGGTGTGTCTTGCGTTGCCAGGTCCTATGTGAGTGCAATGCCCCCATGAATAGTGGAATACCTCGGTATACTGTAATGAGTAAATATGTCAACCTTTAAAACATTCATTTGAAATTATTATGAATTTGATTAATTATGAATGGCAACCTTGCTGTGTGACTTGGTATATTGTAACCTATAGGTTATGTCACCTTGTAATTTGTCTGTTTGATGCCAGAAGGGCAGTAACTCTGTGTAAAAGGATGAGTTAATTCCCATCTGGCTCTAAACAGACAACTTCTTCCTAGCTTTGATCATATTATCCTCTAAAATGTATGTCACAAACAGGATGTGCATGTAAACAAATTCAAGGCCTGTAAACTCTTATAAACCATGTTACCACAATGTTTTCTCTTTGAATGTTCAGGGATGCCAATTTTCAGGCAATAGCGAGTTATTTTCAGACCATACTTAAGGCTTTTTTGTGTACAAAATAGCTCATTCTATGTGATTTTCAGGCCCTCTGATCAATTCTTACTGGCGTCCCTGAATGTTGTAAGTGTTGTTGTGACTCTACTTAACCTTGTGCATACACTAATAACTTTGACACTTGCCCTTGTATTCATTCAGGCGGCTGTTCAGCAGCACTTCCAGGAGTCACTGCGGAAGCTGCAGGTGCCCTTCTCCTTCTCCACACCTACAGCAGGTGGAAGTATCACAGAAGGTACAGCTCTTCCCAAGAACAAGGGACAGCTTCCTAAGGAGGTCGTGGACAGACAGGTGAGTAAACAAGCAGAACTACCATTCTTATCAGTGAAAGAATATCATCTCCTAGAGTTGGCCAGACCAAACTATATAGATGCTTGTTTTTCTGGCTTCCGGCTTTTTGCCTTGTCACTTCTGTGTTTCAGTCTTTCAGTCTTTTTACACTTTAAACTACATAATGTAGGGGGCTTTTAAGATGTGTGAGTCAGATTCCTTTCACTTCTTTCAAGGGATACAGTTACACCTGAAGATTTGAAAGAAATGTAATGCGTGTTCTCTTTTATTTGGAACAAATATCTTGGGTGGGCATCCAAGTAGCGGACGGATGCTCCCATCAAGACAAGCCATTGAAATAGGCAAAATTGGTAGTGATGATAGGTGCGTGCATGTTTCATATAATGTGTTTATGATTTGTAGATGAGGGAGCTAATGTTTGAAAGATCCAGTTAGATTTGTATTTAACGGTACCTTTGTCCATCATTTACAGCACAAAGAGAGACAAGAGCTTGAGGAAAGGTTGAGGAGGGAGAGGGAGGAGAAAGAACTTGAATGGCAAAGAATACAAAGAGAAAAGGAGCGCAAGCACCAAGATTCTGATCCTAGATTAAGGGTAAGTAGGACAAACTATAAATAGATAAATACAAACTTTGAATACTTTGCAATGGCTACGTGTTTATTAGAGATTCCCTGATTATTTGGCAAGGGCACCGTTAGGCAGAGAATATAGGCACATTTCTTTTGTATTGCACCATGTTACTTTATTATTATTTTGTAGAAGGCACGCTTAAAGATAAAGACCAGTTATGGTCGTGCGATTGCATTGTGAAAGAAACGTTGTTGAATCGATCAGAAAAGGTTGATCATCTAGCATATAAGTATTGGTGTGTACTGCAAGGTTCTGGAATCATCAAAATGATAAGAAATATGGCCCAGTCTTCGTAAAGTTACAAGCACTGTACACAGAAAGATATATATGGGACTACGCACACATGGGCCAATAGATAAACTAATTTACCAAATATATCAATTAGTAGGTGGTTTCCTGGCAAAATTTTTATCATGTATTAGTCAAAACATATTCTTTCACATGATTGGTAATAAGAGCTTCCATTTCATTTTTTCAAATTGGGGCTTTTCCAATACTGGTCTATACCTTTAAGTGGGTCAAGTTGAAATAAAACATTAGCAAATCATATTCAATTACGTAATTGGGTGTCACTTGAATGGACATGCATAATTATTTGTGGATGTTGCAGGATGGAATAAGTGATCAATATTGAAAGCAGTTACATTGTGAACAAGGAAGTGCTTCCTAGATAGTGATGACCAGTTTTGACGCTCTACACAGTCACTTCAAATGTTATCAGATTTCACTTAATTCTCAGTGGCATATTGATAAGTGAGACATTCTTTTACTTAAATAGTTAAATGCCCACAAAGAGGCTCTCCAGCAATACAGGATCCTGTGGTGTCATAAATTTACTTCTGCTCGCTGGATCACAAGCCAAACGGTGAAAATGTCAAGGCGACTTACTTAGTCAGACACTTATAAACTTCTCCATGTTCTAATTGTGACTTCCTTTAGCCATTAACACTGACTTACAGGGGCGACTGCATGTAAGAAGGAAGGGGCAACAGTTTTTTTGTCCCTGATATGTGTCTTGACCTTAACCTTTTTGATTAACCGGCCTGTTCAAGTGTTGAAATTCAATGATTAAGCCTTCATGTTGGCTATAACTAAATTTGAGTAATCCTCAAACACCAACACCCCCCCCCCCAAAAAAAAGGGGGGGGGGTAGTATTTGCTTTTACATGTTCATGATATCATTTAGACCTTTCAGAGAGTAATGTGTATCAATCAAGCGAGAGGATTGTGAGAAATGACTGGAGTGTTGCATCAAAACAGAATATCTTTTCAAACATTGCTACTTTGATTGGCAGTTCAAATGGTACTTGAATTTTTATTAAGATGTTACTTGAAAAACAATTGTCAGCACTCAGCAATGAGGGAAATTGTCATGATTTTTTTTAAATTATTTCATCAGCTACGTGGCACAATTACCTTTTGAAGATTTTATGTTGTAAAACAATACTTTTTTCCAATTCACGGTGTTGATCATTTTCATTTGGAGAAATAGAAAATTATATATTTATTTTCAAGGAAGCTGAGAAGGCATTTCTCTTCTAACAGACGCTTGTAGATATTCTGAGCAGGAAGATTAATTTGATCCTGTTTTTGCTTTTTCCTTTTCAGTTTCCTGGTGTGGAGAGCGAGAGTGTATACAAACATCCTGTCTCAGAGGGCAAACATCCCTATGACGATCCGCACTACAGGCAGTCACTAGCACATGCAGGACTTGTGCGATATCAGGACGAATTTGTCAACAAATACCCCATGGAAGTCAAACAAGAGCCCAAAATTAAACTTGAAAGGACAGACCTGAATGCAAGGACTCATGACGGGCAGGGGTTCAAGACGTATCAGTCGTCGGTGAGATCGGACGCACACACCACGTACTACAATACCATGTCTATGAAATCAGAGGAACCTAGAGCAGGTGTGCCTGTGAGGACAGAGCAGAATAGGCAGATGGCGTCGGCATCGGCTTACAAGCCTAAACCTGATAATTTGGTAGGGTATCAGCCATTCCTGCACACGATCTCCAGTCATGGTGGGGAGAAAGGGGACATGTTCAACAAACATAATGAGGAATATAAGATGGCTGCTAATGCTGCAGCGATGCAGGGGGCCAGGAGGATCATTCCAACTCCTCCACCTCTGATCAAGAGAGAACCAGATAGGTCGGAGATGGCATTGCATTCTAGCGTGATTCAAGCATCCAGGAGTGAGCGAAGACCTGAGATGATGCATCATTCTGCAGGAGTGTTTACTGCAGCGGGCTCCAATCATGATATCCATCTCACGCAGGCGAGCAAGCATGTTGCGTTATCAGATAGCAGAACAAATAATGATGTATCCCATTCAGTACCGGTCATCAAGCATACGATAGGCACTCCACCTCCCTTGCATAGCTCAGCCCAGCAGACCACTGCAAGTCAGTTGGTGAGACAGTCTCACATACCCCCGCAGTCCCCTCTCAAAGTGGCAACTCCCCAGCAGCTCTCAGCGGCTGTACTTCAACTTGGTTCCCATTCTGTCAGCAGTACTACCACAACCACCATGGGAGTGTATGCCCATCAGGTGTACTCAACTGCCCAAACAACTACAGCCACAAGCTCTAGCTCACTCCTCATGTCAGCGCTTCGTCCTCAAGACATGACGCGAGTGAGTGAAGCGATGGATGTTGATCAAGGTACTATGAAGCGCAAGCCCAGTCACACGGCTGCAGTGTTCCACAAGAAGAGACCTAAAACGAAGGATGATGTGCACAGTGATAGTGGGAACTCTGAGAAAAAGGAGTCCACTGGTATGTCATATATTGAGCAATACCACAATTTTGTGATGGAACCAAGCGCTCATAATACGTCTGTTGGAGCTCCGACGGTTTGTAAAGCGACTGAAAACATTGAGCTAAAGATTGAGAAAGTTGATCAGTACAAGCGATTAAGCCTCGACTCCTCAGCGCCTGCATCTCTCATGTCGGGCGAGTCACATAGAACCACCAACGGGACGTGGTCTGATAGCGAAAGCAACAGGTGTGTTTCACCACGTAGTACTGCCAGTGATTCTTCAGAGGGGCGTAGCTTGAAGTCGGCGTCGCCACACCGTGCAGGCGGACCCGTCTATCTCAAGAAGGCCTGGCTGGCCAGACACTCTGAGAGCAAGACACCGTTCGGTGTTCCCACGTCCGGTGCGTCGTCCACGAACAACCTTGATCCCAAGCAAGAGCCCGGTCTATCGACCAAGCTCTCCAATTCCCTCCCCAATGGACATCTCATGAGTGGTACCTTTGCACAGGTGGCGCAGAGCATGGAAGCTGACAAATCGGTCACCATCGATGACATTCCAAAAAGCATTCCCAACCACGTCTACGATTTTGATCAGGACAAATCCTCCACCTGCTCGGAGGCATCGACGGTCTCCAGCCACAAGTCGCGATCGAAAAAAAGCGGCAAGGACAGGACCAAGAAAAAGACCGTAAGCGGCACGGGTCTCCGGCAGATCCCAAGAAGCATGGGAAAGATAAAGGAGATAAGAGTGAGGAGAAGCTTGTTGAAGCGGAGAAACCTAAGTCGGAATATGTGCTAGGACTAGAAGCCTGTAGGATTATGTCAAACAACGTTGAAAGCAAAAGTACTCAACAGGTCAGTATCACCACATTATTTTCTTTTGTCTCTCACTCTCTCCAATATGAACATATCGTTTGTTTGTTCTGATTTAGAAAGGTGTTAACTTTTGTATATTGCATTAACATAGAGTTAACCACCTTTTGGCTCTGAACAGATGATATATGTATGTTTATATTCAAATTGTTTAATCAATTATATTTAATCCTTATTTCATCGCATTTACATGCCTTTGTTGTATGGGTCTACTGATTTCATGTATATTAACCTATGTCACTTTTGCATGCTATCTGTCAATTAAAGGTATTGTTTGACTTATTTTGAGTTATGATGCAAAATAAAACCAAATTGTCACAAATGGCACAAAAACATACGTCAAGTAAAATATTTCTTCAGAAGTTGAATCTGTATCATGGTAATTTTCATATAGAAAACAAAGAAAATATTTTAAATAATTGGTGGAAAAAGTAATGGTCATTAGGCATTTAACTTTTTATTTGTTATATTTTCAAACATCTTAGGATAGATTTGTGCACAAGTCAAAACTTAACTTCAAATATTGAACAGTACCTTGAATTTATTTATTTTTCTTCATATCAGTTGCTAAAGTGTATAAATGTGCGTGAAAATTCAAGAAGTAAATTATGTGCTCAGGCAAAGGGAATCATAATAATAGTATTGATGAAAAAAAATGAATTGCGTGTTATCTGTACACGATGAGCAACGAACGGCATGCTGAAGGCAGGCATACTGAATTCATTGAATATGAACATGATTCATCTGTAATACATGTACCTTCCCCTCACATCCCTCGCCAGGAAACCCGAATCAGATCCGCTTAACAGTTACTGTCAAGAGCCAATTTAAGCCCAACCCTAAAAATCGACTCGTGTCTTGCCAAGATGCGATTCGAGCACAGGAGGTGAAATAGAAGTCTTATTGGTGTCCCAGATATGGGTGTTCTTTGAAACAGTCGTCAGAGGGGCAATTAGTAGTACACTGAAAGTACCTTACGGGGTGAACAGGAAGAGGGGATAGATCAGTCACGCAATCACGTAGGCCAAGAGCAAAGAAGATAGGCAAAGAAGGTCCCTACATTGAGATTATGTGTCAAATAACCTCTTGTGTTTTAGAAGTGGTCCTATGTTTTGATTATTAAGTGATGTCAAATAACTTCTTGTTTGGGAAAGATTATTACAGCTATCAAGTGTCAAATTATCAGTACTTGTGTGGATAGAGTTTATGATATTCAGTGTATATAGCTTTTTCAGTTGTGAATAAAATTGTACTGTTATGGATGCGTATGATGGTTATGCATAATTATTGGTTTTAATTTTTAATTTTTTTACCAACAAGGAAATATGGGAAGAGAAACAGACTCTTCTAGTACAGTCAATATTATCGTTCAAAATCATTCTTTTTTTAAAAGTGACATCTTTTTAAAGCGTAAAAGGCCTTAAAGGTAATACAAAGTTTTGGGAAATTTTGAAAATTGGCTGGAAGTGATTCTTTACAATTTTCATATTTTTGGATGCCCCTGTGGATGTATTATAATCACTAGAAAATTCAGCCCCTAAAACACTTCGGCGTTCGTGAAATATTGAATATAAAAATTTACCGGTGCTCCCGGTAAATTTTGATAAATTTCAAATAGCGCCTACGGCCGTACGATGGTAGCTGTGGCCATGAATATCTCAGAATATGTAGTTGTGATATATAATTTCCAAATGGGAATAGCTAATCGGTCGATTTTAGTCGAGAAGCATTGTTTTATAGCTTGATTAATATCTTGACCTTGAGAGGGAGCTATACATCGTAAAGTGTGTATTATTTACAATTTCATAACTTTAGACTCGATTTTAACCGTGACAACAATCACTGAATATTTTAGGATCGCATATGCTTCCAATTTGTTCATTTGAACCAAATTCATGACCCCATACCAAAACTTTGTATTACCTTTAATGACTTTCAAATACATTAACAGTGGTTTGTCTTCATTATACAAATTTATAAAACCACGTTTCATTTAAATGTTTGAGAGTGAGTTGAGTTTGTAACATGTCTGTGACACCTGCTCAAATGACACCAGCATAATGTTTAAATTGATGACTAACCCATATATAACACCCATCAGTCTGTCAAGCAATTGAAGTGTTTGTATGACTTGTTCAGAGGAGCAATACTCGCCTTTGTTTACTTTTTATGACACGCTGAATTGAATTCAATCAAATCCGGAATGGGTAAAATGTTGATGGTTTGTGACCTGGTTGTGGATAAGATATGACATAAGAGCTTGAGAAGCTATGTACCTTTAGACACTAAAACCTAGTTTATAACCCAGGGGAAAAACAAATAGACCATCAAGAAAGTTGTATGAATTTGGTGTTTATTTTAATCAAAGTTTAAACAGAGAAACAGTTTTTCTTTTATGTTGTACAAGGAAAATCACTTAATTTGGTTGAGGTTTGTATTCATGTGTCAAAGATATCTCTCAGGAAAATATGAGTGAGATTGACTAAATAACAATTTGGCACAGATTCTTTCAATGTAATGTGTGAGGAAAGACAATATTTTAAAAGGAGAATGACGATATCACCAATAAAAAAAGAAATGCTCTTGTTGTCATTCCATCTTGTAGAACAGTAACCTGACATGTGACATTTCAGCTTAACTTTTACATTGTTTTCATCCAACCAACTAATGTGTAAAATGATTTCCCATGCCCCATGTGTACTTGTGGATACTATCACGACATTCCTTAACCTAATGAGTACTTGTGAATAGTATCTACTGTGGTAGGTAGGAGAGCTAGCTCAGCTGGTTGATGATATGATGGCATGTGACTAGGGGAAGGAAGGGCTGAGCAATGCTCATGTTCCTCAGGGATCCTAACCATAGTTCCTTTCCCTTTAGGCTCCTCACTCACTCTGTCGCACGACTCACCCCGGCCTCGTTCAATACCCCATCCCCAAAGAGTAAACATGAACTCTCTACTTTCTTCTGTCTTCTTAATTTCTCCTTTATATGTATGTCCCCTTCTCTTGCTCTCTAGTACATATTTTTTTATCTTTATTTTTCCTTTGTTTTTGTTTTTATTTCTATTTTTCTGTTTTCCTCATATCTTACCCTTTTTTTTGTGAACCTTTGCTCTTACTTTTCTCAGAATTTCTCCCCGCTATCTCTTTCCTATTAAAAAACCTGTCTAATCTTTCCCTTTATCTCCCCTCTCATTTAGAAAACAACCACACATCTTCACTGTTGATTCTTCCTTCTTATTAATGCCATTAGTCCTATATTTTGTCTTTATGTTTTCTACCTTTCTCTTTCTCAATACAGTTACCCTTTAATGTCCCATTTATTAGTTTCTTTCTCCATTCCCTCTGCACCCTTTTCATTTAATGTGTTTCTCTGTATCTGGGTACCAGTACATTGTTTGATTTGGATCGTTGCCTTAGAGGCAGGGAGGGGATGAGTTACAACGCATTCCTCTGTGGTTAATGTTACAATGACTGTGACCCACATCTTGATGGAGGTTTCTATTTGTTAAACCATACACAGAACAGAAAAAAATGATGATTATCTTTCCATGTTGACATGTATTCCCCCCTGTATCAATGACTGTGTAACAGATTATTTATTCTCAGATTGTTGATGATTTTCTTGTTTTATTCCTTTCTATAGATCACAGAGCTGCTCAATCTGATTGCACAAACTCCAAAGAAAAGGAAGCTCACAAGATCCAGCAAAGACAACAAAGATGGTGTGTTCTCATCATGAAACCTTTATTTGGTTCTATGAACAAAGGATCAGACTTGTACTATGTTTAATTTAGATGTATGTTTATTTCAATTGATTGTTTTTATCATGTTCAAAATTGATCTAATAAATATTTATTGATGATAAATATGCTTACTGATAAAAGCCTATGTAAGAATTTAAGTTGCATATGTTAATAAGTGAAATTAGGAAGTTCATATAAGTTGATAATTGGCAGAAGATAATTTAAAGAACAAAAAGGACGATTGAATTGTAGTCTAACAACGTGTCATTTGTCAATGAGTCATAAATCTAATTGTTTTTTATGTGCAATATCTTACCCCTAGGTCAACTGAACCGACCGGTTGCCAAGCCTACCGTGACCAAACTCAAGAAGTCTGGAGAGGCTTTCCTTCAGGATGGCTACTGCTCTGAGATCACACCTAACCTCATGAAATGCAGAGAGTGTCGGATCAAGCCTTCATCGAAGCAGTCCAAACTCAACAACATATTCTGTAGATTCTATGCCTTCCGAAGGTAAAATATATCGCCCACAGACTTCTTCATTTGATTACCTTTCATGTTGAGTGTTCCTTTTCTCTGTCCTACATATGGTAGTACAAGAGACAGGTATGTTAGTTTTACAAATGAAATGTTTTTGATCCAAGAAATATGTATTTCTAAGCTGTTATAGAGCTCTCCTAGGGGGCGTTTCACAAAACTTGTCATCAGTGACAAATACCAGATTTTGTTATAAGCTTTTGAAATCCTTGCATCTGATTGGTTATCAGCAGAATTGTCACTGGTTTTTGTCAATTGTCATTGAAAAAGGCTTTGTGAAACAGGTTACAAGGGCAACCATGCTCTTGCTAGTACTTAGTAATGCTATTTATTGAATCACTCTGTCCAGTGGTATTTCTTTTGTCTTGCACCTAAATGTAGTATGCAGTGAACTTTTGTAAATTCTGTGATAATAGATTGGCAATATGTGTTCTCTCACAAGTATCTCCTATCATCCTATAAAAAAGGGTCATGTATTTGTAGGAAAAATGTATGAGCAGTTGCACTCCGAACACAGATTTAGATGCCAGAAAGCAAAGGCCCTTCAAGTGCATGATTAATGATGATAACATTCTACTGCCGTTGCCGGTTCATGGTTCAAGTCACCCGGCTTAATCTCAAGTTTCCTGTGCCTTTCTCACCTCCCCTTCAGACTGAAATACAGCAACAAAGGGAACCTGACGATAGCGGGGTTCTCTGAGCCCGAGCAGTGTGACTCAGAGGACCTGAGCCCCTGGTTACCCTACCCTCCAGACACCGATAGCAACCTGGATCTGGAGACGTGTCTCTACATCCTGTCAAGGGTCGGACCGCAGTTCTGTCAGCTGGTGCAGCAGGAGCAGCAGGCCAAGACGTGGTGTCCAACCCCAGGTCAGTTCTTGTGATGTTTTTGAGCCAGGTTTACAGCTACACCCCGTATACTTTCGGCAGGGTGATGAAGTTTGTTGTAGTTTTAATGAGGCATGACAGTGCTGAAGAATATTCTCATTTACCTTCACAACCTCTTTTATGGTTCAAATTCTTTTCTTTTATCATTTGTTATATTAACGATTTTGATTGATGAATAATAAATGATGAACAGGTAATTGAATTCACTAATTAACATATGCAGGGGAAATGAATTCACTGTTTAAGAAGTGCTTGTAAGTGTGGATGGAGAGGATAGCTTTTGATAAAATCACATTTGAAAAAAAAGTAATTCCATTCTGATTTCAGCTTTTGTATATTCAAACTATATGGTTTGTCTTCATATTTAATTATTCAAAGATTATGCCATTATAAGTCTGTCTGTGTAGGTTCAGCGACCATTTTATCATAACTCCATTTTAGCATTTCCCTTTATTTCTTCTTTTTGTCAAATAGAGATTATATTTTCTATGCAACTTTGTATCCAAAAAAGAAAATTCTCTATTTAAATTATTCTAAATAATGTTTTTTTTAATAAAATATAATATAATTAAAATCTTTTTATCTTTTTTACAGGCAAAATCGCATGGAAACGAGCTGTGATCGGTGTGAGAGAGATGTGCGATACGTGCGATACGACTCTCTTCAATATCCACTGGACATGCTCTAAATGTGGCTTTGTGGTGTGCCTTGATTGCTACCACTCGAAGAGCGACGAAGAGAAGAGTAAGTGCCTTCCTTTTAGTGTCCTCTTAGAACTGCGTTTGTTGAAGTGCTCCTGGTAGTGTCTTCAGTCAGTTGTTTATTGAGCTGCTGGTTTATGAAGTACAGGGAATGTTCTCTTGTAATGTAACCTAATTCTTCTTGAGTGTCTTGGTAGAAAAAAAAGATGGCCTTCTGCCCCACTTCCCCACTTTCAGGATCATAGGATTTTACATGTCTTTTGTTTACCTCTTTTTCGTTAGTGTTTCTGAACTTTTATCCAAATACCATGTTTTAGAAATATTTTACGTCACACTTGTTTTTGTTATCGTCCTGTTGCTGTGTATTTTGCTTTGGTATTGTGTTTTGTCTCTTTAAGCAATCTTGAAGTCCCTTTATAGGTCACATTTAATGTTTTACTGTTCTTGTGAAATTTGTCAAATTGTCTTTAAATGTGAGATGGATCTTGAATATTTTAAGGGAAATGGTCAACATTTGGTGTTGAAAAGGGGCAATTATGTTAAGGTTATTCAAACCATTCTAGATAGAATTTGGATTGATAATATTCCAAGCTGTGGATTATTATAATTAGATGAGTAACTCAAAAGAAATTTCAGCAGATTGTCACAATCCTTATAAAATTGCTTTCTATAACCTTTTTAGAAAGTGTAACGAATGGATAATAACATTGTTGAGTTTATTTCCTGTCTTTCTCCTGTGTAGATGATGAAAACACTCCTGAGAATGGTTCCAAGTGGTTGAAGTGTATCAAAGATCAGGTTCATCAACCGGATAGTCTCATGCTAACACAGATGATCCCTGGAAATGGTGAGTTTCTTTAGCCTCGTCTTTGCCTATGTATTCAGTCTAGGGGAGGAAAGGAGAGGGATGGAAGAGGGGGATGGGAGGGGGAGTTGAGAGGGTGAAGGGAGATGATGGAAACAAACCTGAGAATGGATCCAAGAGGTTGAGATGTATCAAAAATCAAGATCATCAACCTGTGGGTTTCTTTCTTCAAACCAGTTTGTGTCTGTGTATTCTGTCAAAGGTTAGGAAGGGAATGGGAGAGGAGGAGGAGGAGGTGGAAGGGGGAAGGGAGATGATGAAAACAAACCTGAGAATGGATCTAAGTGGTTGAAATGTATCAAAGATCAAGTTCATCAACCTGTGCGTTTCTTTCTTCAACCCAGTCTGTGTCTGTGTATTCTGTCAAGGGGAGGAAATGTGGTGGGGAGAAGGTGGGGGAGCTATAAAGAAACAAAATCCAATTGTGAGGGAATGTTAAAAATGCATTCTCATGTTCAGTCACAATGTTCTAGTGAGGACCATCTCATGTATTGATGTGATTTTGCAGTGCGAGAAGTGGATATGTGTAATCAGATCTAAATTTGTATCTCTGCAATGATAGAACTTTGCAATATATATTTAACTTCTTAAACTGTTGAAGGGAGGCATATAAGATTCTGTAGGTATGAAGGTATGTCAGTTGTTTATTGCTCATTGTTGTCACAGGAAGTAACCTCAATATCTTTTTTGTACTAATTCTACAGCTCTGTGGGATGTAGGAGATCTCATGCATCAGGTATGCGCCAAGTGGAGGATTCAATCTGCCTGTCCTTGCCTTGGAGATACCAAACCTACTGTCAATGGCATGTCACCGGTAAGTCCAACCTTTCACCTTTCACCCCCATTGACCTTCACCTGACCTGTTATCCATCTGTCATACATTATTTAGTAGTTGCCCCTCTATGTACTTCATTATATATTGCAAAATATATCAATCTTGTAAGAACAGACTTTGCATTAGTTTCAAAGGCCACTGTACTACTTGTAGCTATATGCTCCCTCTATATAGAAAACTTCCCCAATCGGTGCCTGTTGGTCCCCCATGATTCTCTTTCTCTGATGTGAATTGAGAGCTGAGTTGATGAGATAGCCACCTTTTAGTAACCTCGCTGGGTGGTCTAATCCCTTCTGGCCAAAAAAGACGGCCTTTAAACATGTAGATACATGCCCAATCAAAAGGATATCTGCGATCTTTGTCATGTTATGTTCTCTTTGTTGTCTCTTTGTGTACAGACAAGTAGCCAGGTTTCACGAGAGTGGAAGAGGGACGACCTCCTATCGTCTACCGCCCTCAGTGGTCATATAGCAAATGCGCGTACGAATCGTATGCCCAAGTTGACATCTCTTCCAGTGTCCGCTTCACCCCTAGACTTCCTAGCAGACATTGCCACGTCTCAGGACGGCAAGCGTAACTTCGAAGGCAAGAGACCCGATACCCTCAACTCCAAATCAGCGGACAAAGCGTGTTCAGTCGACGTCGATGCGAAGGGTGAGCCATGCTCGACGCTGAGAGACTTGCTCACCAAGACAGCCGGGAAGCTAGTCAAACCATCACCAAACGATGGAAACCTTCTCACACCCTTCCTGCCTAAAGCCGATGGCATCTCCAAGAAGACGTCCCGAACGATGACCAGCACGTTCGAGGACATCATCGCCACGGTCGTGGAGCAGAACATCTCGGCTCCCGGGAAGGACCGAAACGCAGCCAAGACGCCTCGACTGTCCACGTCGTCCGTCAGCGACACGACAACGTCACCGTGCAACATCAGGCTGGAGAAGAAGGTCAAGAACCTAGCCAATAGGAACACGTTGGTGGAGTCGAGTGTGATGTATCCCGATGTACCTCATTCATGGTTATGTGATGGGAGGCTCCTAAGGCTACATGATCCATCTCATGCGGGCAATCTGCGTATCTTCCAGGAGCAGTGGAGGAAAGGAGAGGTAAGCTAAAGATTTTTCTATCATTTATACAAGGATTTATTGTATTGGTTAAGTCGAGCCTTATTCCTTTTAAATGAAGAAAAAAATATCTTGCACCTTTCCTCTTGATTGCAAATGGTCTGTTTAAAAAAAGATAACTTGACTAAATGTGATATTGCTCCACAACATTAATTCTTGATAAATACTGAATGAGATGAGGAATTCAACATTATATATTCATCTGCAGTAGAGCATCATCTCCATGTAAAATGTGTGGATTAATGTCTGGCTCTCAATCGTTGGAAAGTTTGATTTTAGATTGTCTTAGGAGGAAAGTCTAAGAGAAGAAGAAGAAAATAAAAAATAGATAATAGATAAATACAATTCCACCTAAAGTATAACCTTTCATTATTTTTCTTCCCACCCAGCCAATCTTGGTGAGCAACGTTCACAAGCAGCTTGATGATAATCTTTGGCATCCAAACTTCTTCAACAAACACTTTGGTCACCTTGAGAATGACCTTGTAGATTGTCGATCAGGGGATGTCATCACTGGTGCCCCTATGAGAGACTTCTGGAATGGATTTGAGGACATCTCAAGTAAGTTTACCAAAAACGTGCTGCTATATTTCATTAAAAAAAAAAAAATTATGAAATCGAGTATGTGAAGACTTGTGTATGTTTGCTAAGATTTCTTATTTTTTTCTTTTCATATTCAGACTCAAATGCATGTATTCATCACATTTATTTTGTTGCTAATTGTGTAATCAGAATTTTCTCCCCGTGTGATTTTACTTTTTGCGAATGCATTGGATTTACCATCCTAACGACAGGATTCATGTTTACTTGAAATTTCTTTTATAGAGAATTTATTTGATATTTAATTCCATAAATGACTTCAAAATGGTTTTGAATTCAATATTTTATTGTGATACAGCAATTTTACTCATGTTGTAATTTGTAAAAGTGTCAAATCCCAATGACTTAACAGATATTAATGTATAATCTTTTGTAAAACCTTTTAAATAGTCTTGACACTGAAAACATTGGCATTGATGAGACATTTGATTGATTTGATTTCTCTTTTTATTTTGTGATTAGATCGTCTAGAGACCAAGCAAGGTTTACCCATCATCCTGAAGCTAAAGGACTGGCCTCCAGCCCAAGACTTCAGCGAGCTCCTACCTCAACACTTCCAAGATCTAATGAACAACCTGCCCTTACCAGACTACACACGCAGGGACGGTAGATTCAATCTATCGTCCAGACTGCCAGACTTCTTTGTCAAACCTGACCTGGGACCAAAGATGTACAATGCTTATGGTGAGTAGATGTCGATGAAGACAAACCTGGGCCCCGTCTTACAAGAGTTACGATTGATCCAAATCAATCGCAAGCCCTCCAATCAATCGCAAGTTTGCAGTCTCCTATCTCTTATGTACATAGTTGCGATTGATATCAACTCTTTGTAAGACGGGTCCCTGATCTAATGCAGGGCTCTGCACTAGAAACATTTCCAGGGGGCGAGAGTGAAATTTTGCAGGTCTGTGTGCTCCAGGTCTGTTTTCATTTAAAGAATTGGAGTAGAAAGTTTTTAAAATCCTCTTTGTTGTATCAAACCCCAGTTAGTGTCAAGCTCTTACAATTTAGTAGTATGTTCCATGTGTGGAGTGCTCTGTAGATTGGACAACCATGTGAAAAGATCCATGATGTATGGGACCGGACATGATCAACGACCCCTATTCCCAGATCAGTCACGCATTCTCCTATTGGGAAATTTTACAACTAAAGGGAAGTAAGAAAGGGAAATGAGCTGACAGTCTTTTGACATGTACTTGCAACATTTGAAGGCTTGCCTCTAGAAATTGCCATGTCCTTAGAGGGTATTATATATAGAATGGATGTAGCATCCCCTACCAGGAAGTAGGGAATGATGGTCTGCACCTGTGGAATTTTGGTATTTACCTGATGACAAAGTAAGGCTGTGTGACAAAGGCAGTCATTTGTTGTGTAATGGGTCATGCCTTTATCTGTTTTTGAGATTTTGCAACATGGACATCAAACGCGAAAAGTATTTTGTCAATATGTCAATTGTAAATCACGATACCATTACATGTAATGTAAGTTGGATCAAGGTATTCATCTAATCAATGTATCTTGTTTCCCGTCGGATCACAGGCCTGGCCCGCTACGCTCCATGTGGCACCACCAACCTTCATCTCGACATCTCTGATGCTGTCAATGTGATGGTGTATGTAGGCAAGCCTCATAGCGTAGACGGCAACGAAACATGCGATTCATATGAAAAAGGTGAGTGGCAACACACATCCAATCATTCTTTAAGATGTTGCTTTACATTAGTTAATATCACTAAATATTAAACTAATGAAATTTTATTTTGTTCAGGAGATCTAATGTTATGCTCTGGTGAAAACTCACTGCTTTTTATGAATGGACGGTGAAATCATTGCTAATTTTTGTTACGGAAATCATATGCAACACTGTTTATAGTTATGATGTAGTATTATATGTTGTACAGGTGAAAGTGCTGTACAGCAGTGGTCACAGTAAGACCCTTTGTTAAATTTGATTTGAAAGATGAGGATATCCTGTGAAGATGATATTATCAATTCAGTTTTGGTTCTACCAGTGCTATGTAGGATTATCAAAGACACCAACATTTAACTCCAAACAAGCCTTACAAAATGATAACCAACCACAGGATAACTGTCAGGGCTTTCTGTCACTGACTTGTCACACTATTTCCAGGTGAACGTTCTATCTCATTGACTTGTTTTGATTTGATTTAATTTTAACACGGTTTTATTTGTTTGGTTTTCAATTTTCAGAAGCCGTTGATGCAGTGGATCACATGTGCATGGATGAGCAGACCAAGCAGAGAGTCAGAGAGAAAGAGGAGAGACCGGGAGCTATCTGGCATCTCTTCAGGGCTGCTGATACCAACAAGATGAGACAGTTCCTGATCAAGGTCAGCGCACTTCACCAACCTCGTTGAAATTACTTACATATTCCCTTGTTCCAAGATCCTAATGGATTACTCCCATGATCGTGGTGATGTCAGAACTGTTCTAGCAATGAATTGTACCTTTTAGGGCTACTTAAAGGGATCTGGTAACTTTGTCTCGGATTCTGAAACAGAATCCTGGATTTAGCTCATGCTGCAATGATAATTACAAACCTTTAGGTCAGTCAGGAACCCAGTGACTTTTACAAGCCGATCGCCTGTCTGATTATCAAGATATTTATGATTGGAATTACAAATTGTAAAAACTGTTTGCATTTTCATAACACTACAGTCTATTGGGGAAACAAGTATGGTAAATCAGGTCACTCAAAGATTTTTACTTTTTTGAGGCACTTCTTGATCATTTTGAAGCACAATTTTTTTAGAGCTTCAATATTACACCATATCATAGACACTGATAACACGTAGGGCCGTGCATCTCAGATTTAACAGAGATATGTCTTTGATAACTAACAAGATTCCACAGTTCTTTTTCAACGTGAGTACAATGAACTCTCTCAGAATACCTACATATGCCATTGTTAACCCTAATGGTGCTTCGTTAACAAACATCATGGTGATGTCAGTAATAAAAATTGAACAATTACTTTAGAGAAATATGTCTATGATTCATCTGGCAAAATTATAGTGATTAAGCAACAAGCCCGCCATATTGTGGATTGTGTTTCCTGCAGCATATGGCAAGATACATTCAATACCATTTTTCTCTCAGGAGAATGTCCAAATCAATGTTCCTCAGATTTCTTGCTGAAACAGCTTTTTCTCACTTTTCGATGGGAACCCTGTTGGCCTAGATGAACTTGTCACATGTAGATATCAATGACCATTGGTACACTGTAGGCCATCATAGATATCCCATTTCATCGAGACCCAAGTGCAGGATTTCCCTTTCTAACCCCTACCTACCATTGCTCATCTCCTCTATACAGCTGTCACAGGAGAGGGGTGAGGACGTGCCCCCTGATCATGACCCCATCCATGACCAGAGCTGGTATCTGGACAACGAGCTGTTAGACCGTCTCTACAAGGAGTATGGGGTACAGGGATGGGCCATCGCTCAGTGCTGGGGTGATGCCATCTTCATTCCTGCTGGTGCTCCTCATCAGGTAAGTTAGTTCAACCAAATTCTCTGCAGGATTTCTGGAAGGGGTTTGTTTATGTTGGTCCAAATTGAGGGAGTTATGGTCTTGCAGAATCTCAAGGGGTGGTTTGGGAAGATCAAAGCAATTTTGCAGGTTTTGAATATATGCATTGATAGTAATTGTCAATGCCCTTGTCTGGGAGAATCTGCCTGCGGTTTTCTTTTTGTGTATGTGAGTGAACCGAGGGTAATCACACCAGCAAACCCTGATCAATCAGTGAGATATCAAAAGAGAATGGTGTAACCACTTTCTTTAGAGTTGGGCATCAAAGAAAATTAATGTATGTTAGTTCCACACAGAATTTGACAACAGTGAACTTTTGCAGGAGTGTGTGTTCTTACAAAGCATGGTTGTGGTACATTGTTCAAGATTGATGATTTTTAAATGATAATTCCTCTAACTTTTCTATATGCATCTTCAGGAAAATGAGCCAAATTTGATTTTGTATTTAAAAGTTCCACCTTTGGATGATTTCAAGACTGCAGTGCAATGTTGTAACATGATTGTGTTTGGTTTGGCTGTATTTCAGGTGAGGAATGTGCACTCGTCCATCAAGGTAGCAGAGGACTTTGTCTCTCCGGAGCACATCAGTGAATGTTTCTGGTTGACCCAGGAGTTCCGCCAGCTCAGTGCCACCCACTCCAACCACGAAGACAAACTCCAAGTCAAGAACATCATCTACCACGCCATCAAAGACACCATTGGACTGCTGGTGACCAAGAACCCACCAGGAGAACAGAACGACCATATAGCCAGTAGAGCAATTGCAGCGCTGCAGCAGCAGCAGCAACTTCAGCAACAACTGCAACTTCAGCAGCCGCAGACTGCAACATCACAGCCACAGCAGCAGCAGGTTTCCCAGCAACTTGTTGCTCTATCGCCTCAGTCCAAGCCCTCTCCTGCATCGACGCCACCGGTGGCAAGCAACAACACCTGCAGCAGCTCGTGACAATTAGCCAAGGAAAAACAGGCTTTCCAGCTCGAGAGGATTGGGTGTCAAGTTAACTAAATGTTCTTGTTGTGTTGTTCAATATGACATTCACTACTGTGTTCGTAGTCTAGATACATCCAAAGAACCAGTCAATTCTATTCAAGTAGAGATAGGAATCTATCTTTTGTTCTTGTCATAACCATTTATCCAAGGACAAACTCAGAGAGTCGCAAAATGGAGTCGTCGGGTAAAATTTTCTCCAAGTGACAAGAAGAATCTGTGTATTTACTGAAAATGGTCCATTCATTTGATTTCTTCCAAGTCATGAGTACGCCAATAGACATGACATAACAAGGGCATTGAATGTCACCTACTCCCAAGAGTGACCCATCATTTGAGAACCAAATACATTTATGATTGAAAGAAGAGATTGAGTGGCATAGTCGGGTAGAGGAAAGGAGATCGAGTAGGTTTGCTTTTTATTTGTTACTTCCACAATATACATGTATTTGAAGCAGAGCGTATATACGACGACTTGATGATGTACATGTACATTTCAAAATACCTCAGCAAGCACTCCACGAGTAAAGGTGCTCTACTTCTATAGCAAACGTAATCTAGTCATGATATCGAGCAAGAAAGGAAGATTATATCAGAGTTTTATTGAGTGACATCTATTGATTGACAAAGAGAGGGACGTTTTTGGATAATCTGAGAAGGGTTGAAGAATTGAATTGAATTTCAAATGATTTGTTTGTCACCTTTCAATGATTTATTAGATGAATGAAAATATATTTATGTTTTCCCCATCAATTCAGAAAATGATGTGATATGAAGGTATGTCTTGTACAAAGCTGTTGAATTGAAGACAGGAGAGTGATATTGGTTTGGTACGGTAAAGAGGATATGATGTTTGTTTGTACGTAGGGTAGGAGCCGTGATTGAGGGTTTTGAATGCTGCATCGCTTTGGTTAAACAGCAGAGTGTCAAAGATTTAGGTGTCGAGATAGACATGATCAGTTTCAAACCCCACGTTTTAAGGAGTCACTTTTTTTATAGACAACTTGTTTATTTCAAGAGGAAAAGTTAGCAGAATACATAAGATTATCTCTAGGACTTTACCTTATGCTGGTATCATGTATGAAGAAATTGATGAAAGCTCTGGCTGCTGTCGGCTGCCTAATTCAAGGCAGCGCAACAGTTTCCAAAGCATGTCAAGACTGAACTGTAGTATGCATGATGTATAAGCTCTTTATTATTATTATTATCATCATTTTATATATTTTTAACATTTTTTTTTTTTTTTACATTTCCAGATGTAGAATGAACATTTTGTAACGTAATGAATGAATTTACCAGCAAATTCAGCAAATGATCACTTCATATGCCCCAATGAATTTTGCAAAGAAGTGAGATGCATTATGGTTTGCAATATGGATCCTTTAATGGTCACGATTTAGGATGTGATAATAATTAAAAGTAAGGAAGGTATTTAATGCTGCTATAGTTGGCAGTCCATCGTGTTGTATGTATAGCTATCATGCCTGTGCATTGCATGCGGCATTGTTGATTTTGTTCTAATTCTTTCAAACATTCCATATGAATTTTGTAGCGATGATTTTGTTTTTTCTCCTTGTTTGTTGTACCTAGGAGATTTGTACCAACCTATGAAAAAAGATTGACCAAAACTAAATGTGCCTAACTAAGTTAATTTATGTGTAGAATATTGAGGATAAGTTTGGGCAATTTATTTAAGGGCTTTTGTGAATGGTAAGGCAAGGTAACAAATAAAATAGAACTAAAAAAAGGGCTGTTTTTGATCCATGAACTATTTAAGAACAGGATTAAACAAATCCTATTTAATTTAGTCCATAAAACATTTAGCAGTGTGTGTTCATAAGTTTTTATAGGACATGTTTTATTTGCGATGATTGATTAAACTGCCTTTGCCATTTATGTTAGTATATCGTAGGGGTATCCTGTTTCACCTCAGGTTAGGGAGGCAACGTTTGGTTGAAAACTTTCCAGATGTATGTAGATCATGGGTGTATAGTTGAAGTCTGTGCTCGATTAGGAAAAGTATCATTTCAATGAAAGAAATGAGTTTGGTGTGAGAAAATAGTTCATACAGTGATGTAGAGAACAATATATGTATCACAGAATCAAATGTTTTGCCATCGAAGGCAAATCAATATGATCACTGTAAATAAGTAAGAGATAGATATATAGCCTTTATGTAGTCTTTATATCTTGTTTAATTCCTGTCTCGTCGTGACATGAATTTTTCTTTTCTTCAAAAGCTGTGAAACTTGGAGTGATTTTCTTTTTTAATACACAATTACAAAAATGCACCTTGATTGTGATATTTTCTTCTGTTGATAAAACATGTTTATATGATATTGATTTTTACAAGAAACAGCAGAAAGAATGATCTCTTTGTAGACGTGTTTGTTGTGTTGGGGAATAATTATGTGTGGTAATGTATATACTTAGGGTCATAGTGATATTTTTGTATGGAGAGGGGGATTTCTGTCTCCCTATCTCCGTTATGAGTTTGTAATTGAAATCACTTTGATGACCTTTTTATTTGACCGAGAAGACAATGAAATGCGTTTCGGTTGGAAATAGAATTTATAGTCGAAAAGGAATCGTGTGTATCTGTAAATTCTTGTGAATATGACATTCTTATTTTATGAAATCAGTTGACTTGTGCATGGCTTGGCTTGCTAAAAAAAAGTGAAGAAAATGAAGAAAATCTTGTTATACAGTTGACTAAAACAAATAATACAAAAACATACAAATAACTTTTGATTTGTCTCATTGTTTTATTTTTGTTGCCAGTGGAGTGGAACTTTGCATGCTTGTTTTTTTTAATGTAACACGGCTTTGCCTAGTACTCTTAACATTCAAATACTAGAAGGATCGGAGAGAAACTATCTGATTTAGTGAAGAGAGAACTTGGAGAAAAATATGTATAAGATAGGAGAAGCGTCTGTTGAAAGATGGTTATAGGAGAGAAGAAAAGAAGTGTGAGGTGAATTAAAGGGCGACGTGATCATACATTCAAAGATAAGAAGGACCAGAGAGAAAGAAAAAAAAAACATATGTTTATAAAGTGAAAAGAGAACTTGGAAGAAAAAGACATACAAAATTGGAGAGGTAGGGTTATTTAGGAGAGAAGAAAAGAAAAGAAGAGAGGTGAAATTAAAGAGCGACGTGATCATACATTCAAAGATAAAAAGGACCAGAGAAAAAGAGTGAGAATTTCTGACTAAGTGAAGAGAGAACTTAGAGAAAAAGATGTATAAGATAGAAGTGGTGTCTGTTGGAAGATGGTTATAGGAGAGAAAAAAAGAGAATATGTTGGTGGTAGACATGAAAAAAGATCATTTATTAGAGATGCCAATCCTCGGGCCATTTCTTGAAATCAGGATTTTCAAAAGAAAAAATAAAGAGAACTTCAGGGGGGAGGGATGAACATCAGAAAATACATAATTTAAATATCTTGAAATTGTAATTATTAAAGTTCCTTAAAAGTAGAGTTTTGAATACTGTTTACCGTTCACTATGCCCAATTCCCTCAGATTTCTCAATATTTGAATGTCAATTCAGGATTCTTTAGAACTTCTCTGTGACGTCTCTGGTTAATGAAATATAGTAGGCAGAGAGTGGTAGAAGTGGAAAGATGAAAAGTAAAAGAGATACCGGTATGTGAAAGAAAGTTATCCTCCAAGAGTCATTTCCATCAAACTTGGCATCACTAGCTGTCACCTCATTACATATGCTCCAGTATGATGTTTGTTGACAACTAGGAGTAGTAAAGATTTATGAATATGCGCCAAGAACTCTAGAAAGTGTGTGCTAGTAATTGGGTTTTTACAGACGTCTATCAATCAGATATGATTATTTACATCTGGGGACTGAACTTTAACATCACCATCCAAAAGAAGTGACTCAGTTTTGAACCGGGGTTCGCCTGAACCAGTTTGTAGGCGAAGACAGAGAGCTGACCAAGTGAATGTACCCCTAGACCAACTCACATCTCCCCAATCTAGAAAGAAGTTAGAAGCTCCGTTTTTGTTTATTCTTCAGAGAAACTGAACGAATGCATACACAAAATATATCTGAGACTACAAGTTTGTTATATAATATACGCAATTTATTTGGAAACTAAAACAAAATCAATGTACATTTAACATGCAACATAATCACATATAGGGCGATGCTGCTAATCTAAGTCACATAATAATACGAGGCAATGCGCAGCTTTTTGATTTCATGTTCAGTATTTTGTCATTCAATCATTGGACTTTTAAACAAAGCCTGCATGGCTCCTGGCTTTCACTTAATATAATAAATTCTTTAGCACTTGTTTATTGAAATTTGAATAGAATCTTGTAGTAGACAGATAATGATTTGATTAAATCTAATGGCCTTCATTCAATTTTCCTTTGGCATCTTAATTTTATTCACCAAGTTTGAACATGTAGGTCATATGTAGTTTGACACAAATAGACTTGATTTTTCTTATTCTGTGATTCTTTTATTTTATAATTATATTTATTTCTTGTTAAATTATCTGGCTGACTCAGTCACTTGCACTGAGCTCAAATCCCCAAAGCATTGCTAGGATTACATGTACCTGCTTTATTTTCAAAATGTCTCTTTATTAATATATAAAAAGTTCAAGGACAATGAAATGTACTTTCTAATCTTCAGCTCTGAATCAAAATTCTAAACTTGACATTAATTTTAGGGATAACATCTACTTTCTATTGTGAGAGTTGACGGTGTAGCCATTATTCGCTGTCTGCAATATTTGTCGCTTTCATTTCTACATTTTCTAAAAGTAACAAAATAAATAGGAACAGAACAGAGAAAAATATTGAACTTAACAAAATAGAAAGACAGAAATGAGCAAAAAACAATGCGAAAATGACACATAAATTAACATTGGACCAGTTAACTAATATATCAACATTTATGAACGTTTCTTTCTGAGAACCCTTTGTGAAAAACTTTGAAATTCACCTTGCTTGCATGATAGCATTTTACATGGATTACTTTTCTATGTTGGGCGAGGCTTGGACAAACTTTTGCTTGTCAAAATTAATGTCAGTGTGAAGTAGTATCCCATTAGTAAACTGGTCAGTTGTATTCAACACGTAATCACAGACTGATATAAAAAAAGTGGCACAAAATATACCCAGGGTGGGGTTTAACTGAATTAGTAGAATATGGATACTTTATTATGTCAGTTGTGTCACAATAGGCATCGGGTAGGAATGTCTGAATACCAAAGAGATTGAAGTTTTGTATTCAACCCACTATGAACTATGATGCAATCAAATACGTTATTACCTCACTATCTTGGTGATGCCATGTATGTATAATTTATATTTTTGAAAACCTCGATAAAATAATAACATGATAATTGTACCTCCCCCCTCCTCCTCCCTGTAAAAAGTTACCATTGAGCCTTTTCTTCAACTTCGTCATACTTTCTTTTCATCAGCACATAATAAGAGGTATACTGTAAAGCTAGAAACTTCATGAAATATAGTTGGTAAGCTGGCCATTATCAGGATATCATAGTAAGAAACTTTGTGAGTTGAAAAATCCAAGTGTGTTTAAAATTCAATCACTTTCTAGCATGAACTTTTTGTGAATCTGGAACACAAGCAGAATTTGCAAAGATTTGTATGCATGACGAAAGTATCTGGTTTTACAGCATAGTGGTGGATTATATCATCAAGGCGGAATCAAGCTCCCTCATAAACACATGGAAAATGCCAAACCGGTACAGTAGTTACAAGATGCTATTATAATCTCTGCTGTACATATATACATGGCTCGACACTAACATATGCCCAGGGACACATGGGCGCTTCAAATCTAGCTCAGGACCCCCCAAAGTTTCAAAATTTCTACATAGGGCTCGGTGGTGCATAAACACCAACAAATTTCAGTTCAGACCCCCAATGAAAAGTGTTAGTGTGGAACCCTGTTATATACATGTACAAAACATGCAGGTTACATATTCAAAGGCAGCACTCCACCTCTGTTCCCTTGATGACACAGTTTACAAAAAAATCATGAAGAGTACATGTAGAAGCTCACATGAAACAAAGTCATTTATGTCTAGGATAAATTTTATGTACAAGTTATCATCCTTGAAGTCATGTGCATTGGACAAGTCTATGGTAGATACATGATTATGATTATGCACAAATATTGATGAGTTTTCCTGGGAGATTGAAGAAAGAGAACACCATCAATACAGTCCTTCTCTGCTATGGATATCTCTTTGGCACTCCGGGGAATGAATGATCATGATCCCATCCACTGATATTGGTGAATGACGTTGATAAGAGTGTTTCCTCGACGATAAGTGAAGACAGTATGATGTTGGCACAAAAATGTGTGTAGGCAAAAAACCTAAAACAGTCATCTCTGCTTTAATAGATCCACACATCACTTATCCAAATTTACATGATGAGATTGCCCTACGATGTTACTGAATGTGCTACGACTGTCTTTGCTCAAAGACCATCCTAGAGACTGTGGCACCCTGAAGTTTTCCACATACATGGATGTACCTGCTGTCACCAATACAGTCAATCTCTGCTCTAGAGTCTAGACAGGTCTCAAAAACATAAATGGTCCACCAGTGTCACAGCTTCAGGTTTTGTTCGGTGCATGGTGCCCAGAATGTATTTACATACAAGACGGACCAATTCCATCAACAACAGTCTTCATAGCATCTACAAGATCTTGATCCTGTCCGCTGAGGTAATCTTTAATCAAAGAGAAGATTGTTGATATCCAGGAAGTCCATGGAGTCTACAGGAGGGAGATCCAGGCAATCCATCGAGGCTGACGAGGGTGGGACCATCAGGTCATCATCTGTGAGCACAAGATATGAAAGGGGTGAAAACTAGTTAAATCGAGACATTCATTTGTCAGCAGAAAGTCATCACAAATTATGAAATTTTGGGCAAAATTCATCCTATTTCAAAAAAATGTGGAGGTGTTTTTAAATACATGACTCTCTGCCATTACATTTTCCCTTTCATCTATTTTGATTATGAAGATACTTCAAATAAAATTCAAATAAATATGCAATCCCATTCTATTATTTCATATGGTAAAGCACAAAATAATTAGTTTGGATTGATATCATCTACACAGAATGGTCTTGATAGAACCAAATTGACACCCCACCCCTCCCCTCCCCCTGTAGCCACACCACCGGAAGTGATTGTTTCATTACCTGATTGACTTGGTCTGATTATCTTATCCAATGAGAGATGTGAGAAGTCTGGATTGATATCATCTACATCTCTGATAGGGTATCTAAACAGCGTGGTCTTCATGGTACCTAGCTGCTTCAGGTGAGATGTCAGGCAGTCCTCTGCAGGAAGCCGGTTGAAGGTTTGGTCTGGAAAAGAAGAGATGGGAAATTAAAATTAAGTTTCATGATGTGTACATTCAGAGTTCTTGGCAGGCAAATGTTTACCTTTAGTCCTTATTGTATAATGGCAATACAAAGTCTGTGAGGGAATGGATTGAACCAAAGCTTCTTCTTTTTCTACATAATGTGTGCATGTGTGTAATAGCAATAATTATTTAATCTTGTTCCTAAAGGAGCAAGATTACTTCACAACATCCCTGAGGTAATATTTTTGAAGGACCAAAGCATTTTCAATTTTTGTTTCTCTCCATGAAGAAACACACTATAAAAGTCTTAAGGTAAGGTAAGGTAAGGTAATTCATCAACGTATCGCAGCCAATGGCTGAACTGCATGCATGATTTACAGATATCATATTTACAATGCGTTATTCAAGAATAATTCACCAAATAAAACTCAGTAAAACTCGGCAAGGGAAGCAAAGAGGTAAAGGAAAAATGTGGAGCAGGAAAATAAGGAGAAAAGAAAAGGAAAGGAATGTTGAGGGAGTGGGAGTGGAGAGAGAGGGGGAGAAGAGAAGGGAGAGAATTAAATAACTTCCCTACCTCAACTGGCAATATTGTTCTCTATGGAGTGAACTCCACTTTCTTCTATTCTGAAAACCAAACATTACAAATCCTCAGAACAATGATCTTACCGTTATCTTTGAAGAGCTTCATGTTTTCTACATCAGGGAATGTAAAGATTGGTTTGTGACTGCTTGCTAAGGGTCTCTTCATCTCTGCTTTGAATTTAGGGGCTTTCTTTTTGCTCTCTAAACCCTGAAATTAAGGCAAAACAATCACAATAACATTAAGAAATACAGCTAAATCAGGGATGCCAGTTAGAATTGATCAGAGGGCCTGAAAATCGCCTAGTATGAGCTATTTTTTACACAAAAATGCCTTAACTATGGTCTGAAAATAACTTGCCTGAAAACTGGCATCCATGCTAAATACATTATTAATTAATACAGAAAGCTGGGCTATAAATTTTATATTTTAGCCAAATGTTGCTCTTCAAAATTATTTGTACAAATTTTTTTTAAACAAAAACTGAGTAAGGAGTGATTTTTTAGACTCTAGTGAGCTTTTCTTATATGATGAACTTTTTCAATAGGTACATTGTAGATAAAATCAGATCTGTTATTTTCTATTTTTTAATATTTCAAATGACCCCTGGTGGTCACTCCATGATCCATTCCATAAAATTGATTTTGTTTCCCAAAGGACCAAACTACACATTTCCAAAGGAAGAAAGGCAATAATTGCCTCCAATATCCAAATTGGGGCCTCTGACTTTATAAATCCAACTACCTTTAGAGTTGGTCCTTCTCCAAATACTTTGATACCAGCACCAGGAGTCTTGAGTTGAGTCCCGAGTGGTTTCTTGATAAGACCACTACCCTGGTTAGCCTTATGAATGGTATTACTCAGACTACCCAAGGGTTGACGGCTTGCCTTGTTGTTACTCAAGTCCCCTAGAGCCTTCCGATGTGGAGTCGCAAGAGAGTTCTCGTTGGATGAGAAGACCTTGCCTAGACCTGGTAAACAATATTGACGAAATTCAATGAATTCTGGTTGGTCAATTGCAGAAAACCAAACAAAAATAATTCAATAAATTATCCATATGAAAATGGAAATAGTCAATGCATTAGGTTTTATTAGCTACCGGTACATGTATAGAGGAATTATAAATGGTCCTATTAAAATATGTTTTTTAAATGAAATAAGGCGTTTTCCTAAGAATGAGAACCATTTTGTACTGTAACTCTGACATTATACACAACTACACAAGGGTCTAAAATGAAAAGTGTTTTTCCTAGAGTTTTGGGGGCAAATTCCCCCAAGCCAACATCTTTCTTTCCCAATGTTATGCATATTGTACATCCAACAGTATATATCCTTACAGCATTTTGTAATAAGCAATACAGGTACATGGCAACAAGATGAAAATATTGTAAATAACAATCTGATAATACCTCTAAATTGCCAAGTAACATGCTTCTCAATAAGTACACCTAACATTGAATTACATTTGACATGCGCCTTTATCTTTAATACACAAATTTGTCTTTTGCATCTTCTTGGTATTGAATTATACATTTATAAATCTTCTGTAAATATAAAATATGTATATTTATGTATATTCATGTTTTACACCATCAACTAATGAGCAGAGCCTTCTAAAGAAACTTGGTTTCTTTTGGTATAATCTCCAGGCATTAGTTGAAGTTTTCTTTTCTTTTGTTAATGTTATTGCATTTATTACTGTACTTCATTTTCTTCAAGTTCTTGTTTTCTTTGTTATTGTTACACTCCTAAATGTTCCTGAATCCTGGAAATGAAATAAAATACAGAATAAATAAATACATGTACAAAATTTAGCCCAAAAACAAAAGATTTGTTATCATTTGGGAGGAAAATCAGGAAACACAATGAACACTGATAATTGGCAAGATCATCTGGTTGCATGGACATACATACCTCTCCTTGGTCCTGCAGAAAGCATCTGTCCTCGTTTGCCGGCTGTCACCCCACCAGGGTTCTCTATGTCTATATTATGCTGGAGAGAAGTAGCCATTATTGCTTACTACCAAAACAAACTTATCTGGATACAAGGCAAGTTTGAGAGCTGATCTGTGGAAGCTGAAAATAAGGGTGAGGGTGAGAGAAAAGAAGTTACATCAAATGTTCACATTGTTGATGATTATCAAATATGTATAACATGGCCATCAAGAGGCTAGAATCTAAAGCTTAAGATTGCACTTAGATTATGTGTTTTTTTGTACACATTTCTGTCAAATAATCTTGAAAATGGGTATTGATTAATTAAAGCTTATTTGCCGTAGTTTACAGAGGGGATTAGATCGCTCTGCAAGGTCACTGGACAGGTGGTCATCTCATCAACTCAGCTCTCAGTTAACATAAGAAAAAGAGGATCATGGGGGACCAATGGTCACCGATTAGGCATTGTTTGTTATATAGAGGGCGCAAGTAGCTACCAGTAGTGCAGTGGGCCTTTAAATTTAATGAGTAATCTGAAGACCTACAAACTTACAAGTTGCAACAAGTCGAAATTTGTTTATTTTGGAGTGTTTATTTCTTCAACTAAGTATTAAAGAGGTCATCCACTGCCAAAATTTACACATTTCGTTGTGCCATCTATTACAGAACAATGCAGAATTCTAGATGGGCATCCCTAAGTTCCTAACACATCCTGAGAGAACCTCATTGTTAAAGGCATGATCATGAAGTGCCTCAAAAAAGTAAAATCTTTGAGTGGCTGGTTTTACCATACTCATTTTCCCCCATAGACTGTAGTTTTATAATTTATAACCAGACAGGCGTTCGGCTTGTAAAAGTCATGGGGTTCTTGACTGACCTACATGTACATGTAAATGTTTATAATTATCATTGCAGCATGAGCCAAATCCAGGATTTTGTTTCAGAATCTGAGATAATGTTATTGAGTCATCTTAAAAATGATGCTGAGTTTGCCCTGCTAGTTAACACCAGGCAGATAGACTTAGCCGGCCTTACTATCCTTTTAATAGTCTTCTTTGCTAAGGCTATGCCTACGCGGCTACGCAACACTCTATTTTATTTACCAGACAGGCGTTCGGCTTGTAAAAGTCATGGGGTTCTTGACTGACCTACATGTACATGTAAATGTTTATAATTATCATTGCAGCATGAGCCAAATCCAGGATTTTGTTTCAGAATCTGAGATAATGTTATTGAGTCATCTTAAAAATGATGCTGAGTTTGCCCTGCTAGTTAACACCAGGCAGATAGACTTAGCCGGCCTTACTATCCTTTTAATAGTCTCCTTTGCTAAGGCTATGCCTACGCGGCTACGCAACACTCTAAAACAGCACTCACATCACAACTCACAAACACAGACTCAAGTCAGTCAATAGTCACACTCACAGCACCAGGTCCAAGACCAGTAGGGGCGCTGGTCCGAGAATAAGAATCGTCTGCATAAACAAGGATATCGTCGTAAATACAGGCAAATCGCGTCCTAAAAAATAAAGATCGTCAGCATCACGGGGACAATATTTTCCTCCGACGCTCCCGATCCGCGCCTTGGCAATGCAAAAAACGGATTCCTCATCATAAAATCAGTAGGGGCGCTGGTCCGAGAATAAGGATCGTCTTCATAAACGAGGATCGTCTTCCTAAACACGGACCGATGCGTCCTCAAAAACAAGGACCGTCTGCATTTTTGCAGACATTTCATATTTCTGATCGGCACATTGGCGATGCAAAAAACGGAATCTGCAATGATTTTCTTGATGCATTTTACATTGACATTGTACAGAGACTTGCACATTATAAGCAATAAATCCTTGGGAAGACGGACAACCCATAAAAGTAGACGGTGAACTAGGGTTATTTTCCCCCGGGAAATCCATTTTTGGCATCGCCAGCAGGCCGTTCTGTAACATGAAACCCCCAGAGCACCGATGAAAAAAAACGTCCTCGAAAATGCAGACGACCCTTATTTTTGAGGACGCATTTTGTCCTCGTTTATGAGGATATCCTTGTTTATGAGGACGATCCTCATTCTTTGACCAGCGCCCCTACTGAAAATATCCCGTTAACCATCTACTTTTACGAGTTGTCCGTCTTCCCAAGGAGTTTTCTTTATTTATTTGTGAAAGTCTTTGTGCACTGCATAATCATAAGTGATACAGCATTATGAGGCATCATCGAGGGTAATAGTGAGCACTTCGATTTGTTTTTTCTTTCTCAACACCCCCCCCCCCCCCCCCCCCCCCCCCCCTTCTTCTTCTTCTTCTTCTTCAAAATAATCTGCCTCCTTCACTGCTGAAGATTCTTGCAGATGTGTGCGAGTGCATGTGTGTTGCGACATGGGGATGTCCAGGTGTGCAGGTGAGAGGTGTATATATACATAGTGCCAGTAAAAAAACATTGCCGGAATTTACTTCCCCCCGGTCTTTAGTTGTCGCTGGAAGGCTTCCACTGATGGAGCCAGGACAACCTCAAGAGGGAGAGCGTTCCACTGTCGAACAGTGCGAGGAAAGAAGGAGTGAATATGTTGCTCTGTTCGTGACTGCATGACACGATAACAGTAAGGACGAGACGATCTTGTAGTTCTTACGACTGTTGCCGGTTGGATGTAGTGGTGGATGTCAAAGTCAACCAAAGAGTAGATCTAGTGCATCTTGTACAGTTGAGCCAACAAAAAAATGCATACGATCTCCCTCAAAATCAAACTTCAAAGCAGCTAGCAAGTAGCAGTTCCTCAAAGTTGACAGCCCTGTCACATGTTTTTATAAATTCTCTGACTCCAAAATCAAAAGCTCATGAATGGAAAATTCATGGGAGCACAGTCGCACACCATGATGCACCACCATGGCCATGCACCATCAACACACAGTGTCATGCAATGCATGCTAAGGTGAATGTGATATGTGATGGCTGTTCTGTTCTGTACTGCAGCCTACAACACAGATGGCTCTGCAGTGACAGGCCAATGGCGTATTGGGAGAACTTGTCAAGACTAGGTCTACTTACCGGCACAACGTTATCAGAACGTCCCCAGATTCTATAGATTCTGCAAAAGCTATGCTGCAATTCTTTGTAAAGATCACAAAACACGAAAATAGACTAGTTATTCGAGCTTCAAACAAATCAGAAAGTAGAAAGATTTTTAAACTCGCCGCGCCGATGAGGTCAATGAAAATAATAACATTTAATGCTTATTTCTGATTGGTCCATATCATCGGCTTGAAGTTAGTAGCTAGTAGTAGACATTTTTTTAGCTATGGTATCCTATAGATTTGTGAAGGCAAATCGTTCTTTCGTACATATCAGTGAGGCGAATCAATGACAAACTTCTGTAACGAGAATTAGATGTAGTCTACATGTAAGAACTCAAAACGGTGTATGTATGAAACATTTGATAGTAAAATACAAGAATTTTTTAAAGTTTTTTTTTTTTTAGAGAGACAAAGGGAGACGGAGAGAATGGAAAGAAACCGGGGGGGGGGGGGGGGGGGTTAAGATATCATATGTTAATAGACCATGCAGTTCACCGTACTTTACTGCAATGACCCCTAATATCCACAGATCTTCAAAACATGAAGAGGTCCCACTTTGTACATTTTGAAATAATCACTACTACAGCGATGGAGGTGCTATATAAATAGCCTTTGTTTCCCCTTTTCAAAGAATACTTCCACCTGTTCATCAAGGAGTGCAATGCTTGTGCACAAATGAATAATCTTTACATAACTTTCATGAGCACGCCAGGCGCGGATCCACGTGGCGATTTTTCCGGCCTGGCCCCCCCCCCCCCTAACCCAGAATAAAATTTAAAAAACTAAGATAATTACATAAATTAAACCTATTTTAAGACAAAAAACAAAAGCGCTTCCCCCCAACAAAAAATAATAATATTTTCGCCCACACCATCACCCCCCCCCTGCATATTCACTGGCTGGATAAATCGCTGATAAATATTTGCTCAAGATCAGTTGGGCCCCTCCCTCTTGTCGCCGGCTGGATCCGCCCCTGGAGCATGCATCCAGTACTTCGTCTCCGTGTATTTCAAAATTTGTTCTGCAATGACCTTTATCTGCTCACTCATGCTTAGACTGCAACCGTGAACTGGCTTATTCACTTAAGTCATGCATAATCTATTGATAAATATTTGTTTGTCTTTTTTCAATGCAATTATAATTTGTTTGGCTTCGTTGTATAAAAAAAAAATATGTGGCCTTGCAAAAGGCTTGCATGTTTTTGATTTCACTGGTTTTACTGTTGAAAGTGCCTCCGAAGAAGTCAGAATCATCATTTTGGGAGATGCATGGTGGCATATATTGGCCACATAAAAAAAATCTGTCTAATGTCCAGAACTTAAGAGACATTAAGAAACTTTAAAAAACTTTAAGAAACTATTTACCTCCACATATAGTCCCTCATTTGACTGAAAATGGTTCCATTTATTTATCTTTGTCTGAGTTGGAAACTTTTCAAAGAGGCACAATAGTATATAACCCTAACATATGTGATTTAAATATGCGGTTGTATTAATAATTGAAGATATTAAAGTGCAAATCACATTAAGACCTATGGATAAATTTGTTCGAAAGTATTTTTAGGTGTACTTTTTCAAATTGAAAATTCTTGTTTTTTTGTAGTTGAAATTGAAAATATAAAGTAGATCTTAGACATACAAAATCGAAAGAAAAAAAAGAAAATAATTTTTTAAAGCTACCATAGCTCACTTGGCCAAATATCAACCATCCACATCGCATCATAAATTGAACGATTCGGAGTCCGTGACAATCAAATTTCAATCTTCGAATATCTTTGCGATCTCGACACTTCATCATGAGTAAAGCACATCCACCAGAACTTAAGAAGTATGTTTTTATAAAACTTGTGTTTCATACAATCTACGTTGTTAAAAAACAGAAATATTTTGTCACAAATTAATCGTCCATTGGGTCACTGTGCATTATCGCATTTATTTTACGAACCCAACTCATTTAGTGGATGAGACATCAGACATTTAATGATTTTTCCAAGGTCATAACGGGAATGAAGTCATTGTTAGTCATAGTATTTGTTATTATTTCTGTCATCCTTTTTTCTTTATCAAATATTAAATGTTGCTGACTTAAGCCAGGGTAATTATTGAATATGAACGATCGTGCATCACCACACGTTCAGTCCCGTTCATGTTATTTCATGTAGGGTCGAATACGACGTGGCTTTGCACGAAGACTTGGCGGCGCTTGTTCACCACTCACTTAGCGTAAAGGGCACTCATTCAGAAGCCTATCCAAAATTTGACTCGTAACTCCGTAGTGGAGATACCCCACTAAAACATACCAAAAATGAAGTAAATATTCATCAACAGTAGGGGCGCTGGTCCGAGAATGAGGATCGTCCTCGTAGACAAGGATATCCTCGTAAACAAGGACAAATGCATCGTCAAAAATAAGGTTTTTTTTCATCGGCGCTCTGGGGGTTTCATGTTACAGAACGGCCCGCTGGTGATGTCAAAAATGGATTCCCCGGGCCGGGGGAAAATAACCCTAGTTCACCGTCTATTAATTATGGGTTGTCCGTCTTCCCAATGATTTATTGCTCATAATGTGAAGGTCTCTGTACAAAGTCAATGTAAAATGCATCAAGAAAATCATTGCAGAATCCGTATTTTGCATCGCCAATGCGCCGATCAAAAATATGAAACGTCTGCGAAAATGCAGACGGTCCTTATTTTTGAGGACGCATCGGTTCGTGTTAAAGAAGACGATCCTTGTTTATGAAGACGATCCTATGCTCGGACCAGCGCCCCTACTGATCTAATGTTTAAACAAAGATCATGAGTTAAAAGTCGTTGTTTTATTACCTGTTTCGTGTCAATTTCTTGTTATTTTTGGAGTATTTTTCGGAAAAATGTTGATATCAGTATACACTTTTTCACAGGTTTCACAGCAAACCGCTGCACAATACAACAAGTGCATACCAATGGTGGGTTGTGGGCGGGCGCGCGCCTGTGTGAAGTTATCTACCGTTATGTCTCAGATCCTCATTACGGTAGATAACTTCACACAGCCACAGGCGCGCGCTGTAGTGATTCAGCCAGAGCCAATACGGCTCTGGCGGTTATATGCGCGTAAGTCCCGCATTCGGGCGACACCCGCGGTAGTTTCCGCGGTCAGGTCGATTATTGGGTACATCAGATTGAACCTGAGACTGCACGCGACAAACACTGTTGATTGCCCGTCTCTTCTGTCTCTTCGGTCTACTAGTACTACTACTAGCGACGGTGGAGCTCCACTCAACGAGCAACACTTCAAGCGCTTCTTGAGACAGACTTCAAGCAGTATAGTATACAGCCTATGGTAGGATAAATCCGTATTATTGTCGTTTATATGTAATTATAGTTAAGATTTAGGCCCAGTAAGTAATATTCCGCTCCGTCACTACAATGGCGTAATCGCTCTTTTTCGGACCTGTAGGGGCTAGTTTTTTTTTATCGCGCACGTTTTTGAGCCGCCATCTTGTCGGCGTTCACTCGTGTGTTGAAGGGATTTTCTATTTTTGTAATTTCATTCGTAGGGCCTTGTAAGCTTGTTTATTCCCTATTGGTAGTTGATTAGTGCTGTAGATTAGTATTTTAGGGACTCGTAGAGTATTTTCAGTGCTGTATTCCGATTTTTGGGTACTCATTTCGGTGTTTTGGGGATAATTTTTTGTGGTCGCGCACATGTCCGAGCCGCCATCTTGGATACGTTGACTCGTGTGTTGAAGGGATTTTTTATTTTTGGAACTTTTTTCGTAGGGCCTTATAAGCTCATATTTTTTCATTTCTTGTCTACTTAGGGTTGTAGGATAGTTTTTTAGGGACTCGTTGGTATTTTTACGGCCGTATTTCGATTTTGACATCGGTTTCGGTCAGTTTTTGTACTTACATTTGCTCGTTTTTTTTCTACTCACTAGACTAGTTGTACAGCCGTTTTTTGTCGTGCTCGTAGTTTTGATCCTCTCGCCAGAGTTTTATACTGTGGAGATAATTCCACGGTGTTCTTTTTCGGTGAGGTATAGGGTCGGTTAAGTAGAACTTAGTAAGTAGGGGTAGGCTCTATTTAGACTAGTTTCAACCCTCTTGCCGAAGTATTATTACCGTGGAGATAATTCCACGGTGTTTTTTCGGTGAGGTATACTATGGGTATAGGGTTGTTTAAGTAGGAGTAGAATTAGTGAGTAGGAGTATAATTAAATTAGTTTCAACCCTCTCGCCGAAGTATTATTACCGTGGAGATAATTCCGCGGTGTTTTTTCGGTGAGGTATACTATGGGTATAGGGTTGTTTAAGTAGGAATTTTTTAGTAAGAAACTAAGTAAGATTATGAAAGAAACTAAGTAAGATTTTGGAAAGAAACTAAGTACGTTCTTACTTTTTAAGTAGGCAATAGGTCTTTCCTGTAAGAAACTAAGTAAGAAACTAAGTAAGTAAGCAAGTATTTTCCTTTAAGAAACTAAGTAGTCTAAGCAAGAAGTATTTTCCTTGAAGGAACTACGTACGTTAGTAAGTAAGCAAGAAGGAAGGATTGGGTAGGTACCTAAGTGGGATTTTTGACTGTCAGTCTTGTTTTGGATATCTGTGGATTTTGGGTTAAATCGTGGGTGGTATTTAATTTCATCTTCATTTCATCATTACTAATATTGTACGGCCATCTCGCCGAGCATTATACCGTGGAGATAGTTCCGCGGTGTTTTTCGGTGAGGTATATTGCCGGTTTAAGTGTAGTCCTTTAGTGTTACTTAGTAGGGTTTAGTTTTGGCCCGCTCGCTGAAGCTGTTCACCGTGGAGATAATTCCGCGGTGTTTTTCAGTGAGGTTTAGGGTTTCAGTATTTACCTGTCAGGCACTTAGTAAGCTATTAGGAAACTAAGTAGGGTATTATTAAGTAAGCAAGAAGGAAAGATTGTATGTGTATTTAATTTTATCATTTGGTTATATAATCGTTGCTGATTTGAAGCCGGTTATGACCTCGGAGAGGGTTAAAGTGAACTATGGGACTGAGGAGGCTTTACTGGCCGTTGTGGATAGAACTAAGTCCCACAAGATTTTTAGTTGGAGGGAGCAATGTGGGAGTTTAACTGAGGAGTTATTTTTGCAGTGTCCCCGTCTCCATGAAGCCAAGGAGCTGGTACATTTATTTGATTTTGAGCCTTATCGGGTGGATCAGGCTGAGCAGGCACAGGGGGTGGGGGAGGGGACTGGGCAAACCTTGACTGCACAAACCCAGTCTGTCCAGAGTCCGGGTCCCGTTCCTTATGGGCATACAGTGTACCCCCCATTTTCGGGTGAAGGCCCAGCTGGGCCTATATCCGGGTCTGCGCCCTCCCCAGCCGGGCCCTCCGCCGACTATCGGCTTAGGGATGATAGCAGTGTACCCTCCAGGGAACCCCCACGTAGGGATTATCCCTCTTCTAGGGATTTCCCTCCTAATAATCATGGTCCATCTTCCAGGGAACCCCCCCGTAGGGATTATTATTATCCCCCGTCTAGAGAATCCCCTTCTAGTAATTGTGGTCCGCTTTCCAGGGAACCCCCACGTCGGGATTATGTATATCCCCCTTCTGGGGAATCCCGACCTGACATTCAGTATCCTCCCAGGGAATCCTCACCTGGGGGTCAGGGAGAGTACCGGTCGCAGGGGCGCCGGGATTGGCCCCCCCGTCTGCCGAGGTCACTTAATTACGATGGGCGAACAAGTTGGCATTCCTTTCTCAGGAAGTTCACCAGTTATGCTGTATCGTGTCAGTGGAGCCCAAGCGAGTGTTTGGACGCACTGGGCTGGTGTTTGGAGGGGTCGGCCTCAGAGTGTTTTTCGAACCTTAGGGATATGGGCACTAATTCTTATTACCATATGTTAACAGCGATGGGGCGTCGGTTTGGGGCTACCCGATTTCCGGAGGAGGCCATAGCCGAATTTCGAACGGCTCGCCAACTCCCGGAGGAGTCTCTTCTTGGGTGGTCCGATCGGCTCCAAGCTTTGTCCTTTGAAGCTTTTGGGTGGGACCAACGGGGTGACAGCACTCAAATGGTATTGCAGTTATGCCAGGGTTGTACGGATACGGCGGCGGGTTTAACAGCTCTCAATACGCGCCCGAAGTCCGTCGAGGAGGCCCTGGAAGCCATCAGGTGGGCGCAACATACCCAACGTGTTGTTTATGGGAGCGAGGCTCGCCGTACGTATTCGGCTTCTCGGCAGCAGGTGCAGCAGACTTGCATGTACGATCAGGAGGTGGACAGGTATGATACGGTAATTTATCATCATAGGCAACCCCATCCCCTAAATCGTTCCCCAACAGTTTCCAAAGGTCAAGATGTTCCCCGTCCGGCTCCCGTGGAGGACCGGGGGAAGGTCACAACGCCTTTTGAAGTTCAGGCCAGGAATGACATTGGCTATTTAAAAGAGGAAGTCGCCAGTCTTAAGACGCATGCGTACAATACCGATTGTATGCTAGAAGAAATACTGAAGACTGTTAAGTCTTTGGAGTTTTCTATGCTTTCCAATGCCCGCCCTCTATCTCCCGTGGCTACTGGTGTTCCGGAAAACCTGGAGGGATCGGAGAGCGAGGCCGATCTCCGATCTGGAAACCGAGAGGCCTACAATCGGTAAATACTGGGGTAGTTAATGTAGTTAGTGACCCGCCGGACTCTTCGGTCGGTCCCTTGGACAAGGTAGTTAATGTTAGTGACCCGCCTGACTCTTCGGTCGGTCCCTTGGACAAGGTAGTTAATGTTAGTGACCCGCCTGACTCTTCGGTCGGTCCCTTTGTCAAGGTAAATAATGTTAGTGACCCGCCTGACTCTTCGGTCGGTCCCTTTGTCCAGGTAGTTAATGTTAATGTTATTGTCGCTAGGACGGCCGTGGTGCCTCCTTCTAGTGGGAAGCGGGTAGGATGTAAGGTTGTTGGGAGTCCAGGGCTCCAGAGTAAGGACCTTTCCCTTTTCCAGCCCACCCGCAGGCTCCCATTTTGGATTCCTCGGATCGTGTTTGATCGGGGGAAATAACATGTTAAGTATATATATTATGGTTCATTATCAAAGCCATTCACAACGGCTCGTCCGCAAGGACATGGTGCCGGTTCCTGTTCCTGGGAAATAACATGTTTGTTTTAAATATATATTTTTTAGTTCACTTTTGTTTACACTGTTTAATTTCATTGTAAATCGTCCATTCTGAGTTCCTGACCTTTAAGTGTTGATGTTTTTAAACTGAATAGATAACAATTAAATAAACCTGAAAAGTTTCTGCTTCGGTTAGCGGAGTTATCTATGCTGAATTAGCTGCTCCGCTTTAAGAGCTGACTAGGAAGCATTCTTTCCACAGGGAGACAGAGCACTCATGTGTGTTCGAGGCCATAAAACGGCCGGCTTTTGATATCTCCCAAGTGACACTACGTGGTTCCAATAATAAGTCAGAATATGATCATGTTTGGGGGGAGTAATTCCTCTGGAGTAATTCCTCTGGATCAACAAGAGCCTTTTGGATTTGCTTGATGGTGTTGTGGGCCTGGGTGCCCTGAATGATACCAGGAACTTGCCGGTAGTGGCTATTGTGCCCCCGGGTGCCGAGTGGCCCAGAAAATGTAATCTTATTTTGTTGAAGTGTTTTCACCTTCTATATCATTTTCCATCTGATTTCAGTGATCTGCTTTTATCATTCTAATACTTCCTATATGCACCGTTTGGACTGCCTGTAGGGAGCCGTTTGGCTCTCATGTGGGACTGCCCAGTTTCTGGACATTGTACCATCCAAACTGCACTTGGGGAATGGGGAGCCATTGGGCTCTTCCCCTTTTCTGCACACTTATTGCCATTCATCGTTTATGTTGATCACTCACACTTTCATGCTCGGTCACCTTGGGAATTTAATGTAATGCCCCGGTTAATCCCTTACGCCCGTGCCAAGACGTATTGCACTTTTTCATTATGTATTACCGGCACGGTAAGGGTTAACTGGTATATTTCTGTTTCTTTATGCCTGTAATGCCTTAATCCCTTACGCCCGTGCCAGGACTGCTATTCTTTGTCATTTACACGTGACACCGGCACGGTAAGGGTTAACTGGTATAATTCTGTTTCTTTCTGTTCTTGATCCCTGGGACATTTCCGGGACTTGAATCCTATTTAGTACTTAAATATACCAAATTGTGGAATACAGTGCATTTTACATTTTACAGTGCATTTTACCTGTACTTTACATAATATTTCCCGTACCAAAGTTTGGAATACAGTACGTTGTAAGGTATGATAAAGGCGCCCGCCCCCTGGAAAGACCAAGACTTCACCGGTGCTGGCAAGGAGGGTCCTTGACCCATCCACCAGCGGGAACGGCGTGACCCCGCACTGCGGTACGGGAGTAGTTTTAAGTTAGTTTTAGTTTAGTTTTAGTTAGAAGTAGGCTTCAAACTCATTAAGTGGGGAATAATGTAGTGATTCAGCCAGAGCCAATACGGCTCTGGCGGTTATATGCGCGTAAGTCCCGCATTCGGGCGACACCCGCGGTAGTTTCCGCGGTCAGGTCGATTATTGGGTACATCAGATTGAACCTGAGACTGCACGCGACAAACACTGTTGATTGCCCGTCTCTTCTGTCTCTTCGGTCTACTAGCGACGGTGGAGCTCCACTCAACGAGCAACACTTCAAGCGCTTCTTGAGACAGACTTCAAGCAGTATAGTATACAGCCTATGGTAGGATAAATCCGTATTATAGTTGTTTATATGTAATTATAGTTAAGATTTAGGCCCAGTAAGTTATATTCCGCTCCGTCACTACAGCGCCGTACCTAGGATGTGGGCGCGCGAACGTGCGTGAAGTTATCGTCTGTATTCACGCATGCATGCAAGAGCCTGTGCGTTATTTATACGCTTGTCACACTGTACTGATGCATAGCACATAGAACTTTTACGCATTGAGTGGTGTACATTTAGATAACGCGCTCCCATTTGCCGATCCACTCGAGTGGCTACAAATTTAAGTGAGAGAGGGCCCATCGTAAATCTCTTTGTATAAGACACACCCCTATTTTTTCGGCCGAGAAAAAAAATAAAAATCTGTGAAATGAGTTCTGATAGTTCATGAACCCAGAAATTATCTAGTGCACATGGTAGGTAAGGGTAGTTTGAATCTCTTGGTTTGAGAAAATCTTTGAGTGTATATGATGTTAACCAAACTAGTGGAACCTCTGAGTACTTCATGAGGAAAACACTTGCCCTCTCTGATACACTCCAGGTTTTTGCCTCTTCCCTCCAAACCTCTTCCCGCACCCGACAAACATTGCTCACTGGCTTCAGAGTTAAGTGGACTCTTCTTTCCTCAAACTATTTTTTTTTGCGTTACTAATTTTACAATAATATCATAATAATGATTAGTTGAGTATACAAAGGCGCAAGCACTGAATTTAGGGAACTCCCTGGACGGGTGTCTTTTTACACTAGCGAAAATTACACTCGATGGCGAGTATCCAAATTCAACCTCTTTCTGTTTTTGTTTTTTCTTTCAGGTTCATGGACAAGAGATTGTCATGTAAGTATCTGGATTATCTATTTATCTTTATTCAAATAAATGTTGTGTGGTACGAGTGAGAATATATTGTGTGTTTATGAATTATTAGTGTGTCCAACATCAAACTTTGTAAGTGGCTTGCTGGGATGAAATATAGTTTCTTCATGATGAAACCATATGAATTATTAGTTTGTACATGTGTATCATCTAAGTCAATAAGGAAAAAAGCAAATAGCGTAAATTGACTAAGATACATTCTACATCCATTTTAAATGGTCATACGCTGTATTTTCAATCTTGCATTTGTGAACCCATCAATATATCGTCAAATTATTTTTGAAACGGTAAAAAATAACTTACATAGAATCTCTTTTCTTTAATCTAAAATTGATCAGAGATTGTCATAAGTTTTTAGCGGTTCATTTCTTGCTTGATATGATAGTGATTTTTATTTACTGTGCCAAATTAAACCAAAACAGAGATCACTTGTCAATGGACAAAAAAAAAAGTTCATGTATGAAATTGCTGTGCTTCTTTTTATGATCTAGTCAATTCATGTCATGTTTGATTTTATTTTTAGGATACCATTTTTCATTTATTTGGGAATAAATACATGAATTGTAGATTGAATGTGTTTTTGTCTATCCTTTTAATTGGACAGTAAAATTGAATGGCAACCGTAGAGTGACCGGAGTCCTTCGAGGATTTGACCCCTTCATGAACCTTGTAATCGATGAAGCAACAGAAGATATCTCAACTACACAGAAGAATGACATCGGCATGGTGGTAAGCTATTCTTCCGCATCATACAGCATCCAGTGACAGTTGCTCTATAGTCCATTCCTACGCAACATAATTCTTCCTTCAATCCTGTAGCTAACCCTAACCCCAAGTCTAATACCTAAAACCAATTGCAGCCATTATCCTTACTGTGTATCTTTGACGAAATAAAGCCTGGAGCTGAAGCAAATGTCAGAGCACCCTCTCCCCTTTTTCTTATGCAAAAATTTGCAGGTGTAATGCTCCTGATTTAAAGATGCTGTAGCTTTATATCACTCTTAAAGTTTTTTTTTTCTTCTAACGTTTTTACATGGTTGAAAAAGTAGCAGAAAACTAAATTTGATTTGGAATGTAAACAAAAGAATTGATTGATGGGCAGTGAAGTAAGAATAACAGACTATGAATTGATCTCATTTTTATCCTTCTCCTTTTTTTTCGTCTGGTTTTTCCAACAGGTTGTGAGAGGAAATAGTATCATCCTTCTCGAAGCCCTAGACAGAGTCTTATAGCGATAGACATCCAAAGATCGGACTAGAAGTCACTCATCAGTTCCATTGACTAGTACCCGATTGGAAAGTTGGAAGAGGATACCACTTGTGCAGTCAACATTTGAACTTCACTAATTCAACAAGATTAACCAGAAATAACTCTCAACCATATCGTGAACATCAAAGCTGTTGTCTGTCGAAATTCAGATGTTAATTCCACAATCATGTGATTTTTTGGAGACAATCAAACAAAGAATCGAATGAACAGAAGTCCAACTGTAAATAAACGTGTAAATAGATTTGTGTCATTGATGGAGATATGTTTCTTATTGTAAGATGTAACTTAGTTCATGGGGTTGGGCAGGGAGGTTTTTGATAGATTTTGTGAACACATTACTGTATTTATATTCTGGCACAATGATGGTTTTACAGAGAAAGCAGGATATTTGGATATTTCTTTTAAAAATTGCACTCGATGCTCTGTCTGTAAAAGATTTAGTTTTCTTGGAAATATACAGAGAATTTTTCAATTTTACTGTTATTTTAACTTGTTAGCTCACAAAGGACATCCTTCAGAATTTATGCAACTGTCTTGCAAATGCTACTTCATAAACTCAAACATACAGTGCTTGTATTCTGTGGATTTCCCAGTAAGTTGTAATTATTTCAGACAATGCTATTTATTGCTTCTCGTTCATTTTGAAAGATTCTGATGATGTGATACATCATTTCGAGCAATGAATATATTGTGTTGGGATAATATGCAGCCTACTTTTATTTCTGCATGTCGTATTTAGTTGACAAATTTGTGGCAAGCAATGCTTTGCAAGAGCCTTTAAATCATTCATTTGTACACATTGTCATTACAAGTGGGGTTGGGGGCCTTGGGGCATTACACATACACTGTACTATCCATAAATTAGACAGCTGTAACCTGTAACAAACATCAAAATTGTTTGTATTTTCATTTTGTGTAATAAATTCAGCTTGTACATTTTTATAAAACATGGTGTTGTGATTCTTTTGCTGGATGTACTGGTAGGGAATTGTCCTTTGATCAGAATGTAATTATAGTAGGGCTACACTCTTTCTGGATTGAACAGTTGGGAGTGTATGCAATGCATGAGACCCATGGTAGAAGTTTGTGTCCTGGGTGCCTGTTTGTATTAAAGCCCTGAACATAGGAAAACATGGTTCATCATGTGCCTGGCAGAATGGTGTACTTGAATTGCAGTGAAACTTTAAAATGAATTTCCACCCCGATATTAAGTTGGTTTTAGTAGAAGCAGAAAAATGAGAGGAATAGGTCAGTGAAAGTTTGAGCAAAATCCAATGAAAAATAAAAAAGTTATGAATTTGTAAAGTTGCAATCAATCAAACACATATTTGCAACTCTGACGAATATAACTAAGAAAATGAAAATTCATGAAATTTCTGCATAAAGTAAATTTGAGAGGACCTTGCAAGATACGTCACAATGACCCCAATTTATGTTTCACTGATGACAACTTTAAAAATTTGTAACTTTCCTACTTTTAATGGGATATTGCTAAAATTTTCACCATTTTGTTTTCAAAAAATTGTTGAGAAGTTAACAATTCCGAGTCGTGTCGATGAGGTAAGAAAAAAGCTCCAAATTCTTAATTGTATACATCTGGTCAAGCATGCTCTTGCACATGGTAAAACTAAGCTGGGGGGGGGGGGGGGGTGGAAGGGAAATGGCTTTAATGCATACACATGGTTTGAGGAAGAACAGGTATTCTTTTTTTTTTAATACAAACATCTGTCATTCATTTAAATGCTTCATGATTTATTTATTTTAACTGGAAAGTAGATGTAGATTGGTTGGCTAATTTTTTTTCCTTCTTATATTGGCCCTGTTGAAATAAACTACTAGTGACAATATATTCTGAAAATACAAACTGGACAAGTATAGAACTACATGAAATTGCCTTGTTTTCTTCAAACGTTTCATAATTTAATGAAATATATACACATTTTCTCATTTATAAACAAGTGTATAGGCATATGTACAATATATTACATCATTAAAATGTGGATAAAGTTAACAATTTGGACGGAATAATGTAATCTGTTAGTGGAAAGTCAAATCAGGTAGATTTTTTAAGGACTTGGAGGGCAACTGATTTCAGTTTACCAGAATTCTGATGACTAGAACATTGCATCAACTTGCATCAACCAATTCATAAGTGTTTTCAAATAATTAAAACTGCTATTTTGATGACCTGAACATTAATTTACACCCGGCACAGATATATTAGCAAAATACACATTCCGACTATTAAAGTCTATAAATGTACTGTGAGGTTTGTAGGGAGAAATCATCAATGGTTTGAAAATATTTGTGAACTGGATCTTTCCTCTGGATATAAATTAAATGACACCTTTCCTTATGAAATTTATAAAACAACTTATAATAAATTTAAACAAATGTAATGGAAAATCCATCTTAAACTGTATCATGTGTATTCACAACATTCACACAATTTAGTAGATTCTTTTATGTCTTCAAGAATGGGACACACAAATTAATTTCTTTTTCATTTCTGTTTTCTGTAAGAGGAATGGATACAGAATTTAACAAGCAAATCAAACAGCTTTTAATTTTTATTTAGAATGCATTGCCAATAAAACCATGTGTTCTTTGAATACATGGAAGTGCAACTAATTACAAAAGACATTTAAATTTGGACCTCATGTTGGCCCTGGTTGGTCCCATCCATATGGTTGTACATTACTTTCCTTATGATGGAAAGTATGCTCTCAGTCCTTTAGATTGTGTTGTCAAACCCATAACATGTAGTGGGACTGCTAAGGATTCAGATAACACATCTTATAAACATGTCTGCCTATTTACTCCCATCCTGCTCACTCTCTGCGCCCTCTGATGGAGGGGGTGTAGGGGGTCTCTTGACGGGGAAGGCGAACCCCTCGTGGACCCTCAGCTGACCCTGTTCCTTCAGGGTCTCAGAGATCCGGAGAAGACGGTTGTACTTAGAGATCCTCTCGCCCCGGGCAGGAGCACCGAACTTGACAAATGTAGCTCCAATGCCAACAGCCTATAACAGATAAAAAGGCATCTTATTAGTATTTCAATATTCAAATTCATACATTTTCAGCTGAACTAGCAAAGAGGTGTCCAAACACTACACTGTTTCCTGTAGGATTTTACTCCATGTAACATTACCAGCTGAAAGGATGAAAGCATTACCAGGTAAATAGGAATGTTCATCCTGCTAAAGCAGTACATTCGTGATAAGCTGAAAACGTCACACCTCTTAACACAAATCTCATTTTTGATGTGATATGTGGTGGTGGATTACACAGTGCATCATGCATTTGGGGAGTAGATTTGTTTCTTAACAGACCTAGATAAATGGAACAAATTGTTCCTCGAGATTGTGAGCTTGAAGATATTTGGTTGTTAGCCTTAAAGCCACACTGTCCTACTTGTAGCTACTTGCTCCCTCCATATAGAAAACAATTCTTAATCGGTGACCATTGGTCCCCCATGATCCTCTTTTTCTTATGTTAATTTGGAGCTGAGTTGATGAGATAACCACCTGTTCAGTGACCTTGCAGGGTAGTCTATAATCCCTCCTATAAACTAGGAAAGATAAGCTTGAATAAAACCAGAACAGTCAAGTTCACAATAACATCATTAACAAAGCCCAACCATCTTTAACACATAAATTTTACTTGTCTCTATAATGCCTATTCAAATGAACACATCAGGATGTTGATCTCCAGGAAAATACTGATGTGTCTACATGTTTATTAAGTTTGATACTTACTAGGTCTGCAAGGAATGTATCGGAGGTATCACCAGGTACACTGGAAATGGCTGTGATTGATGCCTCCTCTGTCATGGAGAAGAGAAGAAATGGGGGAGAACCAAAAAAAATCCCATGTAAGCTACTGCATAACATTTCTCCTTCTGTATGTTGTTGTGTATTATTTGTTCTCCAACTTATTTCATCCTTTACTTACTTTGATACCAATGCTGATAGTACAAATAATTGTTTAAGAAAGTAATTTGACCCTTTGCAGAATCTTCCATTGTATGAAAAACAATTACTTTCTGGGGAATAGAAAGAGAAATAAAAAAGCTGTGGCTAAATATTGACTGCTCAATTGTCATGAGCCCGACATTTCTTCTCCTTATCTTCATTGTACCTTTGATGATTGTAGCAGCCAGGATGATGTTTGTTACGGTGGTCATCTGATGCAGACGTAGCGAGGCACCGCTCGCTGCCAGCTCACCAAAGCCTTCTTGAACAAACCTCTCTACACGGGGGTAGACATGTTCCCCTATGATGTAACACTTCTCTGACAGACGCTCACAAAGTTTGGTCCAGACCTCGGAATCCTGGAATCAAAGATTGACAATAACATTCAATTCAATTCTCATTTATTTCCCTCTCGGTTAAAAATTACATTGATACAAAGGATACAAAATAATTCATAAACAAATTTTGAAAATGAAATGGGGAACTCCATAAATAAAGCCCTTAGGTCTTGTACAAGCCTAGTTCCATAAGCAATAAATAATATGTATCATAATATGTTGCTTCCTTTATAAGAAATAGTGAGAACATAATCTTGTATATTTACTTCCACTGTTCATTTGAAAGGAAACAAATGGAATAGAAGAAATCCTGATTGATCCTCGAAGCATTTCTGTTACACAGTTCATTACCTGTTTTTCTTCTGATTTTCCACTTTGTTCTAAATTTTTTCACCTTTTAACTTCCTATTTTGAGGGAAACAGGTTATAAAATTCACCCTGATTGATTCTTACAGCATTTGACTTTCATACATCATCCTCAGTCTTCCCAGTTTCCATTCACACTCGCATTTTTCTGCTGACCTTTCTTCATCTTCTTCCTTCCTTTATTTTGATGCCTTTTTCTGTCTCCAGCTTATGATTCACCAGTTTTATAGAATAACCATCCAATTTTATAACTACTGGATAGTGTTTGTTAAATATCAGCATATAATTCAATTATATCCTCTATCTTATGGTTTCTATAACTATTGTCAATAAGCTACATTGTTACCTGTTTTCTGAGTGGGTCGATCAATGCAATGATTGCTGGGTAACGGTTGATGATGTCAGCATAGAACTCAATCATATCCTCCGATGTCTTTAGCATACCAGTCATGACCTCATATTTGCTCTTTTCCTGAAATCATGAATCAGATGTGCAATTCAATATAATGATACACAATGTGAAGCATCATACCTAACTCCAGCAGTATAATTCACATAATCATAATCATATTTTTAGAACCGCATCATTAAAATGTATACAAAGGTGTGTCCCTTGAACATTCATTTTCAAACTCGGGATACAGTCCCAAAATTCAACACTATAACATTGATAAGTTAGTATATAATACAAAAGTTAGCAATGTCATTTTCTAGAGCAATGGCTTGAAAACATGTGCAGTGACAATAGGTAAGATGATTTCATCAGAATCTAAATAGAAGCGAATGCAACATAAATTATTATTGATTTCTTAACATTGTATGCATCTATATATTATCATAGAGACATCAAAACATTATGAACTAGAACCTTTGGTTGATTATGATACTTACTGGTTCATATATCTCATGTGCAGCACAATTCAAAGCAATGTAGATGTCTTCTCCTGGTGTTAGTTCCAGGGCTGTAACCGCCTCTTGGACCAGATCTAGGAACTGTTCCTGACGATCATACTGGGGCGTGAAGGTTCCATTGTCATTGACATAGTATCCTGGAACCTACATGAAATGAAAGTGTTCAAAAGAGTGGTCTTAGTTTTCTCTGTAGGGACTTTTGACTGGAAGGACAGGACAGGGTGGATTTTATGCAACACTCCACTTATACAATGAGAGAGAGAGAGAGAGAGAGAGGGAGAGAGAAAGATTGGGAGAGAGAGAGATATTGGGAGAGAGAGAGAGAGAGAGATATTGGGAGATATTGGGAGAGAGAGGGGGAGAGCAGCGAAGGAATGGAAATTAATCCATCATCATCAGGGGCTTGTAATATACATGTATTACTTGATTAAATCTGATTATCTTTTACTTTTCATGAAAGAATCATCAACTAAATAATTTAAAAATATTGGTCTGCTGACAATTTCTTTCATTGATTGTGATACTCAAGCTGTCTGCTGAGAACCGTATAAAAAGCTGTACTCTATTTTAATGGATATGAGTCCAACCCTGTCCTGGTTCTCAACACAAAATACGAAATGGAGTAACAGCTAGAGCAATTATAAACAATCGTACATGTTCAACTGAATGACTTACCCCTAACTTAGAAAAGAGGAGCTTTCCAATTTGGTGATACACACGGGTCACTTGCTTCATGCCCTGGGTAAGAAAAGACATTCAAAAGAAATGATTAAGAGTTTTCATAACCTTGGAGAAAAATGTATGATCAGGGCCCATTGCATAATGCTTAGCATTGATGATAACATCCATTGAAACCTTGATTTGATTGGCTGTTGAGTGATGTTGCCATGGTAGTTAATATTGATGGAAAAGTTACCATCAGTGGTATATTTATGCAACAGGGCCCTGATCTTATGGTACTTGGAACAAAATCGTCATTTTAATCTTGATTGATAAAAAGAGAACATTTAAGATTGGACGGTAAACTTGCCTCAACTTGAGTGAGTGACAATCCATGTAAAAGTCATCAGAGACTCTTATTCTTATACTACTCTGAAAACATTATCAATACTTTCTTAGCATGTCGGCACTTTTATCATAGCCATTATCATATTCATGATCTTATTTTATAATAATCAGTCCACATACATAATGTTAATGGTGACCCAATATTTCCTCTAGCAACATTTACCTGGGGCTGGGGACTTCATTTCATCAATGAGTTAGGATTTTGATTAGAGATGTAATTAGGTGTTATGTAAGGTTTAGAGTATGGTATAGTGTTTAGCCTATGTAAGAATGTAGATCAAACCTGCTTTAGTGACCACCTGTATACAAAGACCACATTTTTGTTTCCCTTGAAAATGGTTTCTCATTGAAACATGTACTAAAGAAACCTGTACATAAAGACCACCTGCCTATAAAGACTACTTTTCTTGTCTCCCTTGGGTGGTCTTTATAAACAGGTTTCATTGTATGTGGTTCCTGTAGGAAAGTGACCACAGAGAAATTGCCAGAAGAGCATGTGCTGTAAAACCTACCTCTTCCAAGGGTAGTCCAGGCTTAGGTAGAATCAGGAGTTCCTTGATGAGGTTCTGTTTGCCTGGTGCAGGTTTACCAGAGCTCAACACACTGACCATAGGCATAGGCATTGTGAATACATCCACTTCCTACACAGATAAAAGAGTATATAATGGGAATCATCACACATATCAACATAAAAATAATCACAAGATATATTACCGGTAGTAGAAAATATAAACATCATGCAATACAATAATAGCAATTCCATTTCTTTCAGCATAAGCTGCATTACTGACTATTCAAATATTACATGAACGATAGTGTTTGCAGTACAGCTTGTTTCTTTGGTGTCATTCTCAATTATTTGTTTGATGTATGTAATCATAAAATAATGATTATGTTACAGTTTGGCTCTGATGTTATTGCATAATAAGCTTTGTAAATAAAACAAACATTTTAAGAATGAAAAAAGTGATACTTCATTGCTGAAAAACTACTTTATATCCATTGCTTTACATTTTCAACAATGCAACTGAACTATATCATACAGTCTTATAACAGCCAAATCTCTATTTCTTAAAACAAACTATGATGACATATTGACTACACAGAGTTTGGCCAACCCGGTTCAAGTTGGACACAAGATGGCGTCTACTGCTTTGTTGGGCAAGCACAAAACAAAAGAATATATGCCATGTTGTGACCCAGTGAAATCAAGTTTGCCAAACTCTGTGTATAGATGGCTCTGGGTCTACACATACCACATTGCCGGCAGCATTGCAGATGTGTTCGTAGAATTCCACCTTCTTCACCGCTGCACCCGCCATTGCAACCGCCTGAGATACGGCACAGGCTGCACTGCATGCTGGGTACAACGGCTCCTTCGGCTCCTCCAGGGCTACTATGACTGACCTAGCGCTCCCTGCCTTCTTCTTCCCCTTTGGAGAGATGGTTTTCTCCTCCTTGGCGGGCTCTTTAGGCTCCTGGTTGAGCTCCTCCTCGATCCGTTTGAGCCGCTCGTCCTCCTCCTTCTGGTCAGCTTCAGCTTTCAACTTGTCAATTAGTGTTCTGAAGGGATAGTGATGTAGGTGTTCATGAGGTGTAACTTGTAAAGTGTCATTAAAATTCAGAATGATACCAACAGTATAACGCAGAACCTCTCATTTAAAAAAACTCCTTCTCAGCTTTCAACTTGTCTATCAGTGTTCGGAAGAGAAAGTGATGTTTTTACAATTGAAATGAGGGTCTCTCTAGGGCCAAATGCTAACAGGTGTTCACTTGTATAGTGTCTTTAAAATTCAGAATGATGCCAACAGTGTAAAGCAGGACCTCTCATGTCAAACAACCCCTTCTATAATGGTGTGTGCGGAGCCCTGGTATTATTATTGTTATCAAGTAACTTTATTTATTACCTGGTAAGTCAAGACAGTTTTTGTTCTATGACACATATCTAACATTACATACACTTGCATGATGCATGATTTCTCCTTACCAATAACAAATTAATTTAACTTTCAAAAATATAAGATCATTTTCAAAATTAACATATCTTAAAACATCTGTAAATCTACAGTACTGTCTGTCAGACTTGACTTAAGTTTGTTAACCACTACAACTGGAACTCTATAAAATGTCTGTATAATGGAATTTTTGACAAATAAGAAAATAATGAAATAAGGATCACTTCATCATCTCTAGAAATGTAAGTAGGAACATTATTTCTATACTTACAAGACAACATCATCAACCTCTTTCTGGTCTGTTGGATCTACACCACACAGTGCCTCTGTAAGTTGACCATTGATCAGTGATACCGCAGCTCCTGTATTTTGTTGTCTTTCTTTCTCTTCTGCTTCTCTCTTCTCCAGGGGTATGTTATCAGGGTAATGGTTGTAACTGCTGGCAGTAGCAGTGGAGAAATGCTGAAAAATATTGAACACATAACACAATAAATGAGATACTAAAGATAAGAATATCCCCCCCCCCCCCAATAGAGTACATCATTATGTAATGTGGCTACAATTTTAGGTAACATAAGTATGTAGATATATATGGATATGTATGTGGGTTTGTACAAATAACTTCATCTGGCAGTGCCATTGTTTGACTTTGTTCAATATAAAACACTAAACGAGGCTATATCTACTTCTTCATTGCACTATACAGGGCAAAAGGAAGATTTAAACTAAAAAAAATAAATTAAAAAACATCTTTCAGGAAGGTTGGAAAATGGTACTTGAGGCAAATAACAACATTTCTGTCAATGATCTATCTTAAATTCAAAATGGAGTGAGGGTTGTTAGTTGGACAAACATTAAATTCTCTATTTCAATATATTGTTTTATTGGTTGTCAGCTGTTCTATCATTATAATCTTTATTTAGACAATTAATCATGTAGAACAGTTTATATACTATGCCGATTTAACCCTAAATGCATGTTTAACAAAAAAATTCCTTAGTTTTCCTACCTTTTCCAAACCTTTGATGATACAGGAGATGTCTGCTTGAACTGTGGGTTGACCTTTGCTATCGTAAACCTCTCTCCCGCTTACTTTGTGGATCACTGGAGGCTTGGCCTTGCTCTCAAAATATTCAGACTGTAAAAATAAAAAGTTTGGGAGAAAATTGGAAATCCATATTTAATACTCTATTTAATAAACAGAGAAATTGTTATTTTGTGCTCACTTTGGTAGCTTTTGAAATCAAGACTGATGTAAGATAAAAAAAAATTATGAATGATTTTTCTAAATAAAGTTTTATCGAAACTTCATCTTATTACTGAAATTAGCAACACAATGATCATTTCATCTGCAACATTGCGGATATTTGCCCCGTACATTTATCAATGGGTCACAGGAAAATATTTTTCTAATGTATGCCCTTACAAAATCAGAAAGGCTTCAAATGATACAGCTCTATTATTGTGATAGTTCCGAATTATTGCATACCAGATGATCAAATCTCACTTTTAAGTCATATTTCTGATCGTTTACAATCATGAAATTGCACCTGTACTGGTGATACGTATGTTTGAAAGTTTCTGATTGGTTGTTTGTTTGTTTATCTTACCAGATAGCCATAGACATCAACAGGGCTTTCATGAAACATATTATTGAGAACTTCCTCAATCTTCTCTGGTACTTGATTCTCTTTGTAGAAATGGACTGCCCTCTGTTTCATCTCATAGAATTCCCTTGCACTCCTCTCTGAAGCTCTGCTGGCAGCCATCTTGGATTATTTTGTACTTCCCACTACCAAGCTTAAATTTTTAGGTTCCTGTAAAAAAAAAGAAGAAAAAAAAAGATATTCTCTGACCCCTTACAGTTTTGTTTAGAAGAGGATTGGGTTATTGGTTAGGATTAGATTTAGATTTCAATTAGCTTAGAAACATAAATCTGTTGATTTATTTTAATACATTGGTAAAGTATATATATAGACAATAGGCCAAGGCTATTAAGTAAGACTAAAGGCTATAAATCCAGTAGAGGCTGGATATAGACTGGACCAAAATATCAGTATATTTCGTTCGGGGATATAGAGGTCTATGTTCCACTATAAGATTTATACGTCTGGCTTCAACTAGACCTAATTGTTTGCCTTTGGAGGAGACAAGATATGTTTTAAAAACCCTCCAAGGCACATAGTCATAGATGATTGATAGACATAGATAGAGAATAGACAGTATAGATCTAGTCTACTCTTATTGTCTTAATTTCTCAAATGTGTGGGATTGTAATTTCCAGGCACACATTCTGTACAGGTCTACGAAATGCAATGCCAATGTCAATGACCTGACATTAGTTACCTTTGCATGTCTCAGCTCATCTTACTCATACCCAACAAAGTCTGCTTTTAACTTGAAACTTAATTTTGGAAACTTACATGAATATGAACTTTTCAAGCTAGCAGGTTGTATCTTTATTCTGTTCTTCAAAGTGAGCTCAGTTCATGCAAAAAGTGGTGCAGCTCATCAATTTTGCGAGAGATTTTCTAGTATTCTACGACAACCCGTTGACCTCGTAATCCTACGGCAAGCTACATGTAACATGTAATATTCCGTTACTAATAATTGAAATAACAAGTGAAATCTGCTTTAGTGAACATATTAGATAACATAAGGATATTTTAATTTTCTTTCATACATAAAATAATAACGATAACCAAATTACTATTAAAAAACAAGTTTTACAAAGCTCATCTAAGCCGGGAGCGCTAGACAGTCAGGCAACACGGCGCATTCCATACACAACCCGGAAGCAAGAGGACTCCTTAGCAACTGTAAACAATCACATGCACGTACTGTATGTATGGCACTGCGCCGCTAACGCTACGGTGCATACGTTTATTAAACTTCACGGATAGTCTAATTGAAATTAAAATTACAGCAATTATTATTCAGATTTCTAGACTTTATATTCATCAGCTTTCTCTTTTTCGATTTGGAATGATTCTGTAGACTGTAGAAAGAAAAAAAAACGGACTGGAAGAAAAAATGTCGAAGGTTGCAATGGAATCTAGCTCCCGAATTAACACAACGGGATCAAAATACACGGTAGCCACTGGCACAGGCGCCGTTCCATCCACCTCCACTTCGAAGCGGAGTCGCAAGGCGGCGCTTGGAGGAGATGAATTCATGGCAGCGGCAATCGGAGATACAGCCTGGCTGAGGCAGACACTCAAGGAAGGGAAAAACCCAGCAAATTTTGACAAAAATGTAAGTGTTTTGAACTGAGGTGTGACTTTCTCTGCTTTGTTTACATATATTTACAATTTTAGATTATAAATTTTACTTTAAAAATGTATTATTGGACCAATTTAGAGGAAAACTTGAAAAGACTAAATCAATGATTTAGATATCTAGATCCCTCCTTTGTTATTTAGTTTGTTGATATCTATTAAATTAAAACGACGGGTTATACCTGTGAGTCGATCAAAGCCAGACCCAACTCAATCAAAGTCAAACTGATGTTTACCTAGATCTAGATCTATTTTTTTATGACAATTATTTTCTTAATGTCTTGATCACTTACTGTAATTGATTGGATCTTTCATTTTCAATCGTTTATTGAATCCAACTTTTATGATTGAATCTAAATCATGTTCTTTATCATTCTTTATCATTATTTTATGGTCTTTATTTTACAGGGTTTGTCTGCTATTCACCTGGCAGCTCTACATGGCAGAATGGAATGCCTGAAACTTCTGGTAGAGAAGTATCACGTGAGTGTGAACCTGGCCAGTTCTACGGGCTGGAGACCGATCCATCTCTGTATCAACAGCAGGACTGGAAAGAGAGCTCTGGAATGCCTGCAGTATCTCCTGGATGCGGGCGCTGATCCATCTGCGTAGGTTTACTTTGTGTTCAGATTTGTTTGATAAAGCAGTGAACAATTCAGTTTGACTTGGAGAAACCTTGTGATTATGAAAATGTATTTATAAATGTGATGAAATTGCTTTTGTATTCTACTTTCAGACAAAGAGATGAAATTTATGAACGAGATGTGTGCTAACTACTAACTAGGATCTATTACAATTTAAATTCAGAGAAAAACTTTTGTCCGTGAAACATCCATGATTGCAAATTCAATAGTGCTTACAATCACTGGCATTCAAGGCAAATAAACATCCCTGTTTAAAAATATAAGGTTCTAAAATGATTTACATGAAATAAAGTGTTAATCTGAATGAATTCAATAATCTTCTAATTTCCTTGAAGTTCTGTGTACAGTATGTGCAATATTTTCTTTTCTCCTTTCATTGGTCTATATGATTCAATCTCTTTTATGTAAGATTTGCCCATTTCTTGTAGTTGTTGTTTTTGTATGAATGTGGATTTTTGGTCATGAATTTGTCACTAATCGTTCATTCTCTTTCTTTTGTTTTTTCAGCCCTAATGAAGATTTGATGACCCCCACCCATCAAGCTGCTATTGAAGGAAGTGTGAAGTGCATGGCAGCTCTTCTTGCTGGAGGCGGGGATATCAGTACACCTGATTGCAATGGCCATCTACCTCTAGACTATGCTAAAATCTGGGGACATAGAAAATGTGCAAGGTAAAAAGAAGTTAATGAAGGACTGAGGGAAAGTTTAATAACTTAGACCAGCCTTCATATTTCCATTATATTAAAAGATATTTGTTCATTCATTCATTCATTTATATCCATTCAAGTTTAAACATGAATAGAAAGAAGATGGTATGGCTTCACTTTGTGATAGCATAAGAAATGGAAGACAAATAATGCTTGGCATATGACAGAGAATGATCATAATAAAGAGCTCACTTGGAGCCCTGTCTTTTCCTGATATTTGGGATAAAGGCTTTCCATCTATTTACATGTACATGATTGATCTCTTGTGATGTGCTGATAATTCTGTTCCCAGTTGTAGTAGCTCATTGAATAGATCCATGCATTTCAACTAAATTTGTGGTTCAGTTGCAAAGTCAAGCCATCTCAAAATATTTACACAATAGTGTTGTTGCTTTGATAATGCTTAAGTGAAATGTCAGGCTCACCATTTCAGTCACAGGGGAAATCATAAATTGATGTGCATTTTATCATCTCTCTTCTCTTGGAACAGAATACTTGCCTCAGAGACTTGGAAGAGAGAGAAGGAGGCCGAGTTGACCAAGGTGACTGAATTGCAACAGCTGAAGAATCTCAAGGATGCTGTAGATGGTTGGGAAGAGCAGGACCAACAGGCTTACAAGAACATTCAATCTGAAGCGTCATTCTCTGAATGGATGGACAAGAAAGGCATATCAGACAAACAATCACCACGTCTTGTCTCACATAAAAAGGAGTCTGCGACACTCGGAGCCATGGCCAATCAGCTTTACCAGGCTAACAGTCCTCGCAAAGCAAATGTTCCCTCAGTCAAGCTACAGGCCGTCACTGAGAAGACCACAGGGAAAGGAAAGGCTGCGGGTTCCAAGGGAAAGACGCAAACCAAGTCAGCAGCAGCGCCTGCAAAGAGCCCCGGTGCAGAGCGTGTCGCACCCAGGGAGAGGTTATGTAAAGGAAAGACAAAGCCAAAGCTAGAACCAGTACCAAAGGTCAAAGTCCCCATCCTTCAAATCACCGGTGAGCAAAATGAAGACAAAGTCAACCTCTACATGCAACCTGTGCCTGACCTATCGCAAGAGGTCATCGACAGAATCCTCTTGGAGAAGCTCTCGCCCCACGAACGCCCTCTTTCCTTCAAGTGCAAGAACATTATCGATGCTCAGCACAGGCGTCTCTACGACAGCAGTGTGAAACCTCTTGAAGAGGTCTATGCACATCTATCCAATGATAAATCATCAACATTGTTTCCAGGAGTGAGCAATGGTGGGTCTTCCGCCGCATCCACAAGGACAAGTAGTACCTCAAGCAAGGACAGTTTTGATAACCAAAGAATTGCAGATGCCTTAAAACACATAGCCAAACCTTACAAATTTCCTCAGATGCAAGGAGAAGACTTTACATATGGTTTTGAAGTGTTATGATGCTTATTCATTTGTTGAATTACTGTTATATATCACCGTACTCAGACAGATAAGAAGTTCAAGATAAAATGCTAACATGTTTTGAACTTAAAAGTCATCTGAAATACATTTTCTCAGCTGGAGGATTGGGTAAAGTGGGAATGGGAATATTCTTCTTTTTTTTCCTTCAAAACTGTTGGATCCATCTATACTTGTGAAATTTAAACCATTCACCCTCACTTCTTTTCAAGACGACATACCTGTGTTCATATGTTCAAATGTAAATAACAGAAAAGTTGGATACTGCTGTATTATCTCCATGCTTTCTTCACAACCCCACAATGCCTAATTTGGATCAGAATGTGAAATATTGAAGAAAAAAAGGAAATATTTTTAAAAAAATGCCATGTCTTTCTGAGGATAATTGGTTAGATTTTAAACTGAGGGTTCGTTTGTGGGTAACTCCATGTATCTTGGCAGTTTTTGTATAGAAACGAAATGTTGGTCCTACTTGATTATCTTGCCATTTAGGATAGAATTTTACTAAATCTTTCTTCTTTATTGTAGTATTTCACATGCTTTGATCATATTATACATGTGCACCTGAGAAGTGTGGCCAAGTTGAATACTGTTATCAATTCATGCTTCATGTAAAAGAAACTTATTTCTTGTTCTTTTCTACAGATGCTCTTTGTTCCAATGTACACACAGAATAAAACAAAATGCCAAATCATTGAAAAGTGCTATGAAAAGCTATGAAAATGCTATGAAAAGTGATATAAATCTTTGCATATTTTGTGAGATTTATAAGAAATATATATTTACTCATTCATGTGATTTTTGTACTTTACTGATTATCAATACATTTAATTTGCCTGTTAATTTTTAATTGTTTTGAAGTAATATTTAATGTTTGTTTGCTTATACGATATATCATATTAATTCCAAGAGAAAGTAAAATCTCAATAATTGGATATTTCTAAATGACATGAAGAGGACAAATGTGTAAAACCATTAACTTAACACATGTAAACAAATCAGTATACCAAATATGTAACAAATGCATTTAATGTCATTAACAAATAAAACGAATCACACATGTAGAAATGCAGTAATATTAAAAACACCTTTACACATTAAAGATGCCTTGTACAAATCAGTATCAGTATCACATCAGTATCCATCAGCTAATTAAGAGACAAACACTTGAAACTTATTTCAATGAACAATATTTTCCTATTACATGTCAATTTATCAAAGTAAAATATCATTCATTAGTCAAGCTAGTTTAACATGTGCATATTCTTTCAGAATGAGAGAAAGAGAGAGAGAGAGAAAGAGAAAGAAAGAACAAAGAGGGACAAATCTAGAAACACTTAAAAGGAGCAGGAAAAAGGGACATGAAATCCTTGAAGTAAACATACACAAAATCAAAAAAAAAATCAAAATAAAACAATTGAAATTAAAGGGCAATCCAACCCTTGCAATAAGTTTGAAAATAAATTGGCCGAATAAAAAGAGAGTTCTGAATGTCTGAATATGAGATCACTAGAGCTATTTCTCAAATTGGCAATTCTGTCACTGGATTGTGAAGTCGCCGCAGACAACTCTCCTGTTTGTCGTGTACAAAAATATCATTAATTTCTTTTTTTTCTCCCAAGTGCCCTTTCCCTTGGGGCACTACGGTACTCAAAATATGTTATGGATAGTTTATTATTGTAGATCCTCTAAAGAGAAAAGACACTCCCGAGTTGTGCATTTTGAAAAAAGATAGTTGGATTTCCCTTCAACAACATTTTCAAATATTGATTTCATAAAACACTATGTATTTCAGTAATGAAATTGAGGACACACAAAGATTAAAATCATCCTCAAAATGACCATGACTTTTTTTTTGGGGGGGGGGGGAAATAAAGATTCTGAACCATGTGCTTTTTAAATATTATCTTCAATCTCAACTGTCTTTTGAAAATTGTAAAAGCAATTAAAATTAAGCTTTTTATCAATATTTTGGAAGTTACAAGCAATTGAATTGCTTTTACATATTGGCTTATCAAGCTTAGTAGCATACAGTGCATCACAAACATGTTATTTGACTTCAAGTACTTGATACTCTCTCAAAAGCGACTATCGCTAATTACATATTTGGTGTTATATGGCTAGAAATAAATATAAATATTATACAATTGTTCACAAGTACATGATATTAAGTTGAAGTTACGTACAGTATCTCTTTATATTTTCAGCTCACTAAAGAAATCATAGAAATGAAAATAAGTCACACTATCCTCAATCATGCAAAATATTGGTACGGGAAATTCATTTTCAAGGGGAACAAAAAATATTGCTGCCATCACTACAAGCTAAAGCAGATTTCAAAGCAAAATAATTTTCAGAGATTTCTTCTAATTTTGCACTGAAATATGAAAAGTGAACATATGACGATATGATATTGGGATGGTATTCTTATTTTTTTGTTACAATTCGTATAACTAGTTACCATAAAATCTAGCCAGAATTAAGCCTTCACAACTCATAATTCTACAAGATTGTTTTGATTTGCAAATATCAATTGAAAAATTGAGATGACAAAATCAAGAATAAACTGGGGTGGTATTCTGAGAATGATGTTATCTTTTCTGTTATTAAAATTATGTTAATTTAATAATTGTCACAACAAATCAAAATAAGGACAAGTAATTGGGTTGACGTTTTTGCGCGAAGCTGGCAGCGTTCAAGTAAAGTTAAAAGAGACATTCATACAAGCTTCAATCAAGCTTCAATGGTAATTGTTAGTTTCCCATATTTTTAGTTTGTTTTGGCAATTAACATAATTCTCTGTAACATAAAAGATAACATTGTTTTCAGAATATGGCCCCTGTACTACATCTTTGTACTGCCATACTATTGGTCAAGCCTTTCGTTTCTACTCTGTCAAACATCTAAAATTATGACAATACAATGAACACACTGCTCTTTGTTAAGCACTTTTCCAGCCCCCTGCATGGCTATAATAATACTAATACTAATAATTAATCTGGATCTATATTGTACTTAAAACGGAATACCGTCTTTAAGCGCTTAACAGATATCTAGGTTTATTGTTTTTAACAGCCAAATATATCAGTTAATTCTTTCAAAATCTGTGAGGAGCACATGTCCTCAGACACAGTGACATTTTCACCCACATTTTAAATGGGTGTTTGGCAGTTATTATTCCTTAAAATGCATGTGTGCTGGAAACAGTTATTGGAGCTAAAACCAAGGTAATAACAATTTCAAAATCAGTATGGAATTATTACATGTAGTAAATAAACAAATCTTTCCTGCAGCTGCTGCATAGGAATAAGCTACCTACAGTTGCCACACTCGACCCAGGTGAGGTAAATGGGCCCCTGGTAGGAATATTCTTGAAAGGCAATGCGCACCGATATCTGTAGCCGGAGCTAAAGCTAGGGTAATAATTTCTGAAGCTCTTTGCAAGTGCATAGAGACTAAGTATTATGCGCTATACAAGAACGGACTATTATTATTATTATCCTGAAGACAGTTGCATCTGTGAACCAGCTCTAGAAACCTCACCAGTCAAGTGAGATATCATTGTATTCATGATCCAAATACAAGTGGAGCAAACTGCACAGTGTCCTGCAAGGGAAGAATGCTCTACAAAATTCCTTACAGATAGGATTTGATCTCTAGAATGTAAAATTTAAGATAACATAAGCAATGCAAAATTTTGATTACATGTACCTTAAAGCTGGGACCCCAACCCCCTCTCCAACCCCTTTAGTATATTTACCTCAGAGATGTTAGTCACTCGAAACCATGCAAGTACTTCAGAAATACTTTGTACCTCATGTTCTACTTATTGCTTTAACTATCTGGTACTTGACGGAACGGTAGATGAGCCTAACCCGCTCTAGAAGTACATAGCTGCTAGTTCACGGTCGGTGTTACTGTTTCACAAACGTTAACAAGAGGCAGACGCTCAGAAAACCACACAGGCATTTGCAAATTAGGCATTCAGTCGTGCTAGCGTAGAGTACCATGGTAATGCTAAGGGTAGATTAATTCTGTCCTACATAACAGCATCTCTGTGTAGAGAACAGTTCGGTAGGCTCCTCTCACACTCAAAATGCTTTGCTACGCTCAGGCAGGACCGATTCCTTGACAAAGTTGAAACCAGCTAGCAGACCGTTCCTCTTGCTCTTTTTGCTGAAGTAGCTTGAAACAACATCGTCTTTTCCTTTAAGGTTGGTGGATGAAAGAAAAAGAAGAAATATACAAATAAGCCTCAGAATCAGAAGAGAGATCTTTGCTTGCTCTTGGCAACAAAGACAACTTCCCTCAGGGACTGACTAGCCCTCTCAACATCATGGGGGAGGGGAAATTGTCTGGGTAGCTTTTTTTTATGAATTATCTAATTAATCATTTAGGAGCTTATTGTCTGGGCTTTAGCTGTGCTGTGCAAGAGGTAACTGTTTTGTTTTTTAGTTTGTCCAGAGGGAAGTTATTCAGGGGGAAGTTGGCCAGGGGTAGGTATTTCGGGTAGTAGACCTTGAGGTTAGAAGTCTTGAGGGGATCAGGTGCTATCATGTTGGCAGGTATGATACACGATAGAACTAAACACTTATACAATTACCTGTTTCTGGTTTTTGTGTTGTTGGCAGTATATTTTCTCCCGCTGACAGTGAGACAAAGAATGCGAATGGAACCAACCATAGACACAGTGTGAAGTAGGCCAAGACCTGAAAGAGTGATATGAAGTCAAGAATATCCAATGAAATTGGTTTAATATACAACACATGCTCCAGACACTTGCTATATGGTTAGTTTCCTGCACTAACCAATTACTAACTTCCTATCTTCAGCCCTTGAGGACCTAACCTGAACCATAAACTTAACCTAAAACAGGGTTCCACACTAACATTTTTTGAAAGAGGGTCCAGAATGAACTTTATAGAATGTCCTTTAATAATATTTGGGTTAAATCAATTGAATAGGGAAAACACAAAAGAGCAATGCAGAGTTGAATGCATATTTATCTAAATGAAAAAGAAAAAAATGTTTGAAACAAATACCCCTCCCCATTTAGAAATTACATTCTGCCCTATGCCATAGGCAAAATCATAATATTAAAACGAACAGACTAAGAATTGACCAGGAAACATAATAGAGCAAACTTAATTTTTTTCCAAACTAGAAACCCTAAACTGGAAGTATAATGTAACTTTTCTTCAGATTGACTTTGAAAACGTAAATTGTTAGCAAAATGCCATGATAATCATAAACATACCTCTGAAAATGGATGCCAAACATCTGCAAAGTAGCTGAATGCCATGTAGTGGTTCACAATTACCAGAACTGAAGACAAAAGGACAAAATGAGAAATTATTTCTTTTTTCAATAGTCTACACATTTCATTCATATACTGTACATGAAGTCTCTAAAGTGACTTTCTATCCCATGCCATGTGTAAAATCATGTTGAAAAGAACAGACCTAGAACTGAATACGAAACGTTACAACGCAAGGTCAAGTTAACTGCATCTTTATCCCAGCTTAAAATGTTTTAGGTCCTATAATCTTTTAAAATGAAACTCTCTCTCACAAGCATGATACATGTATGTCCAAGGCAAGCCTAACTGTACAGGTGGTACAGCATTCCACCTACAATGCTGAATAAACCACAGTGACTTTTGCATCCATACATGCACCCATATAATACTATCGAGAAAAGCAATACAGCATAAGTGCAGATCAAACCCAAGACCCTCGCATCTCCAGTCAAATGTTTAAGAAACTCAATTGTAAGATAGTGAAAAGCGGATGAGTTATTTCTGTTCAAAAGCAATACCGAACTGATGAAATTTCTTCCCTGGCGCACTGTTCTATTGCACTTTGCCATCTCATGGTCAACTTGCCAACAGTATGTAACACGAAACCTAATTCCCACTTTGCAGACAGAGGACTTGATGCGAGAACAACACTATGAACATGACTGACAAAGAGAACGGACAAAATAAACAGTTCCTCAGGTAGACAAAGGAACATCCCTTCACTGCTATTATGTAAAAATGTGTAGAACAGGTGTCACATGCATATTCACCTTTTTACATAATAGCAGTGAAGGGATGTTCCTTTGTCTACCTGAGGAACTGTATATTTTGTCCGCTTTCTTTGTCTATCATGTTCATAGTGCAAACAGCGCAGCTAGGGAAGCAGTGAGTTACAGGACCATACTGCTACAGCTGAGGGCCCTGTTGCACAAAAAACTTACCATTGACGGTAACTTTGCCATCAATGGTAACTACCATGGAAACCTTGATTTTGATTGGCTGTTGAGCCCTGTTACCATGGTAGTTGCCATTGATGGCAAAGTTACCATCAATGGTAAGTTTTATGCAACGGGCCCTGGGTTGGCGCTAGTGCTTATAGTACAGTATGGCTTTAGTTTTAACTTACCACAGCTGACGATAAACGGGGGTGATGTAAGCTCGATGAAAGGGAAGTTCTTCAGCATAAGAGAGTACATGAAGACAGAGAACAGTCCCACAAGGGTGAGAGAGTAGGGTAGGTCTTCAAACAAAATAAGACCAATGTATATTGCTGCTGTACCCTGTTTAGAAGAAAAAATAGGTTTAATGATTAACTGTGTTGCCCACAAGGGCATACCGGTAAGCTTTCATGAATGCTTCATTTTCTAAATTGTGTACCCATCAAAGAAATCTAATCATTCATATTGTGAATAATATTTAAAGATCAGACCATAGAAAGAGCATTCATAATTACCAACTTTAGTAAAAATTAATTTATACTTTTGACTTATTTGAAGCTACCTGGAAGTTCTAATTTCTAATTGATCAAAAGCCTATGTGTGTATTCAGAACTTTACATGTTTACTGCAAAGTAACTTTTCAAACTCAAGCCAATAAATGATAAGTATTTTGTTCATAAGGTTCATTTCTATTGCCCATTTAATGATGGAAATTTGTGGTACACTGTATTTACAGTACTTGGTATATGAATACATAATAAATACACCTTCTATAGAGAGAGAGACACAGAGATATAGAGAGAGATAGAGAGAGACAGAGAGAGACAGAGACAGAGAGAGTGTGTGACAGAGCAGAGAGAGAGAGAGAGAGAGAGAGAGAGAGGGAGAGAGAGACAGACAGAGAGAGAGAGTGTGACAGAGAGAGAGAGACAGAGAGAGACAGAGAGACAGAGACAGACAGAGAGAGTGTGTGACAGAGAGAGAGAGAGAGAGAGAGAGAGAGACAAAAAGAGAAGGCCAGAGAAAGAGAGAATGGGGCAAGGGAGGGGGATACAGGGAATATACTCACTATGTGAAGCCACCTGATACACTTTGCAGCCACGACTGTATATTCTTCAACTAGTTCTGCCATGTAATACAGCCCAGCAGCTGAGGAGAAATACAAGAAAGGTGAATTATGAATTCACACAAATAAAATATATGAAGTAGGGCTAGGGCATTAAAAAAAAAAATCAATCTATTATGACTCAAAAGTTATAACTACATGTAGTATTATGAGTAGCGAGCAATGCACAATGTGAAGTTTAAAATCCTTGTGTTTCAGTTGGTGATGTCATTCCCTCACTTTACATCTATTTTTTGTGTATTCTGAAATCATAAATTTCTGATTATTTTTGTTCATCTCTGAGGGGGGGGGGGGGGGTTTAACCCCACCTCATTTTCTTTTATGTGTGTGTTTTGGAAGAACCCCCCCCCCCCAAATTTTGTTAATAAAAAAATATAAAAAACTGTGCTAAAGGAAAGGGGGACAAAAGAAAGTGACCTTACCCCCCCCCCCCCTACTGAACCAAATATCAGTCGGCATAATTTGTCAATTTTCGGGAAACCCCCCCCCCCCCCCCCCTCCAAAAAAAAAAAAAATGTGCCTCTTCCCCACCCCCCCCCCCCCCCCCCCCCCCCCCCCCCCATTCAGCAGCTGGCTGAGAATTGGTTATGCCCATGCCATTCACCAGTAGGGATCGTCATCGTAAATGCAGACAGACATGTCCCCAAAAATAAGGAACATCCGCATTTTCGCTGACGATTCTGATTTCCGATCCGCACGTTGGCTATACGAAAAACTGGTTCGCGATCATTTTTTTGATGCATTTTACATTTCCTTTGTACAGAGACTTTCACATTATGAGCGATAAATCCTCAGGAAGACGGACAACCCATAAAAGTAGATGGCGAACTGGGGGTATTTTATTATGCGGAATCCGTTTTTCGCATCGCTAGCGCGTGGTTCGGGAACCTGCAGAGCGCCAAAGAAGAAACGTCCGTGAAAAATGCAGACAATACTTATTTTGTCCTTGTATACGAGTAAATCCTTGTTTATGCGGACCATTCATTACTCATTCTCGGACCAGCGCCCCCTCGCACTGTTCACAAAAAACATAGACTCTAGAACCCTAGGTAGGGAGGCCAATGCCCAAATCTAACTTTTTAATTACTAATTTGTTTATACTAAAACTAAGATTAAAAGAAAGCATTTACTTTCACTAAGAAAATCCACCCATCTGCCGACTCCAGAAGTTCCATCAAATAGGAGATATCCAGCTAGTTCCTATGAGGTTCTTTCTACGCCTTTCCGTACGTAAGAGCCTTGAAACAATTATATTTCATGTCGCAAAGTTACGTTCATAATTAGACAGGCCCGAGGGACAAAGTTCATGATGAAGTTTAAAACTTCGCGCGAAAGTGCAATCACTCAACAGCGGCTAGCCTTGAATCGGTCGCACACGTACACACCTTCTTCTTCTTAGTTGATCCCACCACCGACACAGGCAAGCCCCGATGCAGGCTGAAGTCCAGCCATCAATGTGCGAACGATTACATCTTCTACTACTACGAGCCGAAGACGATGGTTCAAAAATGAAGAATAGAAATATATATATAATTCATTGATATTTACCTTAGATGTGCATTCCAATAATTTGATTTCCTCATGAGTATTCCTTATTATCAACGATCGAGAAGTTACGAGGTCCAATTAACATCCATCTTGCAGCGAACACAATCATAGCGCACATCCATGCATGCAACGTACGTGTACTAATATTTCTCTCACTCTCTCTTTCTCTCTCTCTCCCTTTCGCTATACGTAACATACACACTCACTAACCATGTATCGACAACACACACCTTCAAATCATGGCTTTCATTTCAATTCTCAATTGGAGTATAGACTGCTCACGTAGACTTTTTTTTTACTGAAATATCTTTTTTAACACTTCTCATACATTACTGCACGACACTCGTATCTAGTGCTGTGAGAATAAGGTACTAGGGTCTATAAATAAGACTACGCTTTGTGCACGATCTGACCGGAGCTCAGATTATGTCGCAATACCCTTTATTTTTGGCGCGAACAATGACGTCACTGTTCACTGTTTTCCTTCTCATTTTGAGATGGATGTAGCTATAGGGCTCAAACCAACGCAAGATTGACAGAAACATCGTACTCTATCTACTTTCGAATGTTCAGTTTGTAAAAATCTGTATTTAAAAAGATATAATCTTTTTTCTTTATATTTTCTAGTTGTTAGAAGTGGCAATTGTGAACATCTGAAATGTTGATCTCTATCAAAAGTTCTTTACTCAAAACGGATCCCATATTTTTAGGGTCTACCTTCTGCCAATGAGAAGGTTTTTAGTGAGCAAACCTCTACGCCCTCTAGGATTTTCTTAGTCGGTGGTGCGAGTGCGTCAAGGTCGTCTGCAACCACAATTATTGGATTAAAAAACGTCAAAATCTGCAAGATTGTCAACAAATGGTGAAAGACTGTTACAGATCCGTGATTATAGGTATGTTGTGAAATGTATAATTGTATTTTCTTTTCTTATTTTCTTCAATTTTTATTTTTACATCATTTTTTTCCCTTTGCTAATTTTTTGAAGTGGGCGACGAGCGCACAAATCGTAAGTGTAGAAGCCTTACGCCCGGGCATTGGCCTCCCTACCCTAGGTCTATTTTTTAAAATATTTTTTAAAAATCATGATCTTAAATCAATTCCATTCAACATAAATCATTCATATTCCCCTTAAATATGCGAATTATAATTTTTCTAAACAAAAACAGAAATAAGTAAATGAATTTTAATCACTGATGCTATGGTCAATTCACACTGAATCTGATTCAAATAATCACAGTGCAGTGACACACACACAAAGCAACACGATCGATGTGACATGACGGTAACCGAATTCTAGTTAAAAATTAACAAAGTCACAAATGTTTACCTAAAGCGAGTGTAGCGAGGCATACTTGAACTGCAGTTGCTAACCACGATATCAGAAAGAAGAACCACATGTTTCATCAATGGATGTAGGAAAACAATGAATATAAGCGTCCCGTCAGCAAGTAATTGATGCACAAAATCGGCCAGTCGGATACACAAACCGATAACACGTAGAAAATATGGTGTCTTTGAAGGGAAAAATTACATTTAATTAATTACCAGTCCAGTATACAAAAAGTATCTCAGAACGAAACGGTTCCCTATCAGGAAGTAATACCCCAGATAGCAAAATGTTGTGGGGCCCATCTGGGTTTTATCTGGTTACAACTGGGCTGGCCCACTTGGCCCAGATGGGCCAGCCCATCTATTGCCCACTTGGCCCATTTAGCCCATTTGGGTCCCAGATGGGCCCCATGTGGGGCCCAGCAATCTGCACCCGGGTTCTAGAAGGGCCCCAGATGGGCGGCCCAGATTGGACCCACTTGGCCCAGATGGGCCCACGTAGAACCCAGATGGGCCCCACAATTGGCCCATCAATATACACAAGGGTTACCTATTGGGCACCAGATGGGCCATGTGGGTTATAATGTGGGACCTACCACATTCTATATATGGGTCAAGTGGGTTCTATATGGGCCCCATATGGACTATAAGCGGGTTTTTATAGGGGATCCATATGGGCCAAGTAGGTTTGATATGGTCCCGTATGGGCCAATGTGGTTCTAAATGGGCTTCATTGTTTAAATGGGTTCTATTTTTTACCCAGTTGCTGAATTCATTTATCCCATTTCTATTTCCAGGGTTACCAGTTGGGTTTAACTGGACCAGTCGTACCATTTGGCACAACTTTCAACCAGTTGTTAGCTCCAATTAGCAGACTTAATTAGTAATTTATGTAGCGCTTGTACTAATTAATTTTGCCATTGGCAACAACACATCGTCTAAAATGTCCAGTGTAAAGGCATTGGTATTAAGAAGACTTGGTTATTTTGCGGTGATGAGACATTTCCATATACTTGTATTTTATTGAATCTGTTTTAGGTCATAGTTAGTGTTTTTCCTAATTCATGTTTAATTAAATGTAATGTATACAAAGTAGTGAAATGTCCTAATAATTAGCAATTTACATTTAATAGTATTTTCGAAATGAATTGCTTATAACTAAATCATCAGCAATTAGGAAATATCCTGTAAATTCAGATAAATTGTAAAAAAACATAGATATGCACGCACCCCATATTCATTATGCAAATTCTGGGTATATTTTGTGGGTTTTGGGTGGGAAGGCCCATCTGGTATACATCTGGTTTTCAGCTGGGCGAAGACAATGTTCGACTTGCGATTTTCACCACCAAAAAACCCACATGGGGCCCACAAGGGGCACATATGTGTTGGTACTTGTGGGTTTTTGGTGGGAAGGCCCATCTGGTATACATCTGGTTTTTAGCTGGGCCCAGCCGATGTTCGACGTACAATTTTCACCACCAAAAACCCACATGGGGCCCACATGGGGCACATAATGTGTTGGTACTTGTGGGTTCTTGGTGGGAAGGCCCATCTGGTATACAACTGGTTTTTAGCAGGGCCTAGCCGGTGTTCGATGTGCGATTTTCACCACCAAAAACCCACATGGGGCCCACATGGGGCCCATATGTGTCGGTAGTTGTGGGTTATGGGTGGGAAGGCCCATCTGGTATACACCTGGTTTTTAGCTGGGCCCAGCCAATGCTCGACGTGTGATTTTCACCACCAAAAACCCACATGGGGCCCACATGGGGCCCATATGCGTGGGTTCTGGGTGGGAAGGCCCATCTGGTTTTTGTATGGGCCACGTGGGCTTTAGCCATCCCATACAAAACCCAGATGGGCCCCAGATATTTTGCTATCTGGGACCTCCCTTGATGAACAGTAAAATATAATACAATATTATAAATATGCTAAATTACACTCAGTACATTAAAAATATAATAACATAATGTAATAAGAAAATAAAATAAGAACAGTAAAACATAATACAATATTATAAATATGTTAAATTACACTCAGTACATTAAAAATATAATAACATAATGTAATAAGAAAATAAAATAAGAATAGTAAAATATTATACAATATTATAATATGCTAAATTACACTCAGTACATTAAAAATATAATAACAATCATAATGTAATAAGAAAATAAAATAAGAACAGTAAAACATAATACGATATTATAAATATGTTAAATTACACTCAGTACATTAAAAATATAATAACATAATGTATTAAGAAAATAAAATGAGAAAAAGTAACAACAATGATAAAAGGTATGATAAGATTACTGAATATAGAAGCTTGTGTAGGTGCTATCTTATATACATATTTATGTATGGTGTGTATGTGATATAACAAATAATCTGCACGTACTGTTAAGAAACACTAACAAAGCCCATGAATGTTTTGCTTACGATATTATTTTACGATACTATCTTAAAAGATAGATAAATATAAAACGAAATAAATATTTTTTTTTTAAATCCAAAATTGAGAGATATAACACGTGCCGTAAAGTAATTTGGCGACAATAGTCAAATCACTGACTAATCGCCAATAACTCAAAACACAACAACAACAACCATTAATGCGATTTCGAGCAAAAATAAATCGGAGGGGGGGGGGGCTGAGCAAGAAAACAAAACGTAATAAAAATACAAGGAAAAATGAAAACAACAACAAACAAATAAACAAACAAACAGACAGACAGACAAACAGCAAAAATAGGTAAATTGTCTCTCTCGACAGTATAACACCATTATGTATATGGACATCAATCCAATGAATGTCGGTTGGGTGTTTGCATGGGAATAGAGGGGCGGGGCACACAATTCAATTCATTTATTTTTCCTCTTTCAATTGTTCATATTTACAATGATGGTACATTTTAACATATTCACATATTCATATACACATAGATCAGTTTGCACAATACAATACATTAACAAAAATAAACATGAAATTCAAAAGGGAAGGAGGGCCGACTAAAAAGCAGAGCTTGCAGGGTGTAAGCCCCCTGTGATGAAAACCTAAAGAAAGAAAACGTGAGAAAAGAAAGAAGGGGAAAAGGGAAATAAAAGAAGATGCCTGGCCACATCCGCGCCGATCAGTAAGTTCAATTACCGGTATAAGTTCCCAACGAGTAGACCGACCGGTGCCCCCCCCCCTCCGGCCCCATTAATTACAATGCCCCTCAATGTGTAGACTTACTATACGACTACTTTGGTCGCCTTGGACCATTGTACCACTGGCACTTAAAGCCCAACTGCACTACTTATAGCTTCTTGCGCCCTCTATATATCAAACAATGCCTAACCGGTGACCATAATTGGTCCCCCATGATCCCCCTTTTCTTATGTTAATTGAGAGCTGATTTGATGAGATAACCAACCGTCTTTGACCATGGTGGGATGTCTAATCCTTAGGCCTACTACCTTTTACACTATTGACTCCCTCATGATTTCCGGGCCTCAGTATGATTTAATAGTACTATAGGCTTATTTGTAGCTGAAGTGATTTCCTTTTGTATATCTGTATATTTGTTCATACAATCTAGATTTTATCATAAAACGATTTGAATTGATCAGATTTTTAAATTTCGGAAGGAATCGTAGAGCTATAAAGGTACCCGTGAAATTTGGGAAAAGTATTCCCTGTAGTGGTAATATTTCAGCATGTGCATATTTGTTACCCTTTTTCGAATGGGGGTTGATATCGTTGGGGTACGCCGGGGGTCATCCAACTTGTTTCTCTGCTTCAGTTGCAATTTCCATTTTCCACTACGGTTTACGGGGTGGTGAAACATTTTGACAGATTTCACTTTGTAATTGTCAAAGTAGTATGAATGGACTGATCGAACACAATGCTTCCTTTACATTTTTCCACGATGTTTTCAAGACAGGCATAGATCTATTACTAGGCCTATATAGGCTATGAACATGACCGTCTGGTTGGTTTTGCGAGCCAGTATCTTAATCAGTAGCCGAATGAGAGATACAGAGAAATTAAAAGATTTAAAAAAAAAAAAAAATCAAAGCTCTTTTGACTTCATTCAGATTTTTATATACACATTTTTTGAAGAGGAACATAATTTTACTTCCCGTATAAACCTATTATATTGCCTCATTCATTATAAACACAGACATATTAAAAAAATATTTGTCATAAGTATCCAAACTAGTATATTACATATTCAATCAAGTATACAAATTGTGATATAATTCTACAATTTGGGAGGAAAATAAAATATATGTTTCAATGTAGAAAAAAAGTTAAAGGTGACGGTAATATTTTCGGATACAACTTTAGAAAAAGGATCAGTTTTTACAGTGTAAACATACCTTTTATGCAAATTAATTAGTTTTAATATAAATTAAGCAATCTGAGTAAAGATTTTCTTATATAAACAAAAAGCCCACAATACCCGCCCCTGGCTTGGCCTATATTACGCAATGACCCATTGCACGTGTAATTTTTTTGTTTATGTTTTAAGCGCCCTCCCCGATGACCGAATTACATGTCCAATAGAATTTTACGTCAGAAATGCGTGTTGGCCACATGACATGAAACGGGCCAATCAGAAAAAGCGTCTTTTATTAGCAGCGGGTAGCAGACTGATTCTGAGACTACGTCAGATGTCGGAATGCTGTAAACTTTAGTGATTGTGGAGAACTTTTTCCGGTTTCTCACTATGTTAGCTACAATATAGGTATGTGTATAGCTTAACAATACTTTGATTCAGAATTTGTAAACAAATATAAGAAATAGAACGTTAAAATCGGTTTCAAATCTGTGTTCTAGCAGCGAGACCGCGCTGTGCAGCTGTGCAGTGCCATATTTGCCAGTGCGTGCAGTGCAGTGCAGTGTTCCTGGCGCGGCGCCCGGTTGCGAGCAGCGCATCGTACAAGTACAGAATAGTGTTGATAATATTAGCATGATTAGGGAGGCCAATACCCGGGCGTAAGGTTTCTACACCTACGATTTGTGCGCTCGTCGTCCACTGCAGAAAATTAGCAGACAGAAAATAATAAAATAAAAATAAAGATTGATTACAATAAAAAACGAAAATACAATTGGATATCTAGACTAGAGGTCTAGACCTACATTCAACAACATAGATCTAACTTTAGATCTATTATTATTAGGCTACCTAGAGAAGTCTATAGAATTTCTAAGCACGGATCTGTAACGGTCTTTCACCATTTGTTGACGATCTTGCAGATTTTGACGTATTTGAATCCAATAATTGTGGTAGCAGAAGAACATGACGCGCACACACCACCGACTAAAAAAATCCTAGAGGGCGCAGAGGTTTGCTTGCTCATTAAAATGCTTGTCATTGGCAGAAGGTAGACCCTAAATATATTTTTAATTGTTAGCAGAGCTAACCGATTAACATAAGACATGTGGAGCTATATGGCAAAGCAATGTCTTGCCGTCAAAGCTTGGTGCTCCCCATGATACAGGTATACTATGTATTATGTAACGTGTGTATTGTTTTACAGATTATGCTATAGGATAGGGAGGCGAAATTGAAAATAATTTATTCATGTTTGAGTTGCGAATTAAGGAATAAAATATAGGATCCATTTTGAGTCAAAGAACTTTTGATAGAGATTAATGTTTCAGATGTTCACAAATGCCACTTCTAACAACTAGAAAATATCAAACAATCATGGATTTGGAAACTACCGTAAATCTCTGTGTATATTAAAGACGCACCCCTATTTTGGGGGCCAAGAAGAAAAAAAGATTTTTTTTTTCCTTGTTTGTTTTTTGCCCGCAAGCCAGGTTCGTGATAAAAAAAACATGCGGGAAAAGACCTTCATTTTAATGCGAGGTGCAGTTGGAGTTGCCAATTTTTGCTTGTGAACTTGTCACAAATAATAGAAACAATGAAGTTATCAGAATAATAAACTTGTCACAAATAATAGTAACAATGAAGTTATCAGAATAATGAACATGTCAATGTTCATTATTCTGATACCCGGTAATTAGTTTTTTAAAATAGAGATGACAGGCAAATTTTCCTCTAAGTCCAAACAGAAATCCAGACATTCAGGTAGTGTTGTTCTAGTTTTTGAGTGGTATGACTGAGCTGGGGGACATTGCCAGGCACAGTGCCAGGTGGAGGGCATAAATCAAAACTTTCGAATTTTTTTTCGGCGGGAAAAGGTGCGTTTTATACACAGAGATTTACGGTATTCATTTGCTTTACCCCCACTCCCAAGTAATAAATTACGAACTACATGCAGATCTTGGAGGGTAAAGTGTGAAGAATGAAGACACTTCAAAGGCTTTTGTCTTTTCGTAATAGTAATCTTTGCCCTTTGCTCTTGATAGTGGTCCTTCTTATGAGGCTAAACAGGCTTAATACAATTCATGTAGTAGGTTTGCTTTAAATGTGGTGAGAATGAATAGCTTTTTAATTTTGTTTATATTGTTGCTTATTACTCAGCTATTATCTGTGGTATTAAACAGTCAGTGTGAGTTTGGTTTGAATCTAGTTACTCTATTCCATCATTACCAGAACTTAAGAGTTTTGTCTTTGTATTTTCATTCAGGTATGCCATGATGAATAGTGCACTGAAGGTATCAACCACTCCTGACCCAAAGGCCCTTTTCAAGGACCTTGGCAGACCCACACTTCGGGGTGTCAGGAAGTGTCCCAACTGTGGAATCTACAATGGCATACGTGGTCTAAGCTGCAAGAACAAAGATTGTAACATGGTCCTGAGGGGTAAGGGCAGGAAAGGAAACCAAAGTGCTGACGCGATCAGGATCATCACAGGATCCTCGGCCATGGTCTATTCTGTGCGATTGCGTGATAGGGGACCTGATTACAGGGGGTTCGTGGAGCTACCGCTTAGTGAAGAGATCATCCTGCAGGGACCTGATGCAGAGACGATGACCCTTGTGGATGTGCCTCATTGCTACATTGGATCTTGTCAAAAGTCATTGGCAACAGAGGGTAACCAGACGACATGCCCGCATATCGAACTCGCTCAGAAATGCGCAACGGAAGCACAGCCACTCACCCTGAAGAACTCTGTCCTCAATAGCTTACCGGTCTCCAACGAAATGAAGCAAGCAATCTGGCTTCTTGCCACGGAGACCACGGGTCCTCTGGTGCAGCGTGTCTCAAAGAACATTATGGTTGTCAAGTGCAAGGCGCAACAGACACCCCAATTAGGTTTCCTGCATTTCTCCTTCTCGGAGTCGCCAAAGAAGAAGGGCTCCGTGGAACATCGGTTTCATTGCTCATGCAGACAGTTCAAGAATTTCAAGCACTCAACTGAAGACAGCAAGAAGAAATGTGTCCATTTTTATGCCTGTATCTGTGCGTTTGCAAGTGAGGATGCACTCACCAAGGAATTCAAATATTTCATCAGTATGGATGAGGCGAAAGATGGTAAGAATAAATCTGTCCATTCCGAAAGCATTGTAAACTACTTATTGCACTAAAAGAGCTACTGTGGTTATAAATTTAAGACTTTACTTAATATGAAAACTTCAGATGAGTTTCAGATCTGAGAAAAAAAAATGCATAAAGTTCTTTGATAGTGTTCCATCATGGGCATTTTTGAGACTACATGTATATGAAGACGACAGTATCATTCAAGAATTCATCAGCAAGAATTTTGATAACTGGGTCAGAAAATATTATTTAATTCTTAAAAAACAATGGCCTGACTTTGAAAGGTGTGTTACACATTGATGTTTATCTTGTTTGCATTTTTCTGTCACAGATGTCCCCGACCCATCCCAAGGTTCTGTACAGATAACCATCATCGATGGTCAGTTGACTACTACATCGCCAGAGACGGTTTCCATGGCAATCACAATGCCTGGTCTGCAGAGTAAAAAGAGGAGGAAAGATGACACACTAGGTAAGGATTAGGCTCTCATTTTTTGTCAATAAGACCTTGTATGGAAAATTAGAGATCAGTAAATTACCCAAGTGTGCAAGAGCACCAATTTGGGTTTAATTCCAGGATCATCTGATCCTAAGACCGTTGTCTTTGTGCTTCTCGGATGTACATGTATGGATATTATAGCCCAAAGGAATAAATATTTGCATTTAAAATAAGTTTGCTTGTAAGTAATCAGGATATTACTAGCTATTATAGGTATTGCATTAATTGGTAATGATCATTTTCGGATATTGAGATGAAACTATGTACAACTGTGTTTCAATCACTGAGTAGCCTATGATGCTATTCTTTGTAAACAAAATTAGAAAATAAGTAGAATAGGATAAGAAAAAATCACTCAGATGAAAATGCTCACACCATTAAAGAAAAAGATCTTCTTTTAGAGGTACTTCACAAGCCCGGTCCTTCTACATAATTCACCGCAACTATTTCTAAAGATGAAAAGCTCTAGATTAAAGACTTGTAATAAATGAATCATTGTCGAATCTCTTAGTGTATTTGATGTTTGCTTGATTTTGCAATACATTTCTATTCTCCAGCCCAGGCAAGCAGTGCACTCCTAACCCTCCAAGAGGGCGCTACATCACCTGCCAAGAAGACCGCCCCATCTAGGAGAAGCGGTGGTCCTGCACCAGACCCGGATCAGTCCTTCAACAAAGGGGTACCCCAGCCCCTTGTAGAGGCACTCGTAGAAGGACCCACTGTCTCCTTTAATCACTGGCTGGGTAGCGTGACGGAGAGGATCAACCAAACCATGCATTATCAATTCGAAGGTAGGAGCCTGGGAAGGAAGGAATAAAAAGGAATGGTACTCACAAATGCTTGAGTCCACCCGAGTCAAGATTCCTTGTAACATATCTCATACATTGTTTCTAAATATAAATTCATATGTATTTGTTATATTGGAGCAACAGGATATGAAATGCTGAAACGGATGGCTCAAGACCGAGGTACTTGGAGGGACACTTGATGTAGAATTCTGATTGGGTCACTGAACCTGTCATATACTGACAGATCATTATGGAAAATTTGAAGAAAACAAAATTAAATCAAAATTTACCTTTTGAAACTTTCACCTACGGTGGCAGCAGGCTTTGCCAGACGACTAGCAGTAAGGACTAACCCTGTGTAGGAGAATGACAGAATGGGAATGTATTGGGCAGATCATTTGATTCACCACATGTTCTGATTCTTTCATCCACTGCTTGTCTTTACAGCCAATCTTCTGACAAAACCTGCCACATTCTTTAAGCCGAAATATCACCCAGTATTTTGATTTTCAATCAGACATGTCCAAAACCAATTTGTTCTAATCAACTCAGTTAGATGATGTTTACTATTTTCAAGAATTCTAACCTTATCCTTCTATAGAGTAAAGATTGGTTAAAACATCACGGAAAATGTGAGAAGCTGTCTGTTTATCACCGACAAAAAATGGCTGAAATTCTCGATCAGTTGGGAATCGCAGACAAAAAAACACTGTATGGTGTCCGCCCTCGTTAAAAGTACATTTTAACGCGTAAACTAATGGGTATCCCAGCAAGATTTTATTATTTTGCCAGGATTGTACTCTAGGACTATTACATAGGTTTGGCATTTTTTGTTTCTTTACGGGATTGGCTAAAATTATGACTGCAATTTCGACCAATCAGATGGCTGGATTTTTTAAGTGAGGTATATGATTTGTAATAGAGATCTGACTCCCTTAAAACCCAGCTCTCTTTCGGAAAAAGTTAATAATTTTCAGAAGAAAGTCTTGTTGGAGAGATCTAATACCTTTTACTTTTCATTCCTCTTTATCCTCTTCTACAGGTACCCCTGAGCCTCTGGTGTTCCACATACCGCAGGTGTTCTTTGACATACTCCAGCAGCGTATATCCTCCGGCTCCCGCAAGAAGAGACTGCCCAACTCTACCGTAGCGTTCATCCGTAAAGACGCCCTTCCGCTAGGTACATTCACCAAGTACACCTGGCAGCTGACGAGTATTATTCAAGTCAAGCAGATCTTTGATACCGCAGAAGTGAGTGTTACAGCTATTTTTCTTCTAATGACCACTTTGTTGAAATTTGATATTCAATTCAAAATGGTATATATTTAGAAAAAAATCAATCCTGTGTCGCAACAAAAAGTTGGATTGTGCATAATTTACATTTAAAATGACAAAATGACAAGAAACGTACTTGTTCAAAAGAATAATGTACATGAGTGATGGTTGAAAATGACATTAAATAATTTACTGTATGTAGAAACAAAAGAAAAAATAATACAAAGAAAATATGCTTAGTCTTTAACTTAATAATAACATCATTTTCTCACAAATATACTACAAAAGGTACAGGCAGGGTGCTAAATTTATTAAACATACACATGTAAGAAATCTTGTAACCTGTAGCTGTAAATGATTGTACAATTGAATGTGTTTCCTTAACAAAAAGATGTTGCATAGAAGCTATTTGGATCATGTTTTAATCACTAGATTCATAGATTTTTCATATTTTTTGAAATCCTGCTATTTTCCTACAATTAGGAATTATGATGACCTTCTTAATACATTCAAGAATGAACCAAAATGTATCTAATAATCTTTTTTGTAGTCAGGTTGATAATTTTCAAAGCATATAGTCTTTGTTTTATGTATGTGATGTAAACTTGATACAAAACCAAAGTATTTTACATGTAGCTGTATTACAGACCTGTCATTTCTCCATTCTTTGTCTACTCCGATCCCTTTGTTAACATCTTTACATTACCTTAATACTGTACCACATAAATATTGATGGTCTTCATTCTCCTGTCTTTCTACTTTTCATTTTCTACTCTGTTCTTTCTACCCTTCTCCTCCGATCTTTTGTATATATTTCTCTGATCAGCTTTTCTTTCTTTCTTCTTCTCCCTTCTCTTCTTCTTTATAATTTTGTCTCTCTCTCCTTTCACTCCTACCTTTGAAGACACAGAAGTTTTTAATATATTTAGATTATGCATGATTTATTGTTGTACGTTTTAGTAATTCATATTTTAATCGTTTATTGTGTTGTACATTGACTTTGTACATTGACTTTGTAAATTGAGCAATTTTAGCTTTCCTGCTGCATGTTCTTTTATTACAATAAACCGAATCAATTCAATTAAAAAAAAATCTTGTAGATGCCCATGGAGGTGACAAGAAGCTTTGTAGAGAACAAGGACGGGACGTTCTCTCGCTACGTCTCACCCAAGGTGGATGTGGAGCATGTAGGAGAGGCTTACAGGAGAGCAGCAGGACAGATTCCCATCAAGCCATTTGAACTGAAAACTTTCCTCAAAATTGGTGAGTACTCTTCTACTTCACACCTAGCTCATAAAGTACTAATATATATTTACTGATTGCTAGAGTGGAACAGGCATTAAATGAAGGCCCCATGTAGAGGAGAGTTAAGAACCCACTGCACTATTCGTCTAAGAATAAGAGTAAACCCCTGTGTAGTGGTCCACCTGCACACCCCAGGATAGTACGACAATTCTCTGTAAGAGGGATGTACTCAAATGGAAGAAGAAGAAGAAATTGTGACAGTTTGATGTGTTAGATTTTAGTTCGTTCACCATTCAGCTATTGGATAGTTACAATGTGTCCACACCAATTTGAGAAATTGGCACACTATTCATCCTTCAGAATGTAATGACATGATTATATTTTGGGTAAATGGATCCTTAGGTACCAGCACTTGATCTGAGCAGGCTCAGGCCAAATTGGATAAATTGTATTCCAGATTAGATATTCATGTGTGTATAAGTGTGAGATATTCATAATTGTTGGTTTTAATTTTCATATGGGAATTAAAATAAAACTAGGGGTGTAAGAAACATTTTACTTTGAGGAAAGTGGAAAGTGCTCGTTAAGCTGCAAATCAGTTCAATGACTTTCACATACCGGTATATTGAAACTTACTTTTGACAATACATTATTGTACTGTTTCAATTGGAAGAAAGAATGGTTTAGATTGTGATAATGCTTAATAGTTTCCTTAGACATAACCATTTAATCCATTTGTTCCCATCACAGGAAACACAGCAGCAGATCAGAAGGAACCAACACCTTTCATCATCGAGTGGATCCCTGAAATTCTACCCAAGTCACGCATCGGGGAGCTGCGCATCAAGTTTGAGTATGGTCACCAGCGAAACGGACACGTCGAGAAGAGGGTGGATGAGCTACATACTGCGATAGAACATGTCGTTTAGGCTTCATTGTGCAGGCATTTAAATTGAGTGGATCCCTGAAATTCTACCCAAGTCTCGCATTGGCGAGCTACGCATCAAGTTTGAGTACGGACACCAGCAAAATGGGCATGTGGAGAGGAGGATGGGTGAGTTACATGGACCAATAGAACATGTCATATAAGTGTCCAGAATATTGCTATTTTCTTAAAGATATTAGCAGGGAATAATTTTCCTGGTATCGCATCGCAATTTGCTATGCATTTTTGCATGACTGCTATACAAAATATCTTTTGTGTAGCAGTTTTCTTCCATAGAAATGTACAGAATTTCATTTGAAATATTTATCCATCGGCTGAAATTGCTAATCAAAAAATTTGAGGAAAATTATTCCCTGATTAGCATAGGAGCTCACTGACACCAGACTATTCTTGTTTCTCAAATCTTGCACAAAGATTATAAACACATCGTCAAATTCCAGGTCTCCAATGCTGGATTACTGTTGTGATTCTCCTTGGGGAAGTTTTCTATTTGTTTTTTTCTTCAAAGATATGGTATACGTTATGAAATATCTAGCCATTTCAAATCTGGACTCGTATTTTCGAGGAGGGGGATTACATTGGTTATCAAATACAATTAAGGCTTAGTCATGAACAGTGACAAGTAACTGTTGAGGTGTCCTGCTGCATTGTGTATGCCTCAGACTCACTGAAATTAGAGGTTTGCAACTGGTCTACATATTTACAGGTGTATGTTTGTGTATGCTTGAGATTGTACGTTCAGATTGTCAAGTTTGTCTAAATAAAAGATGTCTACCTATATATTTGATCGTAGTTTTGCATCTATTTTGACCAAGAATGTACGATTACAGGTTATTGAAAATTCATGCATTGATAGCACTGGCAAAAGGTATTTGACAGTCATGTGGAGCATATGCAGAGGCAAATTGAAGAGCAGTCACACTTTTCAAATCTATACATCTCTATGTGGTATGCCACAGTTGCATCAACAATATATTTAGAGATCTTATATATGACATATTTGGTGATGCTCATCAGTTTTTTTGTAGTTGGAAATAACTGGATATAAATCAATTTTTGTCTTTTGCAAAGACGAAAATGGCCAGTATATTTTGATATTTCATTAAAACAGTGGAACTTTCAAATATACTGGAAATAAAAGAAAACTTCTTGTTGAAAGTACAAATGCTAACTTTAGTAAAGGCGATTTACATTATATTACTTGATGTTTCTATGTTGATCAGTTTGAATTTGAGAAGGTTCTCGCTATATGTTGTAATCAGCAATAATGGCATATATCTATGAGGCTGTTCACACTGGCAGAGATAGCGTGCGCTAGACCACGCTATCTCTGCGGTTTGGAAGGTACAACGTTGTTTCGGTCCGCCCAACAGCGAGCCATGGCGAGCCATAACGGCGTGCCACTGGAGCACCTCTTGGGGGTGGTCCACGGGAGATAGCGTGGTCTAGCGCGCGCTAGAAAAAAGGGGGTGCTACGATAGACTGCGCTATCTCATTGCAGTGTGAACAGCCTCTTTGGCAAGATATTAATCTACATTTGCCATTCTCCATCCAGGTGTTGAATGGGTACCTGATAGGATGCGGACGTTAATGTTGTTTGATTGGCGTGTACGATAGTAAAACGGCGCCTGGCCAGAATACTCCCCATGGAGTGGAGCGTGTGCACTGTCATGTGTGGATTAGCAATTGAATCCAATGATCTGGGTATAAACCTTCACAAAGTTAAGTGCTTAGAAACATGATTTGAAGAGCTATACAAATGTGACTATTACTGTTATTATTATGAGTAAATTCCCATTTGGTTTTTCAGCTTCTGGTATCAAGAGTTAATACATACAACTTGATTGAGGACTTTTTTTGAGGTTTTGCCAAATTTATGGTAACCTAGGAATCAAGATTGCATTTGCTGGCTTGTATGCATCTCACAAGAAAGACAGGATTTATTTTAGAAGATACGACCGATTAAAGTTCAAAATAAATTGAACTATATCACACATTACATGAGAAACAAAAATAATGTTTTGGAGTTACTCTGGCGATTGATCAACCATTTCTATTGCTTTGAAATACTATAGTTATGCTTTGTTAGAGGGTTAAGGAGAGCGAATCGCTAAATGCTGAAATTTAACTGGACAACACAAAATAGACCATTTATGAGTAAATAGTGAATAGCTTATTGTTCAAAGTGTACTCTTTATATTGACCTTATCTATTACATGTATATGATCGACTTTGTTTTGCTTGATTTCCCTGTACAATAAGCTTTTATTTGGTTTATTTTCTCTGTTTGTCGTATCAATTCCACCAGATCACAAGATATCTTTCTTAAAATAGTATGAATTTCAGGAATTTGTAAATATGAACGACAGATATTTGAAAGACTTTGATTTCTCATGCAAGTGCTGTACAAAACAGAAATATTTTGCGCTTGGTACATCTATATGTACAGTAAATAGATGCTTTACTTTGTTTTTATTTATATTTTGTAGCATGAAGTGCTGTGAATAGAGAAATATTTATTGCTGCATTCAAATGAATTCAGTTGCACCGATTTTTTCATTTTCTGACAGTATTACTTGATAGTAGTTTTCATAAAAGTGCTCAAATAATATTAAAATGAACAGGAAAGTGCAGGTTGTGTACATTTTTGTTTTTTGTGTCCCCTATTTCATTCCGAATATATGAATCTTCTATGAAATAATGATAGACTACTTTAAAACTACGAGTAATTTTGTGTTATGGCTAGATATTTTAATCAGCTATTGTTAAATTTTCCCTTTTTAGCAGACTCTTTACAAATCCTGGACACATTAATGACCATGTTGCGGTTTATCATCAATCATTTTGTCAAGGAGATATAATAGACATATAGTAGATGGAAATGTCAGATGGCAAGAGAGAGAGACGGGGGGGGGGGGGGGGGGGGGGGGGGGAATAATAATGATTACAAAGAGAAAGAGGGGGAGAAAGAGAGTGTGTGTGAAAGAGAGGGGGGGGGGTGAGAATGATAGGTAAGACAGATAAATAGATGGAAGGATGGGGCCATATTCATAAGTCAACAAAAATAACACAAGCAGTTAGATTTAGACATATTTCTATCTTTAATCCAAACAGGCTTCAGCCCTACTGCATAAGTCGTTATATTGAGCACATTGTTGCATAACTCTTGGCAGGAGAGTCGAAATATATTGCATAGGCAGATGGAAGGCATATTCATCTTGGCAAGAAAAAAGGTGATTACAACTGATGACATAATAGGAAGGCACAAAATGTGATTGTACACATGAGTGAAGATAGCAAGTATAGAAGTCAATCAAAAACTTACATTAACAATTTTACAAATCTATTTAAAATGTAGCATTGATACTTAAATGGAAATAGTAAAACTTGTGCAATTCAATGAAGCAACTTAAAAGTGATTTCATGTTTTTAGAAATACAGGTAGCTGGTCACTATCTGTTGCTGAGATAAATGTTTAAAACTAGCACATAATGAATTTACAGGTAAATGTTGATACAATTGCAAGCACACAGAAAGAGATATTGACTTCTTACAGACTTACACTATAAACAAAATTAACATATTGCAAATACTGAAAAGAGTTTTTGTTTATACATGTATCTGTTCCATGATTTGTATCAAATAAACTGACAAGATATCAATGCGGAATAATAATCAATGAATAGCTGCAATGTCTCAATGTTTAATGAGACTACATTTCTCAGCATATTGTTAAACACCAAGGTAAGAAATAATAATAATTACAGTTCTTATATAGCGCCTAACACTTACTTGTCAGAAGTCTCTAAGCGCTCTACAATAATGCAGCATAATTACCCTGGCTTTAGCAGTGCAGCTGTTACGCGCGCTGCGTTTCAAGGAATAAATTCCTACCAGGTACCCATTTACTTCACCTGGGTGGAGTGTGGCAAATGTAGATCAATGTCTTGCCAAAGGAAATTAGTGCAGCGGCGGGACTCGAACCGCGGACCTTGTGATCGACAGTCCGGCGACGTATCCACTCGACCACAACACCTCAATGCATTAGTTGTACAAAGAGAATGATCAACTGATTTGAAATCTTCACAGAGGAAGACACCAAACAATAAATAATATATAAAATAACTTAGAATCACATACTGACAAGATATACAAAACAAAATGAATAAGTTATAGTTTATGGGCAATTAATTATTATAAGACAATGCATTCAAATAACAGATATTGCACAACATTATATTTCTCTTCCTTGGGCAATAAAACAAAGGTTATGAATACATTATTATTGCACAACTGAATAAAGATGTCACGTAACATCAATTTCATATTCACATTGCACTTATAAAGCATGTTGAATACATGACCAAGGGGGTGTTCACAAAGATTCTAAGTCTAACTTAACTTTAAGTTGGACTTAAATATTATGGAGTGCCATTTGTAGCCTTAAAATAAAATATATTCAAAAGAAGACTTTTATAAATTCCACATCAAGAACATGAAATCTCCCATGATAGTAGAAACTATGAATGATTTGAATCAACATTTTATGCCTTTTAAAATAGCTTTTACAAAATATTTTCAAAGATGCTAACGGCTTTCCATAATTGATGAGTCCAACTTAGATAGAGATAACTTTGACTTAGGATTTTTGTGAAACACCCCCATGTACTAGTCATTTTATAGAGCTCTTGACTAGAAACCATACTCAAATATCACAAGAAATTTAACTGGGCAGTTCTAATCACTGTACTCATCCGATCTGCAAGTGAAAGAAGAGGGCAAGAAGCCAAATGAAATATCTAAATTAAATGAATTGGTATTTTGACCAGCAGATACTCTGTTTTTATCATTTCTATTACACTTCATTTTTATCATAAACAGATTGTAAACATACATTTTGGTCCTTTACAGAATATGAACTTAAAACAACATCATTATGGCTAAAATTGATTCACAAAGGCAAAAAAAGTAAAGACCAAAATATATTCTTTGATCTTTTCCCTATATTGCACATCATCTTGTATTGGAAATTTATATGAAAACGAGTTCATGGAATATACCAAAAATAAAAATCTCCTTGCAAGAAAAAATATCTTGAAAGGAATGGCACTCATTGAAATAATAGATACGTGCAAGAATTCTAAATTATGTAAAAAGGCACATTTTGAATGGTACTTAGCTATCAACTTTTTTTTCTTCATTGGTTTAATCCTACTACTTCACATGGAATACTTATTCCTCTGAAAAAAACAATAAGAAACAAAATGCAATGCCCTTTGATTCTCGTTGTTTCAAACCTTTAGTAGCCCAGAGTTTCAAACGTATAGCCCAGCCATGGTTTAAACCAAGGATATTACCATGGATGACAAAAAGGGTAATTAAAAAAAAAAGACGTAGTCAAAGTATTTGCAAACAAAAAACTTATCATTTCATCTTCTAATTTTTTCAAAACAATGAACAAACCTGTTTAGTTTGTCTTTATGTATACCCTTTCGGCCACTCATAATAAATTGATGTTAGACTATGGTTTAGGTTTAACCACCTTTATGATATTTGGCCAAAGTGTGGATTAGTCAGAACACTGCCCTCTTCTGGTCAGTAACACAAACTGGGGTCGACCAGTGACCCTTCACATGTCCATGTTAACACCAGTCTCCGGGAACGGAAGCTTCAAGTTTCCTTTGACCATGACCCTCTCCTCCCCGTACAGGTCAACACAATCACCCACCAAGTCCAGAAGCTTCATCAGGCGACGGTCAATGGCTTCCAAGTGGGCTTCATGGATGACCGGATCGATCAGATCCTTGACCAGCGTGTGTCGCATGTGGTCACTCAGCTTCTCCTTACTTCCGTTGACCTTCTTGAGGTACCTGAAAGTGGAATCTCGGAGTCTGAGGGGAGGCGAGGGGGGGGGGGGGGTGATGTAGAAAAAATATAGAGGTGTTCACATAATTTCATCTGTATTGAAGATGCATAGGTTTCAGAGTGCACTTCTGAATATCTATGACCTGATTATTGGCTGTCGACATGTCAGAAATTTAGGGTCAAGTTGGAACAGAGCTAAAAACTGTTGTACTAAGATAAGAAGTCTAGCACCCAAACAAAAGACAACTGCTTTCATATGTTTCAAAATGCACATAAAACACTTCCTCTGTATGCACGGCCATGAGCTCTGTTCGTGGTTAAGAATTATGTAGATATGAGACCTTTTCTTCCCATTTTTTTTATAACAAATTACCTACATCCAGAATTGTAAAGCCAATTTCCCATGTTTGAAATTAGACTGACAACTTCTATTTATCATAATTATTCACATCCTAAATTAGGAAAGCTGGCCACTTCCAAGTTTGAATGAGGTATGGTGGGTCATGCCCGTCCTTTTTCCCCCTTCTATTCCTGACTTCCAGAGTTAGCAGCTGACATTAGTTCGCACGAAGACAACATAGATTGCTACGATCGACGTCCTTTTAATGCACTGCCTTGAATGGACGTCACACGTATCAGTCCACACAAATTTAAAAGTCCCTATTGATGTATTTGAGACTAACAACTAATTTTTCTGCATAATTAAATATTGTGTCCATTTCTGTACAGCAATATTATCTAAATATTACAAAAACTTATTTGGGTGATTTTTTTATAGAAGGATTCCAGGATTGAAGGTGAATGACTTTCATATTACAAGGAGAGAAATATAATATGTAGATAAACTTTCAAGAAGAAAAGAAGGGGCCAGAAGAGAATGGACAAGCAGGAGAGAAAAGAAGAACAGAGAAGCGGCGGAGAAACAAAGCAACTGTTAATACTTACATGCAGCACTGAGCTAGAGGGCCTAACAGAGTGAGATCATCTAAATCAGGGTTTCCGAAGCCCTTCCCGTTGTCCAGGGCAACAACGAATCCCTTGGAGCTGTACTTCTGAAGCATGTGAAAATGGTGTCTATCGTAATTCACTGTGGAGAAAAGTGGAGATAAAGTAAAATTAATCCATTAACAATTCTCGCTATGATTCTAAGAGTTTCAAATGATTAACCCTATTTTAACTGGGCTATTTCAGACCAGGTTTTTACTGGGGGGGGGGGGGGGGTCAATTTGACCCCCCCCCCTAAGATCTCGGCCGTTTCACCGCCGATCGCCGCAAAAATTTGCATGCATGTCAAGTGAAGTGTATAGAATACTATGGTAATTTCAAATTTTTGAAAAATTCACTCATTTGCATATTTATGGTAATTTATGCAAATAAGGTCATAAAATTCACATTTCGGCCCATAAATCATAGATTATACATATTTAAGTATTCTTTTTCACTACATATATTTATTAGACCATTTGGAATAATAATACAACACAAAAAATTGGAAGAGCCAGGTTATTCCTTATGTTATCTCTTGTTTTTATAATTTCTTATGTATTTCATTGTTTTTTTAACTTATGTATTTTATTGTTTTTGTTGTTTTATTTCCTTTATAACTACAATTCAACTATTTTGACCCCAAAACAAACATCTAAACTTTAGACAAGACTGAATAACCAATGTTTTATCTATTTGTAGGAAAAATGACTTTTACATATGTTTTGTACACAAATCACGAAAATGAGCGATTTTCGGGCTGACATGCAAAGACAAAAGGTCACGTGACCTTGTAACCGTAGGTCCGATTTTCAAAAAAATTGTTTTAAAAGATGCGTAACACTCGAAAGTAAAAAGTCATGAGAGGAAAATTTTATATCTGCCGCGGTTTCGGAGTAGTCGCGAAATTTCTACAGGGGGGGGGTCAAATTGACCCCCCCCCCAGTTAACGTAGGGTTAAGGAGCCTTCAGAATTGATATTACAAAGCAAAATAAAGAACCCAAATTATTAATTTTTCATGTTTTCAAAAGGAGTATATTAATGATAATTTTCAAATGTGATAAATGTGGGAAATTGTCTACTAAATATCATACTAATTATTTTCATCAATTCTTGTTAACAATATGCTTCCAGAATAGACATTTTAGTAACAGTTGAGAACCCTACATTATTTGTATTGCATTATTTAAAAGGAGAGCACAAATATGAATGATAACTTGCAAATATGCACAAATGTAACCCTTTAATAGTTGAAACTGTCTACAGCTGTCTAGAGTGTCATTTTGATCCGTGGGTTTGTATCGATCCCACCACTGCCACCATGTTACGGTAGCTGTACATCTCATCAAGCGGTTATATGTACATGGTGAAATCTCACACAACAGACTATAGAGATGGACTACATTGTGGATTGTGCTAACTCTCAATCTCTGAACTCTTTTGCCAAGGGCAATTGCGCATGCGTACAACGCTGCCAACAATAATCATGATCATGCTATATTCATAGACAGATTATTTCATTTCTTTCAGGACATTAATGATACACTTGAACTTTAATATGAAGTAGGGTAAAGGGTACTGCTGAAGATACTCACACATCAGAAAGTCAAAAATAGATTGCTCTACAAGGTCCAACAGGAACCTGCCTTCAGCGTTGTCCGGGTTCTATAAATATATAATTTAAAGGGATAGATGACCCTCACAAACTGATTTATTACAATGAAATTTCGCTGGGTTCTACATTCATTATGTATCAAAAGGGATGAATAACCTTTAAAAGTGACTCATTACAATGAAACCTGACTGCATGGTTTCTATAAATAAATCACTTGAGGGATAGATAAAAGTGACTCAATACAGTAAAATTTGAATTTTCAAAAGAGCCTACTTCAGGAAGACAAAATGCTGTCTTTATTGGCAGATTGTGTTTTAATTTATGCACAACATATTTCCTTAATAAGAAAAACATTTGGAAAACCCCTGTTCAATGGAAATTGTAAAAATTTGGTCTTTATAGACAGGGTGTTGCTTAAGAAGATTAGCTGTATAATGTTTCCTCATTTCAAGGAATGGTAAATCTCCAAAATGTAAAATCATTCAACGACATTAACCCACTATACATCTAATAACTTAACATTTAAATGGTTACAAAACATTCAAACTGGTACTGTTTTGTAGTTGACTATATTAATCAAAAATTGCAATAACAAATTTGAAGCTTTGAATTCAATCTGAGTTTGAATAAATGTGAACTTCATGGCAAGGATCCATTCTAATGCTGTATAACAGTTTTGCAGTGATTAATTAGGTACAATAGGTTGTAGCAACTCCCCTAATCCCTGGCAACAGACATGTGGTTTTGATTATAAAAAATATAATTAAAATGAATGGAACTTGACTTGGATTGTGAGTAGGGCTGGGAAAGGGGGCATATCAGATGACATCACCAGGCAGCCAAAAGTGGTTACATGAAAACATGTAATTGCAAACTTCCTTTCATATTCATGAATTATTATGTGCAATGTATTTCAATCGTGAATGCTGATTTCTCTATGTATAAACACTGAAAACAGAAAACAAAACAAACACAAACCAACAAACTATTTCTAAATCTGTGGACATATTACAATTTTTCAAATCATTTTACACACAAGAAATTGAAAAAGGGAAGTGAATTACTATTATTTATCCCTTATTCGTGAAAGTGCTTCAAAGCGAAATAAAATTGAGATGTTGAATAAGACAAAATAATGAATAACAATAATAATAATAATAATCAAAGTGGGAAAGTAGAATGGAAAAGGGTATACGGCTTGATTCATTTCAAACTGAGCATGAGAAAGTAAAATACAAAAACACGACCAGTTGATCCCTTTAAAACTGAAAACAGAGTGTGCGGGGGAGGAGGGGGGGGGGGGGGTGATGGAAGCATGATGACAAATCAGAGGAAGAAAGTTAATGAAATGGGATGAAATGGTAAAGACCCAGTGAAAACCTTTCTTCCTGCCCCCTATATAACCACACAATAAGCACAAGGACAAGCCATTAGTAATTCTCAAGATTTGTTTCGAACTTTCAACAACCTTTTTGTCTGGGTATAATTAGTTCTAAAACACAAGTTGCGGTCTGTGTAAGGGGCTATGGCCAGAAAGCACAACACAGTAGAACCTTGTTTGAACATATGCCTGCATATTCAATCAATAATGTTCACTGTTGTTTCGTTATTTGTAGATGGCAACAACAATGATTTGAAGCATTTAAAACATGAAGTTGTTCTGTATCATTAACATATTCTTGCTGGGAAAAAGAAAAGTAAAGAGTAATTTCTACTTACTTTTAAGATGTCATCACAAATGTTTTGCTCTTGCCATCTGTTGTAAGACAAATACCACAAGGATATTATAGTTTCAATGAAGATTCTAAACTCTCAAAAATGATGTAAAATGTAAATCCCATCACAGCTTCTGATTTCCAAGGTAAAGTAAGGAGTATGCCTACATCTTTAAACTGATGTTGCATGAACTACAGGATTTGGCAAGAAACCTCACCCTTTCCTTTTTACTTCAAATCCATATTTCTACACCGAAAGAGAGACTGATTTTCACCTGCCAATTTTTCACCTTATCAATGTAACAGTCTGCCAAATTAACTGTTGCTGTTGATATTGCGTGCCTATATACATGTAGGCACAGGCAGGAAACCATAGCTGTCTGACTTATGGTGCCAAGTACTCTATAGGTATATTAATTATTAAGGTATATGTACTGCAGTTTCTTTTGATTTACGAAAATCCACAAAATGAAAGGATAATGTTGTTAATATTTTGCTCTGGTTTTTACTTTGATATCTCTGATATTGAACTCAACGTTCATCCCACAGTACAAATTAAAGTTTACATCATAAATATTAGTAGCCGATCAGAACACTTAATTGTAACATCAAACACTTAAACTCAGGGGTGATAGTGAACACTAAAAAAAAAATTGGTTTTTTGTTTTCCCCTCAACCACGCCCCCCTTGAGTTAAAAAAAAGAAGAGGATTCGCGGGGAAAATGGCATCTAACAACATTCAGGGGGGAATCGGGAAAATCAGGATGAAATCGGGAAGAAAAAAAAAAAAAATCAGGAAACCGATTAAATCGGGTTTTTATCAGGCCTGTAAACTGTATCAATAGCAAATGCTATAATCATATACATGTACTATCAACCTGTACGTGTACCTATAGAAGAGAGATAATCAAAGTTTATCCTTTGTCCGGTCACTAATCTGACTCTGCAGAATGAATGACTGGGATAGTGTTACACCTGTCAAAAAAACATGATGAGTTTTTACTTGAAATAGAACCTGTATCTTCCTTTGCCGAGATTTCAACATGTGAGAGTGAATTAATTTTTCTTGCTTTTGAGTTTTCTAAAATCACACAAACACCAGGACAGCTGTACAAATATAAGGATATGTACAGTAGTCATCCGCACCAAATAAATCTTTGAACAGTTTTCATTAAAAGCCAAGACTTCGAATTTAGAATATTTTTCTGACTTTGTGATTCATATGAATGATTGAAACTCAGCTTCTCAATAAACAAACACACATTTTTTAATTTTTTTTATTTATTTATTTATTTTTTTTAATTTTTTTTTAATAATTTAAAAAAAATAATTATTTATTAATTTATTTTTTTATTTATTTATTTATTTATTTATTATTATTATTATTATTATTTTTTTTTTTTTTTTTGGGGGGGGGGGGTAAATCACAACATCACTGACAGCTAAACTTACATTCTGGCCTCCCTGACTCCATGACTCCAAGGATTAGGTCTGTCCAAGATGGGATCCTCGTTGCCATGGTAAAACGGGATCATGACACAGAGGGAGACCTCCAGCATCTCGCCCCGCCCACAGACAGGATGATCCTTGTTGCAGAACCACGGAGCACACTTCCCTTCAAAGCACGTGTTTCCCCCTGCAATATAATAAGGCAATTTTGCTTTTAATTACTGAAGATTTTACTTATGGGTTAGTAGAAAAAGGGGACCAGCCTACATGTAGATAGGCCAATGCCCTTTTCTGGTCCCTCACATCCCTACTCTACCCATTAATCAATTTTAGTGTTACTGTTTTTGTTGTATTTGTTCTGATCAAATTTTATATATATTGCATTTTATATTATTGTATTTGAATGTTATATTGTTGTAAGTTTTTTATTGGATGTGAAATAAACTGAACTTGAACTTGAATTTGAACTGTATTGAAAGCATGCGTAGTCTTTAAAAATATTCCCCCCCCCCCCCCTCCCGCTTGCAAGAGGGCACTACATGATGAAGGTATACATGACCATGTACTAGAAAAGCATATATGTGTGTGACCCCATGAAACATAAAAAAGGGAATTATACAATGATGTACAATAAAAACATATACATTTATATACACACATGTACACTTAACTAGTTTATTCACACCCTTACCAAGTTTTGTGATTTCTTGAGTATGTGACATATCAAAGCTTTCATCTAAAAGTATTCAACAGAGGTCTCAATTCAATCAGTCCCCCTTTCATTATTAAGTTATGAAAGACACAATAAACATCAAATTTACAAGGAGTATGAATAATTCAGTTCTTAGCTATATGTTTGTTACCCCATACAATATAAGCTAATAGTACATTCAAGTAGGCCCACATTTAAGAGGGAAAATGTTAATAACTTGAGCTCAAAAGGTGAAAGACCCTGAAATGAAAAGCCAAAGACAATAGAAGAGGAGGAGAAAGGAACAACTCAATATTGTCAAAACAAAAGGCTTATTAAAGTGGAAGTATGGGTTGATCAGGCCCTTTAACAATGGATGCATGGCCACTGATGAGGGTTATTAGAGAACTTCCTACAGTCTAACAGAGGACTATACACACACCTATATGTACATAACATGCATACAACAAAATCATAAAAGACTACTCTTGGGTATTTATTCTACAATATAAACTTGAAAAAGAAACAATTAAGTGAAGAACATCTAAAAAAGATTACTTTTAACATTCTGTTCTTCTTAAAAGATTGAAGAGCAATAATATATCCACAATGGTGTAATGTTTTATACCCACATGTCCAGGTATTAGTAGAAATATGTCTAACAAATTGTGCAGGTAAATGGATATCTATGTACATAATGGTTGAAGTTTGTGAGCTATTTACACTTTGATGATAAAGATTGTGTGCAGCTATATACAAGCTTGTATTCAATTATATACTCACCATCGCGAAAGAAAGTATCCAACAAATCTTTATCTTTAGTTTTCATCTTTATATCGGCAGTCATATTGAGGACACGGCCAGCACAAGGAGGAGCTCGACGGAAATTCAATATCCTAGATAAAAAGGAAGACATTTTATTGAGAGATTTTGGGGGAATGAAACTTCCCTTTCGTCTTAAACTAGAAGACATTTAAAGAACTAAACAAAATTGTAAGTGCAGATGAGGTATGAAAGGAAGAACTAAATGGACAATGCAAGTTTTTAATCTGTTTATCCAACAATTTTAGGGCTATGATGGAATCTAAAAACAAATATATAATTTTTCCATTGTGAAATATTCCTCAAGAGAAGAAATTTGCAGTCAAGTACTTCTACATGTACATACACAGCAAACCAGAACATAGAATATTAGTTAGCTAGCAAATCAAAGTGTCACTTAAGTCACTTAATTACTACTTCTTGTTTCCTTAATCCTTTTTATAAAAGCAATAAAAGGTTGCTCAAATAATCTACAAATTTGTTTGGAAGTTCAGTATCCATAAGAATCACTTTAAACTTTAGAGACACATCACCTGAACAGGGGCTAAATTCATATTTAAATTAAATTTCTTTTCTGGGATATTCCCAATCGCTCTGATCAAATTAGGAAGCTTGAAATGTTTAATATAAATATAATTTTAGGCTGTAATACTTGAATCAAATTCAAAGAAACCAATTTGAAATAAATGAAAATCAATATATTTGCAAATGCAGACAAATAAATTACTTTATTTTCAACATGGCCGCTGTCTGAACTTTTTTAAATCTAAGCATTTGTAGACGGTGATACACATTTGAGGCCCCCTGTAACTCAATAATATGCTCTACTTACTGAGCGCACACTGCTGAGTCACACATCCCCATCCTAAAAGCTTTAAATCGTTTTTCTTATATGTCCTTGACTGTATTCCCCTTAGGTATGTTACTGAGTCAAAGAGCTTCCCTCCTTTACAAACAACAAGTAATAGTCATTAGTTTTATGAAGTGAACATAATTATTCACATTACTTTCCAATTGACAATGATGCCTATTTTACATAAGGTTTTAAGCAAGTCTTCTTTATTTGTCCATAGTGTAAGTTACCCACAACATAAAAATTTATAAAATACAGAAAACTTGTCATTGATGGTAACTTTGACATCAATATTAACTACCATGGCAACATCACTAAACGGCCAATCAAATCAAGGTTACCATTGAAGTTTCCATGGCAAAGTTACCATCAATAGTATATTTAATGAAACAGGCCTTATTTCTGTCACCTGCATGTGTACAACTTCCCTTTCTCATTTCCTGCAAATGTTTTGATGAATAACTGTTAATGTTATCATTCAAGTAGTTTAGAAAACAGTAGTTACAGAGTACATTCCAATTACAAATGGACCTACCAAACCAGAAATGAGAAGAAATTGAAGAATTAAAGATAATAAGGAGTAGTTATATCTAATACTGGGCTCCATTGCATAAAACTAACATCTGATGGTAACTTTGCCATCAATATTGACTTCCATGGCAACATCACTCAACAGCAATTCACATCAAGGATTCCATGGAAGTTACCAATAATGGCGAAATTACTACCTATGCTAAGTTGTATCATATATGCAATGAGCCATGATGTTGTACACTTTTTGTGTTTGTTGTTGATGTTGCTTTGTTTTTTCTTTTAGTTGTTTTACTATGTTCCTTGCTGAACAGAATCACTAGGATGGTTTTAATACTTATGAATGAGTTCTGTGATACATCTAATAAAGTTTTTTGGACGCCTCATAGAACTAATTTTCTATTAGTGCACTATTTTAACTTATTTCATAATGTTCTTTTCTTTCCTTTTTTGGTGGGGGAGGGAGGTTCTACTTCAAACCTTTTTGAGTTTGTGAAGTGGTAATATTGATCACTGTTAATGTACAAGTACATGTACATGAGCCAAATTGATTGAAATTATCTATCAATCAGCCCTCAACTTGTTGTGGTAACCAGATTCACAGATCAGGCAACAATCCCCCGTACCTCTTTGAAGAGTGGAAGCACTTACACGTATTTGTATACTTGATAAAAACTAATATATTTAGCTGGGACGAGGAGATTCAATCATAGAGGATTAAATAAGGAAGTACTGTAGAACTTGCATGATAGATACGGTAATGTCGGCCTACAAGCTTAACATGGAGGACGAAAGTATGAACAGAGCAGGCAGACCATAAAAACGTAATATATGCCACAGAGAAAATAATTTAGAAAACGAAAAGAAAGAAGGGGAAGATGGGAAAAATAAGGATGACTGAATAAATTAGATGTTAATGAAATATATCAAAGCAGGATTTTACCAAAGATCACAGATTAGGGCCATTAATCCAAAACAATTTATGCCAAATTGGCTACAATTAAAAAGAATGTATGATGACTTAATTTCCACTCCAGGTACTCTACATAGTCTTATAGAAGTTTAATATCTTTACAACAAAGGGCAAACTTACCGGTCTAGATGAAACGCAGCTATTTCTGCATTATGTCTCTCGACATCAAACCAAAAGGGTTGATCTTCATCGTAATTGTATACAAGACTCCTGGGTGTTCTGAGGAAAAGAGTAAGAACTAGTCATGATAAAATGTTTATATTTCTCTTTTCCAGACATGAAATATTGCTCTTGCATGCTATAAAAGGCAATAGTAACCACTTACCGGTAGGAAAATAGATCTTGTAATACCATGATTTTATCAAACCAGTATCAAAAAAATCAGATCAACATTATGATTTCCTTAACAAAACAAAACTTATAAGATTTCTATACAATTAATAGGAATTTTTCAAAGTATGAAAATTATTGATTTTCATATTTGGCACTTATAACATTCACGAGCATACCAACAATTAATTTGGACAAAGATGAATCACCTTTTATGAGACAACATTTTAGAAGCTTAATTTTTATATTGATTTTGTCATATAATATGTTGTCAACAAGTACAGCTAACTTTATTAATTGACTACAAAAGTCTTGCTCTTTCATAATATTTAAACAATGTTACTGTATTTTATCTAAATGTGCTAATTTTGCTGTGCCAAAACGTTGGCAATATACAAAAAATATTCATACCTCATTGGCTTCAGCATTGCATAATTCCCATCCACCAGTTTGACATGAAGCTTGAGTTGACTCCCACCGTGGAATAGACCAACATTCTCAATCTCTGTCGTAGCTAAGCTCTCGAGAAGATCGTTCATGTACGGTGCATTACTGCTGTACATCTGATTCTCGGTGATGTCTGCATGAAACTGCTGCCAATGTAATAGATGGGTTCTGTCGGTGGTGAAGGTTTATGCAAAAAAGGAGGATAATTTATATTATTAATCAATTATGTTTTAAAATGCAGATTTTGAAGCATTAAGATTAGATGGTAGAGGTTAGGGGCTGCATTGCAATATGAGTATGTGTGTGATTTGAGTCTCTCTCAATTTAGAAAGAAATGATGGTAACTGAATTAAATTAGAAAGAAAACTTACGGCAAGAAAGAAAAAGTTAATTTTTCAAATACTTTCACATGCAACATTGACTGAAATACATTACATGTAGGCCTTATACAACTTTAGACTGTTGACTGAGGTTTACAACCCCATAGTCATATATTTAAAGTAGAAAAAATGAAAGAATATCCCCAAAAAAGAAAAAGAAAAAGAGAAATAAAGAAGGAGATAGAAATTGTTTGAGCAACAGAAAAATTTAATGAAAAAAGTAGTATGGTGCACACACATGAGTCTTTCTTTGTGTATTCATTATTTTGTTTGGGGTATGCAAATATCAACAATTTGTTGATAAAAAAAAGACAAAAAAGAGCATTATTTTGAAGGCCCATTGTGTAATCTACCTCTCAACCTTGGAAGATCTTAGGTAGATCTAGACTAATTATTTATAACTAATTAATAGAATTATCAGCATTTTGCCAATTTTAAATGCAGGTGGTGGATTCTTTTATACATTTAGAAATGAAATGTGTCTAATTTATATATTTGTGCATTCATTTATTATTGATATACTATTTTTGCAACTATAAGTTATAGGGGGCTGCAATCTACAAGCCCAGCTTTTCAGCAGTCCCCTCTATGACCAACCTGTTTTATATGCCTGTTGTACACATGGACTTTAATCCAGCGATGCCGTAGGACTAAGCCTCTTCATCGATCCTAGATGTCTTCTTCAGTGATTATACATTATCCTTGTCATTATTCATTATCCTTCACACTACAAGATGAATAGGATTTTAACAAATCTGAACAGATCTGGAATCTAACCTTCATTTAACAGGCCCTGTTTTACATCTCGTACACAAATAGGCTCCAAGTCCAAACGGTTAAAATGCATAGCCAAGTTACAACCCTCTTCACCACTGATACTTGATAATGCTCAAGAGGGGCGGCGATATCTTTTCATGACCGGGGGGGGACGAAATGCGAGGGACGGGGGAGCAGTGGCGTATAATGAGCAAAAAAAAAATTTTTTCTTGGGGGGGGGGGGGGGGGGGAGGGAGGAAAAAAAATCTGCATCCCCACTCTAAAATGGTACATGCAGGCCCTGTGGAACGTTTTTTAAAGTGGGGGGGGGGGGGGGGGTCCCTAAGTATTTCGATCAGGTAGATCAAAGCGAGCGAAGCAAGTGGAGTGTAAATTGGCGTGGGGTCCAGGGGCAAGGCCCCGGTGGGGGTCAAAGGAGGGGTTAAGGCATTCAATAACGGTCAGCTGAGCATCCAGGGGCCCGCTTTAAAGCCTCTGGTGGGGTCCAGTGGGCAGAGCCCCGGAAGCTCAGGGGTTTTAGGAATTTAATCACGGTGAGATGAGCAACCAGGGGCTAGCCTTAGGGCCCTTGGTGGGGTCCAGAGGGCAGAGCCCTAGAAGCTCAGCAAAAAACCAGGCCATTTCAGCAACATTTAGTTAGTTAGAAATAAATCAAGGTTGAACCCCCCCAATCCCCCCCCCCCCATCATTACGCCAGTGCGTGGGAGCAAAGTGAACGAGAGGGGTGAAGGCGACGGAAGTGACTACCCCCCCCCCCCCCCCCGCAGGTTTTTACTGACAGTTTTGTTGTATTAACAAATTATAATAACAAGCAATATACCTTTTTCACACTTCACTTTTCTAGAATATTTAATGTACACTTTGAAGAATATTATGAGAGGGAGCGTACATGTAGGTCCCGAGCAAGAAGCTTTTTGCAATTTTATTTATTTAAACGCTGCACTCTTGGGCCCTCCAGATGCCTAAAAGTTTGTTGCAGTCTTTAGTCAGTATTTGCTATACTGTCTATACACTTATTTTTTTTCTCACTTTTTCAATTTTTCAGGGGGGGGGGGGACAATCCCCCCTAAGAAAATTGAGAGAGTGAGAGAGAGAGGGAGAGAGAGAGTCAGATCGAGATCTATCACTGATAACTTTAAAGTGCATGAGATCTAACCTTCGTTTATTTTGAGTTAACTTGCGAATTAGACCACTGACACTTGTCTCATTATTGAATATATTATAACAATTTCTAGTAAATCTAGATAGCATCAATGGGCTTACACAGAAGTATACTACTAGCAGTAATTTTAAGCTATATCGTAAATGTCTGAACTTCGTTGTTTGAGATGTTAACCAAACAAGAAGAGGTGGAGTTCTTGGAGGGGTGCTAAGGGGGAATAAGGGGTGCGTGCACTCACCCATTTTTTCGTTTAGATTCATTTGACACCCAAACTGGTCTTTGCCTCCTTTTGCCTGCAACCCATTCGTCGTATTTACTGGCATTCTGATGGTCTGGAACTGCTCTCTCTTTGCCGGTGAGCAGGTTGATCCCGTCCAAAATACTTGTATGCTTTAAAGTTTTCTTGATATTCCGATGGATGGTTTCGACTCTTGCCGCTACTGGTACACCAATTTCTCGAAACACCGCGAAAATTGTCATTAACGTCGTGCAACACACGAAAATGGTTCCCCAAAACATAAACCGCAACCGAAACCTCATTTTGGTCAATGTAGAGTCTTCATTCAGCCAGAAGTAACACAGCAAAGTAAGTTAGTTCTATTCCATTTCTAGTGATTCAAAAGAATCCTTACAAACTTTTCTTTCCAACAAAGTTATCGCTCCTCTAATTCGCGGACGAACCAATGCACTTTGTTTTGGTTGTATGTGCGCGGCAAAGTGGGTCAATCGCGCTTGCGCTAATAGCCGTCGCTGGATAAATCTCCTTTTATATTGTGCGATTAACCGTGTAGCTGTCGCGTGCCGCTAGTTTTCGCTTTCCACCATACAATGTGAATTCTCACGCCTATGTGAATTTACTGCGCCTCGAAGAAAGACTAGCTTTAAGATTCTCGGTAGCGAACCGAACCAGGCTGGCCAGAAAATGATTTATGTTGACAGCCTGTCGAGAATCTCTACAAATTGCGGGAAAATTATGTAGCGTAGAATTGTCTTTATTTTTTTCATTCAATTTAATTTTGGTTAATGCGAATAGATCACAACTGAATGAAAAACGCCTTTAACGTGAAATGTACACAGACAAACCAACAACAAATGTTACAGTAGTGCGGTGCTACGGGGAGGGGGGGGGGGGGGGGCAGGAGGCCACCGTTCAAGTGGAACAAAAGAGAAAATAAAATACAGTCATGTAGAAAAATGGGAGGAGAGGGAAAGGAAACATGAATATAGTATATACCCCTCCCCAACAAGATGCACACGATTTTATGATCGACCGAGCAGGACATGGTGCCCCCTGACCCCCCTACAATAATTCCGGTGCCCTCTCAACGCTTACACTCATAGAAACAAATATAATACAGCATAATATATTGCCGGACTTCTGGATTTATTGCGTTTACCCCTTGCCGGAAATTTCGACCCAACATGCACTTGATAAAAACCTTTCTTAGTCAGCATTTTAGTAAAGCAACACCTAGATGAAAGTGAAACCTGTTCTTCCTTCTTTTTTTTAATGTCAATTTTTTAGTTTGTTCGATTGTTATTTATTAAAAAATTACACAAGTTTATAGATTGCTAAGCTGCACCTGACGTGATATACAAGTCTTTTGTATTTCGTTACATAATAGTGGCGTAGCATGAGTTGATTCATTTAGGGGGCACTGGTATGATTGGGGATGGGCGCTGGGCTTACTCTGATAAAGAAATGCGAATTTACAAGTCGGTGGAAGGGTGCGGGTCTGCGGGAGGTACTACTAGTCCAGACATTATTTTCCTCCTTCTCGTCCCTTTCCCCATCTCCCTTTGTCTTTCTCTTATCTCACTTTTGTTTCACCATTCGATTTGGGAGGGCATGGGCCCCCTCCACTCCCCACGCCCCTATGTATCCACGCCACCAGGTTACATATTTTGGCTAACATAAAGTCTAAGGGAATTGATTTGAATATTAAATAAATATGAAGGCCATGCAGGTCGCGGACTGGCCGTATGTGAAGGAGGATTTGATAGCCGACGTGATAAAAATGAGGTGACTATATTGGCTATTTATTTATAGGGGCTCTAAGTCCTAGTACCTCCAAAGAATTTCCCAAAATTCCAATATCCAACTAACCGTCTTTTATCGGGAAGCAAGTCTCATTTATTTCATATCTAATCTAATACAATAGTGTATACAATAACCATAATGCACTAATGCTATAACTCACTCGCTCGCCCCCCCCCCTCCCACATAAATGTATTCAGACAAGATACATCAGCCCCCCTGACGAAAGTGCGCCCTTACGCCTTTGGGTTGGGGTGGTTTGGGGCAGTGGAATCAAATAATCATGACCTTTATTTTTGCATTTGGTCAAACAAAGAAAGACATTTGCTTCAGCATAACACAAAACAAAAACAACAACAACAACAAAAAGCTCAAAAATATATCCTGATGCATGCACTGTTGTTACTTGGAACAAATACATTGTAACAAAAGGCGCCATCCTCCCCCTTCCCCCCTCCACCAATAATTAGCACCGGTTCTAATTTGAACAAACTTGAGACCAAAAGTTGGGCCCGGCATTGTTATGTTGCGGGTTATGTTGTTGTGAAGAGGACATGTGGATCTTGAATTCGTCTTTGTCTCCCTTGTTCAAGAGTGTTGATGAGAAGGAAGAGAAGATTAAAGACAGCCTTGATCTTCATAGTTACTTTGCCCCTTCATCCCTCGCTTCCCTTGTCTTTGTTCAACACACAGAGCACCACCGGGCTCGTGCCAGATGACCCCTACTTATGCTAATCCTTCAATAATAGAAATAAAGGAATGAGAGGTGGTCTATGACGGGTTAATTGAAACAGCGAGGGCTTAAACAAATTATAACTTCCAATAAGCGTCCATATGGTTCCTTTGTTTCGAGGACAAGCGGCACGCGACCGGTCCTGGCGGACCAATAAACTCAGTCATTATGCGACTTTCTCTCAGATTGGGATATTACGTAATTGTGGTCCATTCGGTCAGACAAAGAACTAAAAACAGGGGAGGGGGGGGGGGGGGGGTGACGATGTATAAGCTAATGCCGAAATCGCTAATTGGACTCTACAACCCATTTACTGGTGCTGTCTTACTAAATCATTTCAGAGGAAGAAAGAGATGGATGAATTGACCGGGGTCTATATCTATATTTTTACCTCTATAGATTCAGTTGAAATTTCGAACTATACACAAAATAACGTCAATGTGAAGAAGAAAGAAAAATCGCTTCATAAAGCCTAAAACGTTGAGGTTCTTTTTCGCTAGATATTATTCAATACCACAAATCGAACAAGAACAAATTGTGTATATTATATAAATGGTTCGTTGTAATGAAAATCATCTTCAAGCCCGGAGGCTGAATATTTATTGTGTGACTTTTTACAAATTGATACAAAATTAAAATACAATAAATACACGGTGATAAAAAAATTTCAAATATTCGTTCAAGTTCATAGTAAGAATATTAAATATAAAGAAATATATAAATATGTACATGCAATAATATTTCCTCTCCGATATTCATTGTTTTTAACGGGTCGTGTTTGCGATTATATATATCTTTTAAACAATATCTGGGTGTTTGCTGTTCGCATACTATGAAGATTTCTCAAACCGAATGTGGGATACCTGATCTTTATTCGGCATATAGCACCTCCACGGATAGGAATATTTTTGTATAATCATAGCTGTGAAATTTCTTTTATTTTTAATAATGCAAAGGCAAGAAGGATGTCTGGTGAAATAAATCACCTTGTTTGTTGAATAAAATAATGATCGGTTCAATTCGTATAGGAGGCTACATCGAATATAACTAACTAACTAAATAAATGAACAATAAATAATTTAACAAAGATGACTGAATGAATGAATGAAATAGATAAACAAGCAAAGAAATAGATAAGTTGAATAAGATAAATGAATAAGGCAGCTCTGATTAAAACAAATTAAGCAGTTCATAAGTTCATAAAAATAATATCCTGTCAAGTAAAAAGTAAGTGCTGTTTCGGGATTTTTGATTTTCCCCACAGTTGAGAATACTCAATAATCTTTTTTTAACAATGTTATCATTTTTTGTATGTATTTATCTTAAAATATGGCATTATTAATGCAGGCTACATGAGGTGCAGTCCAGCTTGGGGCAGAAATAAATCATTTAGACTATTTATATGCCAGACGAACTGAATGGGGTGGAGGAAGGAGAAGGAGTAGCAGAGTAAGATTTGTATGATGATAATTAATTTCACACAAATATAACCCATTTGTCTATTTTTAATCAAATCAATTTAAATATTTGCCACATTTTTTTGTTTTCTATACATCAAATTTGTTACTTATGATGTATTTTTGTCCAATATATCTTTCCCTTTTATAACCTTTTAATTTATCTAACACTAATTTGGTTTTGTCATGGGCTAGTATATTTCCTTTGTTGTGCAAGTTTTGCCAAATAAATGAGGATGAGCAAAACGATGCTCAACTATTAGGTACATGAAAGACTGGTCATTACTAGTCTCATAAGCATGTCGTTTGCCGAAAGATAAAAAAAAACATGTATGGTGGGAAAAGAAATCGCGTTACCGGCATATCGTGTGAATCATGCAAATAGCGGTCGTATACCGTACTTGGATACTGAGTGTGTGTATAACGTACATGTATGTACTAGTGTGTACAAAAGGTATGACACTGGTCCGTCCGCAAGGCTACACACTATGCCGGTACTGCCGGTGTATATAATCGCAGCGAACTAGCGGAGCATATTTTTCGCTCAGTCATATCTCCGCGAACGCTAGGGAAAGGTAGACAGGAACTCCCCCGGTCTACGTACGGCGTATGTGTGCTGGAACGAACCGCATCGGACTTCGAGTTTGACATCGGAGAACTGAACCATAAGGACACGATTAATGCAACACTTATCAAGATTTCAGTTGGTTGCAGATCACAAGGGTGAGAGAATCTAGCTGTTTTGTTACCACATTAGATGGGGGATATAAAATACGACATAGCATTTCAGTATTCGAGGGCTTTATCACCACCGGAATTGTATTCGAATCTGGACAAGCTGTCTTTGTTTTCTCCAGACTCTCTTACGATGCAAGATGACATGTTGCTTGATAAGAGTGCAGGAAAACTGCCTATGCAGCAGCTATCTCCCAATCCTGACCAAAGTTCAGATAACTCAGAAGATTATTCACAGAGCTCCAAGACAAAGTCCAGAGACTCGAGCCCTTTAACTGTACCTGATAAGAGTAGATCACACCCAAGTCAAATAGATCATCCATCAATTACGTCTGCTCTGTTACAGCAGCAACATCATCAACTTCAGCAGCAGCAACATCAACAGCAGCATCAGCAGCATCAACAACAACAACAGCAGCAACAACAGCAGCAACAGCATCAGCAACAACAGCAGCAGCAGCAACAGCAGCAGCATCTAGGGATTCATCCTCACCAACCTGTGAGTTTGAGTCAGTTGCACCAACAAGAATCAGCCAACAGCGTGATTAGCAGTAACGCAGCTGCAGTTTCCAGTGTATTCAATACCCCCAGTTTCTGGTCAACGGCTAATAATTCAGACGAAACATTCTTTCAGAATATCCCCGCAATGAATGGCGCCATGCATCAGTTTCAGAATTTCCCTGTAAATTCTTCTCCTCTATTCAGTCCGACATTGTCGCCTCAAGCCCAGCTCAACATGCAGCAGGCAGCCCACAGACGCAGTCTACCCCCTCAGCCGAGCACCCCCCAGCAGAACCTTTTCCCCACATCAAGCCAGCTTCAGCAGGCACAGTTACAAGCTGGAAACCTCCTTCTAGCAAACAAGCATCTGAGTTGGAACGCTGGTCAGCCAACATCTTGGAACAGCGCAGCCCAACAGAGCTTGCAGCAGCAGCAGTCTAACCCGTGGGGCACGGTCGGCTCACCTTCATCAGCCGCCCAGACGAATCACCATCGTCGATCGATGCCACCGCTGTCAACCCCAAATGTTAACCAGTCGACACCAAGTCCCAACTCTCTGGGGTTATCGCCAAACAAGATGAAGCCGGCCAGCAGCAACCCCATCATCTCTCCTCCCAAGTTCCATCGCAGTACTTCTCTCCCTGGAAAGAGCTTCTCTCAATCACAGCCTCATCTGCCTTCGACTGCAGGATCTCACCCTACCCATCAGGGACAGAGGCAGGCCTATGACTTTGGCAGAGACGTTGGAGGAGATGCTAACCATGGCCATGCAACCCACAATGGCACTCAGAATGGCACTCACCATCTCTCTAGTAATAGCACCCTGTTTCCATTCCAGGTGAGATATTTTTTTTCCAATTGATATAATTCTTTGAAAAATAGATTTATGCAGATTTCTACTTTCTGCCTTACTTTACTTTTTATTTCATTTCATTTCATTGTATTAATTTCATTTTATATCTACAGTGTAGATCAATATTTTTCGGAAAGGGGGGGGGGGGGGGGGTAATAGCCAAATTAACATGTTGAGTCCATTATTCATAAAAAAAACATCCAATGACAGCATACTCATTACTTGCATTAGACCATCATAGACCTAAGTCATTAAACTTTGCAGACATCCGTTTGAAACACATTTAATTTTATGATATTTACATGTCCGTACATGTTTTAGTAGCACACTTTAGTAGTGACATACTTTCATATGAAGGCATAAGACATTCTTCAAAAAATCTCTATAATATGAAGTTGTGAAATTGTTCAGAGATTTTTTCTCTTCAATTATGGCCACAAACATCTGTGTACTCTGTGTACATGTAGATCACTGTATCACTGATACAGTGATATCAGTAATTTATTCAGAACACAACAATACCACCGAGTATCACACTCGTAACAGCCATTCCTCAACACTTCATTGAATGAATTATCATAACAAACTGAGAAGCAGAAAATACTGTGGAATGTGAAATACCAGGGCAATAAGTGCAATGAAATTAAAAAGAAGAAAGGAAAACATCTTGTTTACATGTTATGCTATGGAAGGGCAATGCAGGACAGAAGAGCAGGACAGAAGAGCAGACTCCTTCCATACTATAACATGTAAACAAAGTGTTTTTCTGTCTTCTTTTTAATATCATTCCACCTGTCTGTCCTGACATTTCACATTCTACCACATTTTATCATTAACAGTCATTATGATAATTCTTTCAATGAAGTGTTATCATAATAATCACCTCAGCCTTTGACTTTTAGTATCAGTTGACAGACCAGACAAGATAATATGGATGTACTCTGTAGTTCAACACATATTTTATGGCCTTGATTCATGAAAAATAAAAAAAACATGTGATGATGTGAGTGTGCCAAGTGGATGCCTTATTACTGTGTGAATGCCTTATTACTGTGTGAATGCCTGGCTATGTATGGTATACAGACTGCATTACTGTACAAGTATACACGTAGGCCTACTATTTTTAGGTTTCTACCATTTATTTGACTCCATTCATGATTACCGGTACATATGAAGATACTACCATTGTTCACCACCCTAGTTGACTTTGTTATTCAGGCCCAGAAAGCAGTCATTCAGAACCAACTTTAAGGCTTCAATGATCAAATACCCTCTTTCAGAGAAATGCATTGCATACAACTTGCATAGTTGCAATATTCACAACAATACATAAGCTAAGTATAGACTACAATTACCTATCAATCATGGAATAGGGTAGAATACCATGGGTTGTCAATTTTGTCATGGTCATACAGCATGTACATGTAATGTAGACTTAAAATCTAAAATTGTGCATTAGAATTATGTACACTGTAGGTTTTGACTTTTTATTAACAATTGACATTTAATTTTGGCTCTTCTTTCCATAAAAAATCAAACAATTTAAGTTCACTTTACATAGAAATTTTTCGAATATTCTGATATTATGCTGTATTCACGAAAATTTAAACCTAGTCCAGTAAATTAAATGCACATGAAATTAGCAACAATTAATTACATTGCTATGGTGTCACTCAAAGTATCCCTCCAACCCAGTAAGAATATATAAATTAAGATTTTTAATTATTTTGGAAGGGGGTCTGGATTGAACAATTTACAGTCTCATCAGTCTGTATGCATGAGCCCCATGTAAAAACTTCCAACATTTTTTGGGGTCCAGACTTCGATTTTTGGGTGCCCATGTGATGTCCTGGGTACCTGTTGGTGTTGAGCCCTGTCTATTGTTATCCTCTCTCAATTTTTGCTGCCTGCCATTTAAAATTTTCTCATGGAATGATGGAAAACATGCTTCTATTGTTCTAAGATGGGACAATGTTCATTTACATTTGTTGCAATCCCTTGGCCCCATTCAATACAACCCTAGATACTACCAGTGACTGTATGCCAACAGTATAGAATCTTAATAATGAAGAAAATAGATTAAAATTAAATATGCATGTACATGTACATGTAGGCCTACATTGAATGGTGCTGTATACAATGCTACAACAATATGCCTGTGTTACACAGTGCGTCGTATGGGTTATTATGCTAATGTATTCCTTACCAGCAGGTTTTTTTAAACCCTTTTGTTTACCAAGCCCTTTGTTGAGCTCTTTGTTTCAACATATGTGCACCATGCACAGATGATCATTTTCCCAAGGAATTTCATTCTTTCAAAGATAAAGATAAGTTAATTTAACCTAATACGGGCCTAGTTTATCACCACAGGAGTTAATTGTGGTGGTGTGGAACAAAGGAAAAGTGTAGTAAAAGCTGTGGATCATTCCCATAGCAGATTTAAAGGGCGGGTCTAATACTACTCCTGGTAAGGGTGAATGTTTACAAACATTCCCATTCTTTGAATTCCTGTGTGGAAGATTATCAAGTATATTTACAAATGTCTTATGAGAAAAAAAATTGCTCTTGAAATGTTTCTATTTCTAGTCTCTTTTGTCAAATAAGACTAAAAAACATTTACATTTGTGGACCATATCATGATGCTACAGTCTTGTGTTGTCCCATGTACCCACATCTTTGTCCAGTGATTTCTGTTGTTTTTCAACAGGATCTAGTGTTTGCTCTCATTCTTATAAATCCAGCCATACCTAGTCATTCATACATTTATTTACAAGTTAATCAGCCATGCAAAATAACCTCTTTATAGTTTGCAATGTTGTATGCGTGAATGAACAGGAATCCACTCTATCTTTAAGGCCAACAATACATAAAACTTATTCACCTCAGACCTGGCACATGCATAAAATTAATGCTAGGCTAGCTAGGCTTTGCGCCAGTGCATTCCTCCAGCATTCTGTTTGTACATTGACCAGTATGCCGTTTGCTATGCTTGTCAGGGGTACGGTATACAAGGCACATCTCTCTGCTTAGAAGAATACCAAGACAAGCATCCTGAGAATGTAACATTCCAAGCAAGCTTTCATTTTGGCATTTGAGGACAACTACTGGGCTAGTAATCCAGCGATATATTCCTCAATGCGTCTAATGCTTACTGACAGGGATGGTGACTCTTGCTTTTGTCTATAGGGATAAAAGAATTTCTCAAACAGATATTCAGCTTTAGCCTTAGGATTGAACAATTATATTACTTGTTTCTATAGATTGTCCAAATTAATCTTAGCGATCATACTAGATCAGTGTATGTTTTAACCTAGATCCCACTGTTATTTAGGACTAGATGTTTTTCTCTCACATATTTCAGACATTTCATGTGTACATGCATGTACAGTGTACATGGACATCATTACATTGTAGGCTACATGTGTCTAGGTTATAGTTCTTATTTAGTGGCCATCAGACTGATTACCAGATTATTCAGATTTAACAAACATATTTCTATCCTGTTTGGCTATTGATGTATTTCCGAACTTGAGCTTTCTTTCTCCAAACCCATAAATCCAATTTTCCTTGCATGATTTCTGGGAAAATAGTGTGGGAGTTGCGATGAGAAGGCAAAGTAGAAATAAGCAATTGAAACAGAGCAAAGGAAATACAGTCATATAAGTAAAGTTAGAGTGATTAACATCTAAACAGTATGCATCATGTGTTGCTTGTTGAGGATGTACCTTATAATGAGGGGACGCACAAAGGGGAAAGGGGGATATATGGAGGAGCTTACACTCTTACAGAGGGCATGCATGGGGGTTGAAGGCAGGATGAGATATAATGAAAATGAAAGAGACAAAGCACTGTAAGTTAGGTCTTTCCACAGACACAAAGACCCTGTAGAAATCAAAGACAAAATACCCAGGTTGTTGGCCTACACATGTATGTATATTTAGGCCCACAGATTACTTCATATTTACTGGTGCGACTTGAGACTAATTGATCGCATTTATGTGCAGGGGTAAATGTCAAGTTCATTTGATTTATTGCTCATAAGAGCGCTCTCAGCACAAGTACTACCAGTATATTGCTTTAAAAAAGTCTGGAAGTGTTTTTAAAAAAAGCCAACATAATTTTTTGACATTCAAGTTTACTCCTCCAACCATTACCTACTGTCACAGCATTCACAACTCCATCAAAAACAATATATAAGTCAAATGCTATGAGCACTTGATTGTCATCAAAATATGTTCGCATTAGCTTTGCCAATTTGGTACCCACACCTTTCTGACATACTTTATGTATCATTTATGATGAACACATACAGTCTTCTGCATGTAGCTCCATCCATATGGTACTAATAGTAATATTAATTTTCTTCAAAAACATTGAAAAATATTTTGAAAGAACCATGCTTCAATAATATTCCTGATAATAGATTATGTAAATTAAACCCACCTGTACATTTATAATCTGTTCAATAAATTTTGTGCAAGGATTCTCTAGTTTTGTAAGTTAGTAACAAAACTTTGAGTACCCTAGGAATCATGGGATTTATGGAAATTTTGTCACTGCATTGGGTGCAGAATCTTTTGTGGACGGTCTTCATTTTCAAATACATTTACGATTTGATTTATTATTATATTTTTTAATTTGATTTTTTATAGGATAATCCTGGTCATCAGACCCAGAACACAGGCATGGATCATCTCAAACTGGCCTCCCTGGAACATCAGCTATTTGACATCATGCGTGGCACAGACCAACCTTCAATGGAATTCAACGCTCCTCGTGGTACATGTGAGTATCTCCCTATAGTCACATGTGTTGTTGTTGCCGGGTCATGCACATTTGTTTACATAGATCTGTACACTGTACTCTTCCAATGATGGCCCCCCATCTTGAAATGGAGGAAGGAAGGGGATAACTCTAATGAGCTCTAATGACCTAGTATCCTCACATAGGTACAAGCTACAGTATACACTGTAGCACGCTGTAGAGATTTGAATACTACATGTACAAACATTGTATGTGTGTACGCACATGTACAATGTAGGTCTGCTACATTGTAGGTAAATGTTAACATGCCATTAATTGTATCTGTACATTCTCTACATGAAGCTGATAGGAGACATATGGGCCTACACTGTACATGCAGGATCTGCATTCTGCCAGCAAATTCCAAATAGGCTGGAAACAAGTTCACATCTTCATGCACCTAAAGAAGCAAATTTTCTATATTTTGCCTAAGGTCTTAGCCTAAATTACTAAACAAGTTTTTCTGCTTTGTTTGTTCTTCTGTGTGATGTCTGTCTCTGTACATGTATGCTTGTCTTCTCGTCTTTTTAAGAAGGCAATACACATTCAGCTGTCAACAGTGTCCATGAATGCCCTGTAGGCCTATTTCTTTTCTGTCTTCATGTCTATCTCTCTTTCTATCCACCCACCCACCCCCTCCCACTCTATTCCCCAATTCAGGTTATTCTGTATGGCAATATGTGAAGGATTCATTTCATGACGTACAAGATGTAGACTCGGGTACTGCTCTTAAACTGAATACTCATTACAATATTCCTTAGTTGGTTTTGAAAGAGGTCTAACTTCTAAGTTAATTCTTGTGATAAAGTGAACTCTAGTTGACCTAATTGAAACAAGCTCAGGTGTATTAAACTGGGTGTTCAGTAGAATTTGGGCCCCTGTGAACTTACATCTAAAAGGAAGTTACTCAAGTCGTATAGTGGTGCAATGTACAGTCAAGGTTAAAAGTTGATATTCAGCTGGTGTGAAATGTTTTCACATTTTTACACATTTTCATGTTTCTTCCTACATTTCTTTGATTAAAAGCGACTAAAGCAGGCCTTCTCAACTAGTTTATTAGAAGCGCCAAAACAAAAATTTATTGAGGTTGAAGTGCCAACCTGTATGTTTGGTGAATGCGAGGGAGCGTAGCGACCGAGCCGATACTGGGTGGGGTCCAGGGGCAAAGGCCCCGGAAGCTAGTGGATTTTAGGGCGTTTTTAAGGCCCAGATGTGGCATTTTTAACACCTTTTTGTTCCATAAAACATCAATCATAATTTCATATTGATGTGAAATAATTACTATAATTCCTGGCTAAAATCTACACTGGAAGTCAATTTATATGTAGTTATTTTGGTGCAATAAACACGGAAAATGTCAAAATGAAGTGAAAATCAAACATACAAAATGGCTTGCTTACATTTTGGGCTCAACTTCGACTGCGACTTTTTGATTTTGCTGAGTTTTTTATTTCGAAATATAATTTTTTAATTTGTTCTTTCTTTAATTTTTAATTTTTAAATTTTTTTAATTTATTTTTTATTTATTTTTTGGAACAGCCGCGCGCCACTCTGACTGACCGCAAGCGCCACAAGTGGCGCGCGCGCCGCCAGTTGAGAAGGCCTGGACTAAAGTATGGTACTTTTGGAAGGTGGAAGATATTTTTAAAGTTATAGACATGCAGGTCAAACATTTTCACATCTGGGAGTATACACTATTCACATCAACTTGGCACTGGAAATTTAAATACAACTACTTCTCATACATACTCGTAGATGTACATTTATGACCCCCTCCACACCTAGCCCCCCCCCCCCCCCCAGGGAATCTGAATCTGTTGATATTCATCTTGTTTGTGCTCATGTTCACTACTTACTATCAAGATTATCGTGATAGTATGTTAGTCTGAGAGTTGCACGTGCCAGACAATTTACCACTTTCCTGTGCCCTTAATGATTGCTTCTGCCTACTCATATTTAGTCACAGGAATGAGGGGGGGGGGGGGTTTAGGTGCTGTGGTAGGTTTTTCCTGGGATAGAAATAGAGCACGGAACCATGTAGCACACACACAGGCTCAATCAGATGTGATTGACTCATTGAACTCACCACCATACTCTCACTAGACTATTGTCACACTCTACAAATACTTGCAGCTATCTCTCAGTGGAATAAGTTTGATAACTCTCAAAATAACTGGTGTTGAAAGAGCCCTGCTAGCTAGATTGGGAATTGATAAAGACATACATTCATGCACAGTGTACATTACATGCATGCTCTTTATGACGGGCCAAAGCAAGGGATCATTATCTGGTCAAAGAAAATCTCATACGGCGACCCAGCTTGCAGGTGTACCTGCAGGCTTTACATGTACCAGGTACATGTTATTAGTTAGGTCCAGGATGTTTTAATAGCAATTTGATATAGGCATACAAGGTCTTTGTTACTACGTTATTTACTAGTGGTCAATATTTTCCTATTATGATGGTTACCATCATTTGTACTGTAATGTATACACCGGAAATGTTCTCGTCTTGGAGAAAGGGTCAGTTTGAGAACATGCACATGTTGGCCTAGACAAAAATAAAGTGTGAGCCCATAGGTCTACTACGCTTCTTGTAAGCCTTCATGTGTAAATTATATGCATTGTACAACTTTTGAATGATTTGTTGTACATGTATATCAGTTGACCGTTGAACTGCCATGTGGTCTGTCTCAAATGTATTCTTTTTTGTTCTTTAAATCAATATATAACAATTGAATATCACCCTCTATTCTTATTTCTGCTGTCAAATACAGAAGGACATGTAGATCTTCTTTGTTCACATTCAATTATTTGGGGTTTTTCAACTGCTTTGTGGTTTGTGTTTATGTATTACCTCAAGGTACATGCATTGTAGGTTGCAGACATTATTGATCTATGTACAGAGTAAAATGCTCAACACATGCCCATGAATTATGCCACTGTCAATTATTATATGGGCCCTGGCTTGTTTGCAGGGAGAGTGGCAGTATGGTGGGCATTATTCTAAAGCGTAAATTATTGATTAGTTATGTTGTTTTGCTCTGGGAGCTTTGAGTGGAACGTCCCATTTGACTTTGAGTATGTTCATCTCTTGATCTACTTAAAAGAATAGACTTGTAGGCCCACAAGTATTAAACCTACTATGCAAAACACTTGTATTCCTATTTCATAAAGACCCTGTATCTATACAGCCATTATATGTATGCACATGTGTTTCACTGTATAGACCTACATGTACATTGAACATTATACTCAATTGTACTGGGCACTATATGCTCTCTGTGCCTGCATATTTAGTATCCTGCAATACATCAAACTGTATGACCTGTATGGTTTTTCCCTGTTTCACCAGAATATACAGGTTCTTATACATGATCCTCCTTTATTATATTCAATTGTAAAAATTGATTCCTTTTTGTAAATATATACTGTAGGTCTAAATAAAAAAATAAAAAAAAGAGGAGAAAAAAAGAAAAGAAAGTTCCTATTAAAACAGAAATGTTTTACATGTACATTGACTATCATCATAACAAATTATATGTATCTCACTGCGGAGAAGCTTGAGAGAAAACACCTAAATTTTTCTTTAAAAACATTATTGCACACTTAAAATCCAGAGAAATACATACATAAATTATTTAAAAGTAATCCATTGTTTGAACATGACTGCCAGAAGGCTGAAAGTTGGTTTGATTAGCAACAATGCAATATCGATATATATTGAGCTCACAACTTGTACAGCATTAAAAATAGGCCTAAGGCTAAATACACTGTATGTACAACGTAGTGGGCTCTTGGTAAAAACTATTTGGTACTTTGGTAGTACTCTATTTGCATGCCTACGTGTAGGCCCACATAGTTGACATACAATAGATCAGTTGTAGTAATAGTCAAATATTTCAACACATCTTTTGCACATATTTACACTGCATTTATGCAATTGACATAGTAAACCATTCTTTAGTCTTTACATTGTATTTCAAAATGTTCTATCATATTTTGTTTTGGTTCGTGTAATTTACCCCATTGGGATTCCATGCATCGTATTTGTGTAATGAATACAGTGGAGCGTTCATTGACGTCATCCACTCTTTAGATGACATGCATGCATACATCAATCATGTCTGGTTGGAAGTGCTGCTTCCACAAACATTGCTCTCAATCTCATACATTATCTCCTGATGAGGGAGATGGCATGCCATGTTTTAATTACACTGTAGATGTATATCATCCTGAAATCATGCATGAATTCAGTAAGAGATAACTAGAGGCTAATGTTAATCTAGGGTTTAGTCATGAAAGACATTACAGCATTACAGTCCTTTTCAATCAAAAAAATTATAGCAACAGTACATGTGCTGTACATATTTCAACATTTTAATTACATCGTGTGGCATATTATGTACTGAACTGTTCAGTTTACTTGTATTCAGCTGTATATTGAAATAGATAGATCAATAAACTGTAGGTGCAATTATTCATTCATTAAAAGTGCTATGCAAGATGATTAGATTTGAAACTCTTGATACATTTTAAAATAAGCTGTTAGCTGTTTTTTTCTTTTCATTTTAAATAAGTTTCGGTGTATTGAACGTACATTTTCCATTTTGTCTTTCAACAAATTACCCCAATCTCTAGGGAGCTCAGCTTTGTTCCCAGGCTCTGATAATCTTCTGGATGATGGACGTCATGACCAGATTGTCCCCTCCCTCAGCTCACCAGGTCACATCTCACCCCGCTCTATAGAGTACCCTGGAGAAAGGTATTCCAGGAAGGTGTTTGTCGGAGGACTTCCACCTGACATTGACGAAGGTAAGCATACTCATTTCGGGAATTAGGTTCAACAGTTTGACATATTTAATGGACTATATTATAAAAAGGCTAAGTGCTAAGTCATCTTGTGTCCAGTATGTTACAAAGAAGTGTGGTAATATGAACAGAAATTAACATTACAGTATTATTTTACTGTATGTCTCACCAGATAAAAACTCAAGGCTTGCAAAGCAATTTAAATCATCAGTGACTACCATAAACTTTAATGTGGTCATGATGGTACACAATAGATAGATTTGACTTGCCCCCAAATAATATTGACTGAGTTTTATGAGTTTAAAAAATGTCAAATTATGATTCCATCAGCTAAAGATTCTAACAGAAGTACAATTATTTTGCGGTTTTCCTTACAACTGTAACTGTGCAAGCATGCCCCCCCCCCCCCTCCGCCCCACACACTGCCATTGTCATATCTACATGTATTACCCCATGTGCATTGGACCTTGATATATGCTTTAAAAATTCATTAGCATTTGTTTCTCTGCTCAGCATGAGACCATAAATAATATGCATGATGTAAGTTTGCTACATGTATATCTTGAAGGACATTGCAGTAGTTTGAACCTGAAGAGCAAGGCAATGTCACGTGAAATTGGGTTGACACTTGGGAGTGGAAATGTAAATAATAGTTATGGTATTTTGGGACTATGATGAATGTGCCTAGTTTTCCAATTTGGGCATTTCTGCATGAAGGTCATTCTGGGAAGGCCCATGCATTTCTGTTGGCTGCGCTTTAAATCCCTTTTACTTCTTGTTAATACTATAATTTAAAATCATGAATAAGTGATACAAGTGATGCTTTTCTCAGATGCACTGTACAAGTGTACATAAAGTGTTTTTTTTATTGTTGATATTCAAAAGAAAACTAAATTTGTAAGTAGCAAACTTGCTTTTAGTTTCTAAAAGCTAAGAGCTAAACTGCATATTATTTCACTTGAATTGACCAATAGAAAAGAGTGTTTGAATTGATTGAAAACAAATCTTGATTTTATATGCTTGAACTGCAAGGAGATTAAAAATTTAAAAAATGATTATCAATACCAATAATACAGTTTGAATGACTTTCAAGTTATATCGGTTATTGAAAAAAATACCTGTTATATTCTGGGATGATTGCAATCCTGTTTGATGGACAAGCCAAACATACATGTAGGTCTTGGTCCAGTGAACGTGTACATGTACAGTACATAAATACCCACCTCCCACTTATGTCAATATCGATTTTGTTCAGAACTAAATATGATGGATTTGTACTTGTTCAAAGCTTACATACAGCCATACAATAGAAGTACATGTACATTTTGTGAAGAAGTTTGAACAGCTAGAACAAACCTGCATTACTAATCCACTGGAGGAGGTCTGGAATTACCTGCATTGCACAGGGTGTGTACAGAGTCATTGCTGTGGTGCTAAGACAAACATGAATTACCTGTAGCACAAATATGAACTCTGAACTCTACCCAGATCAATTCTCATTGGGTCGCAAGTACTGTTGCTCTAGATAAAACACAGGAATCAAATTGCCTAGTCACCTCATGCAAGCGTGGCTTCTTTAGGGGATCATTTCTTTGCTTGCTTGTTAGGTCCATGTTAGGATCATGGACCAATCACGAAGTACATGATATACATGTACATGTACATGTGTATTATATTTATAGGTCTATGGTTGCGCTGCTTGGGAAAACATTCATATTAGACTGCAATTCAGTATGCTGGCAAATGAGATATGAAATGAAAAAGAATGTCATAAGATCAATATATGAACATGTTTTTGTTGTGTATTTGTTCCATTCTAGATGGTTAATTGTTTTGAAATAAATGTTTTTAAATTAATAGTCTAACAGACAATATGTTGCTTTTGTCAGTCTCCATGACAACAGATATTAAAATACTTGTACGTGTTTGATTTGCAAGGTTCTCTCTCTCTCTCTAAAGACTCTATTGTCTGCTACGTTTATTAATATCTCCTCAAGTCTCGGTGAGAATGCATCAAATTTCGTCTACTGGATAGAAAAAATCACTTTATTTCATTTCAAAAGGTTAATGAATTATGAGGTCATCAGTCTTAAGCATGGGACATCTTGTGTAGCACAGCATTCAGCTTTCACACAAGATCTACTCCCTCCTACAAAATATATAAAGACCCAAAGAAAAAAAGGAAAAAAGCAAGCATAAATTTGTAATTCTATTTCCCTGATATTCAGCTACATGATGCATTTAAATGCGCTAAGTTATTGTAAACTAAATGTTTACACCAGAATATTTTTCATATTCAGCATCCAGCTGAACATGTATTGAATGTAATGTGCATATACCGGTACATAAACGCCATTGTGTTATACAATATGTACATGTATAAAAGACTGAACATGTTCAATTTTAACCTTTTTATTTTTCTTTATCTTAATTTGTTTATAGATGAGATAACTGCCAGCTTTAGACGCTTTGGAAGCCTGGTTGTTGACTGGCCTCACAAGGCAGAGAGCAAATCATACTTTCCTCCAAAAGGTCAGTTTATGAGGGATTATATTTCCTACCCACCCACTCTTTCTCTCTCTCTCTCTTTGTTTTTTGTCTCTGTCTCTGTCTGTCTGTCTGTTTCTCTCTCTCTCTCTCTCTCTCTCTCTCTCTCTCTCTCTTTCTCTCTCTTCTTTTTCATTTTATGATAATATCCTTTGAACATGCATAGTTAATGTTATTTATTCAGGTAGGGTTACAGTGAATTGGTAATTGTATCGCCCACACACCCAATTCCTGTATCTCCCCTTCATCACCACCAGACCGTAGCATTCATTCATTAATTTAGGTACGGTATAGATTCTGAATTGACTCCGCATTTCATAGGCATGTGTACTGTACACTAATTAAGTGGGTACTTTTTTTATGTGAGATTCTGCTGTGGGATGCACAGTGTTTTAATTGGATTCATATTTTGTGTGTTTGAAGCCAGAGGGGCGTTAACTCTGTGTTTCAGTATGTGAGTGAATGCCCTTCTTGCTCCAAACAGACGATCTGATACACAGTGTACAGTGTATGCTGGCATTTTGAATGACCCTAGTTGGTATGCTGACTGTAGCTTGGTTGAAACTACAGTCCAGACAAGATAAAAATGCCTGTCTATTAAGAGCACTTAGATAGATTGAAGTGAGATACACATACATGTACATGTAATGACAGTTTAGCTGTCCGCAGAGTATTAGGATTAAGCCATTATTATTTGTTCTCCCTTTGCTTAAATAAGACACAATCAGACCTGTCAGTATGAAAGAAAAGCAAATTTGTGTAAAGTAGAGGTTTTCCCCATTCACACTCTTATTTGTGTGATAAGATTAATTTGTCATGATTAAAGTTATCTTGGTTAAAAATTAAAAGTTGTATTTATTCTATTTGATAAGTATTTTGGTGAAAAGTATTGGTCTCATAATCATTAGTGTCATCAATGTCAACCAAAAAGCGGAGTCTGGAATCTCGTAAGTTTTTCATTAAAAAGATTCTTTTAAAATCGAAAATAAGATGAGATTGATTTTAGTAGAGGTGTATGCTGAGCTGAAGTAGCCTACATTTGCAATATATATGATTTTGCACTTTAATAATTGTATATTTACAAAGAAAAATACAAAGTTAGCTTAAAACAAGCTTAACATGTTATATGTTAGAAAATAGGTCTCCAGTTTATATGTAGGGCCATCATGAGAGCACTTTGAATGATTATACACACCAGTAATGATTAAGAATACCATTTAGGGTCCTATTAACCTTTGCCAATTGTTTCCCATTCCTCTTAATCTCTATTGTACAAGCATATCTAACAATTGCACAATCACTGCAGGAACCTTAGCAGAAAGATAAATCGTTGTTCTATAACTTTTGTCAATATACACCTGACCCACTTTGATAAGCTTCTGTTCAGAGAGTGCAGGCAGAGTACACAAACTATTGATATGCGCCTTTGTGATATTGATGAAATATTACCCTTGCCTCAGATATCTTTCAAAAATTATGTAAACCAGAGATTAGATTTACATTCTATATCTCAAATGTTTACTTTGTACACTCTCTGAAGTTTGCACTACCCTCAAATAAGCCAGAAGTACAATACAAGTATATTTCTAATTTTCAGGCATACACTTGAAAATATAATACATGCATAATTACAATACTTTGGTTTAATTATCATATAGTTAAAGAAAATTGTATCATTTAAATACTTAATTTGGTAGATATTATTGTGATTAATTGCTATATGTGTGCGACATTCAAGCATTGAAATCAACTAGATATACAGCCTGCATGTAGCATACTATTGTGGTTCAAAATGTCCATTTATGGGCATCCACAAAAGTAATGAAAACTCAGGCATTGCTGGTATGCTTTTGTGTGTGTGAGTGCATTGCAAATGCCCAATCTCAGTATGTTTGTAAAACAAGCTGGTGTTAGGCTGTGTATATTTGTGTGTGCTCTTCTATCTCTTCTCCTTTTTCAGTTATAACATTGAAATTCAAGTTGGCAATGAATTTATTTTAATTTAGTTCCTATTTAAGGCAGTGTTATGAAATGAAAACTCTATGTGATATGCATGAACCTTGCCAGTATATTGTTGAAATGTTAATTTTTTTTATGATGATAGTGGAGCTTGTGATGATGGTAGAAGAAATTGAGTCATCAAACTATCTTGTTTGTTGGATTTTGTTAATTATTCATATATATTTATTTATGTATTCATCATTTTATGATAGGTTTTAATTCCTCATATTGTGTTTTAAAACCCAGTAGTTAGATCAGCCTTGCACAAACAAACCTCTTTAATCGTAACTTAAAAATTGATTTAAAAGGTCACTTTGTGTTATAGACATATAGTTTCAACATGTTTACGTTTCATCCATATCACTATCAGCACAATAGTAAAGGTCTGGGGAGTTTAAATGCTATTTAAGATAAGCACAAGATACTGCGCTATTATCTCTAGTGCTCCAGGATTGGTTGATGTTTGTTAAGTGCAGATATCTATATATACCTGGATCCTCAGATGAACTCTGATGCTGGTAAAGATGCCCGACTAAGTAGGCCAAATATTGCATCAGGGTTGTCTGTAGCAATTGTTTTGTCCTTCACTGTCTTGCCAACCTTTATTAAAGGGATCCGGTAACTTTGTCTCAGATTCTGAAACAAAATCCTCGATTTAGCTCATGTTGCAATGATAATTATGAACCTTTAGGTCAGTCAGGAACCCCATGACTTTTACAAGCCGATCGCCTATCTGATTATCAACATATTTATGATTGGAAATCGAAATCAAATTTTGCGTTTTCCTAACAGTTTTCATAACACTACAGTCTATTGGGGAAAACAAGTATTGTAAAACCGGTCACTCAAAAGATTCTTACTTTTTTAGGCACTTCTTAATCATTTTGAAGCGCCATTTTTTTAGTGCTCCAATATTACACCATATCAAAGACACAGACTGATACCATGTAGGGCCATGCATCTCAGATTTAACATTGTTAAACGATGCCTTTAAGATAGTTGTCTGCAGTAAGTGCCCTGTATTACTTTACAAGGGCAGTATACCCAGTTAAGAAAAGTAGGCCAGACCACCCGAGTCATGACTTTTTGTTTCATGGGCCCTTTTATGGTGTTGCACCACTCTTGAGCCTGTGCTCAGATACATGTGATGTTAGGCTTGTTCACATTCACATACGGTACATGTATGTAGCCTTTAGAGTGGTGGTTAACCATAACTTTGTGTTCTTTGAAGTGTAATAATGGCAAATGGGAGTGAGAAGAAAGTATCTGTACACAACAAATGTCCTATGTTTATGTCAGTTTATTTTGCCCCAGCTGCTTACCAAGGCATCCATGTATGGGAACAAGTTTTAAGATTAAAATATAAAAAAGTACAAAAGCATACAGTAATATCTATAAATGGGAATGCGCTATAGACTTTGTACAAGTCTAAAGTGTAATTTTCAGTTTTCACACATTGTGAAATCTGGAAAGATTCAATTCTCAAATAGAAAAAAAAAAATCATCTGTATATAGATTTCTAAACGTAAATGGTAATTTTGGCGTGATTTGTTTTTCTTATCGATAGTTTTGTGCAGCATTATTTTTCACAATGAATATGGTTCAGGTTATGAACCTAAGATTCATTTTTTTTTTTAAACTTCTGTGTAAAAATATTACAAAATAGATGGATTTCTAAACTTGCCTTGAGAGTTTGAGAGATTCTTATTTTTTTGCTATGAAAGGTTGGCAGGTATGATTATATATGTCGGGTTATCATGAGGAAATGTTGTGTTGCTACTACTATCATTGAAAATGTCATTTTAAATTACCTCTTGATTTTTGTCATAGGTTATGCATTCCTGTTGTTCCAAGATGAGAGGTCAGTCCAGGCTTTGATAGATGCATGTATCAAGGAAGAAGACAAGCTCTATCTCTGTGTGTCAAGCCCGACTATCAAAGACAAGCCGGTGAGTACTTGCTCAATCGTACAATCGGTACACTACATTATGCAGAATATTATGTATGCAGGGTGGTTCACAATCAAGGAAGGAGTATGAGTTGATGTGTGCAAAGCGCCAAGTCTCTTGCAGCCAGATTCCAGGGCCTGCAGAAGGGCTTTGGAAGCTCTAGAATTCTTAGATACCCTCAGATGAAATTTCTTACTGATATTTTAGAAATAATTTTGGTTGAGAATGTGATTTTCAAACCTGTCACTCTTATGTGTATGTGTTATAACCCCTTGTGGACCATTCTGCGCTAGAAGGGCATTAACTCATGTCATATTACACAGAGTTAATGTCCTTCTTGCTCTTCAGAGATGATATTCACTGTATTGTGTTTGCTTGTACAGGCAAGGCTCTCCACTTGCAGGTTTCACAGTGCAGATGACCTATGAAATTCAGATTTAGCTAATTTGAAGAGTTATTACAGATGTTTTTTTAAATTGAAATACCCCGTTTTTAATTATGTCTCAAAAAGTGACTTATTTACATTGAAGAAAGAACAGAACCCTGTAAAATAGAGATGAAAGTTTGTTAGTTTCATTGTCCATTCTTTTTTCACTCTTTTGTCCAGGTTCAAATACGCCCCTGGAACCTTGCTGATAGTGACTTTGTACTAGATGGATCTCAGCCCCTAGACCCAAGGAAAACAATATTTGTAGGGGGTGTTCCAAGGCCTCTCAGAGCTGGTATGTATCATTGATTCGGATTTACTCATATGGATAAGTTGGTTTTCCAGTGTTTTTCACTTTTTTCTTTTGTTTTGTTTGTTTTGTTTTTGTGTTGTTGTTTGTGTGTTTGTTTTGTTTGTTTTGGGTTTTCTTTTTCTTTTTCTTTGGGGGGGGGGGCATGTTTATTTGTGTACTTGACCTTGTATACTTATGACCATACCTGTATGTGCTGTGTCTATATTTCTAGGATTTACTGCTCGATTGATTGATATTTGTTCAGTATTGGTAAATGAAAAGTGCAGTTATGCAGGTTTAATTTCGAAATTTTAATATATGTGTATGAGTAGGTTATTTAGTCTTTGTTTTCTTTGGTGTGTTAATGTACTTTTGACCTTGTATGATTTATACAAAAATTATACGGATATGTGTAATATGTATGTGTGGCTGACATTATTAAGTGAGTCATACAAATTGAATCCTTCTATCTATTATGAGTGTTCATTTGCTATTTGTACAATCATATCTTTTTCAGTCATATGCTGTCAGTGTCCATGAAAGTCTAAAAGACCTCACGAATGATAAAGTTGTTCATTTTTTTAATTAGGATAATAGTACAATTTCCCACTGTTACAACCATTCCTCCCCCTCCTAATTTCCACCCCTTGAAAAAAAAAGAGATTAATAAAAGAACTTAAAAGAGGCAAAAGAAAATTTCGAAAAGAAAGGAGAAAAAATCCCCCCCCCCCCCAACTAACAAACAAAACAAAACATGTACACTGTATGGTTGTGTGCGAGAAATCTGAATTTTCAGAAGTATTAGTGCTGTACATTTCAGGCTACATGTACATGTAGCTCTGTATTTCTGTTTACACACCGCAAGTGTTGCTGCCTGTTGTTTTAGTTAGACTAATGCTATGGTTACATGTACATCCTGTCTTTCAACAAACAAGCCAGCCAGCGTGTTTTATCGTTTCTGCCCTGCCTCTTTCTTATGAAGATGGTAAAGAATAAAGAAACAGAGGATCTCACGCGGCTGAGAGAGACGTAAACGTAGGAGCCAAAAGATTGTTTGGCCTTGCCAACATCCTGTGTTTTGATTTCAAGCTTTTCTATGAGGAGAAGGAGAATGAGGAATAATTAGCTCTTTCTTAAGTTAAAATAGCACGTCTTAGAACTACGTGTCTACGCATCATGGTTGACTTTGAAGCATGCCATTGTTGTCCAATGATCAAAAATAGTGAAATATAATTAATATATAGGGAAAAAGAAGACATAAGTTTCCTTTTAGATTAAATAAAAAAGACTAGGGTAACCAAGCATGATTTAGGAAGAGGGCATTACTGAATTTAAAAGATCAATGTCATGACTCTTGAGACTAGAGGTAGGGGAACACAAGGTACATGTAAAACAAGGTGGTTAGTGAACAGACGTTGTCATTAAATGCCTTTCTTGTGTTTTGATGTAGTATCGGAATGAAGTATTACAAGAATAAATCTAAATATACACATGTACCCTTCACCTTGGTAAAATGGTTAGGAAATTGATTGTAGAAGCAGAAGGGGTAATTTTAAAGAAGAACGGGCAAAAGGATGAGAATAATTTGTGGACAAAGGGGGTGAGAGAGATTTGAACTTTGAAGGAACTGGGCTCCTTCTATTAACATCCTTTGTGTGAAGTCATGTTGTGTAAAAAAGAAAGAGGGTTATTTTTTAGCAAGTGGTCAAGAGTGTGTTGGTGAAAGGGAATTGTGCCTACCAATGTCAGAGTCATAGGAAGTTCCAATTACCAACTTCCTTCCACCCTCACTTGCATTCATTCCCAAGTGCATTTGGAGGAAAATCACAAGATCATTAGTCTCACAAATTGCTTGAAATCACATTAAACTGGAGCCCACTGGCCCATTATATGGATTGTATTTAATTCCAGTGACGGCATTTTAGAACTGATAATGTAATTATAAAAAAATATCATATGCAGTCCTCTTTGTCAAGTTGATGTTGTTGTATAAGAGCATTGAGCTGTATTAGTAGCATACTTTGTCAATTTTTTATAAATAGACCTTTACTAACATTCATATGAATGAACTACCCGGTACAATACTTGAAATCTAGTCTGCATACATTACTTGTTGCTTTGTCAGGCAAGCCTCTACCAGCGTGTCCAAACACAAAACAATTTATCCCGAAACTCTGTAACAAACGTTGTATAAAGAATCATCTTATAAATTCCAGGGTGTCCACACACAAGAAACGTCGTATAAATTCCAGGATGTCCACACACAGAAGAAAGTAATCCTGAAACTCTACAGCGAAATATTGTATAGGTGCGCAGTTTGCTACTGCGATCATGAAATGGAAGCGAAAATGAGAGGTCAGGTCTCCTTTCGCTCAAGGTCACGTTAAGCCCCGCCCAGTTATACGGTTGTAGTTCGACTAGTTATACTAGTTACGTCAACACACAACACATTCCGTGATTAGGCGTGATTAGTTATAAGTTGTATAACGAAACGCATGTTTGGGCATCGTTTTGTTATACGACGTATCGTTAGTAAGCGTCCACACACACAATTTCATCGTATAAATATCGCGAAACGGTATAACTAATCACGCCTAATCACGGAAAAATGTTGTGTGTGGACACGGGGTACAAGCTTTCAGGTTATCGGGGAAAAACATTTGTTTAAAAAGTATGCATATATTTTGAATATGTTAGTAAACCAGTCTATCGTCTGAAGTTGTGACATGTATAATGTACAGTGTATATACCTTGAGCACTCTGCTGTCTTTTAGTGCATCATTGTGTTTCAAATATAATTCATGTATTAGTCATCACCGTAATCTGCCACCTCCTCAATCCTGTCTTTTATGTAGCAATTGCTTCCCCCTCTCTTTCTCTCTTTCTTTCTCTCTCTCTCTCTCTTTCTCTCTCTTTCTCTCCTTTTCTCTCTCCCTCTTAGGCTCTTACTCTTACATTGTCATCTTTCCCCTACTTTGTACCTGTATTTCCAATATTTAATTTCTTGGGTACTTTTAGTAATTTTATTTTCATATCTAGCAAATAGCAATATTTGAAAATTCCCTGTAAAAATATATATTTGTGACAATATTATTTCGCTTTTTAATGCACTCAATTAACTTCCGTGGTGTCCTGTCAGAAGCTTGTAAAACTTTCAACAAAGAATTGAACAAATCTGTGCATTTTACAATAGAGTTGTCCTGCCTTCCTTTTTTAAATGATAGCAAATGGTAGGTCTATTCCATAAAAAGTGTTGGTACAGAAATATAAATATTAAGGGCTTTCAGCCTAATAAGAAGTAAGTATGTTTTGTACATGTACCTCTAAAAAGAGTTCGGTACAGAAAAATACATACAGTGTGCATGTACACTGTACATTGTATTTAGGGCTATAAACCTCAGAAAGTATGTACATCATGTATCCATGCAAATGATGTACAATTTTTGTACATACATGTACTATACGTGCAATACATACATGTATACATATGAAAGCTAGCAAATTCTGTAGATAGGTTCTCAGTATGCGAGGGCGGCCTGTATACCCGTGGGATGCTCATCTGTATCACTTTCATACGATCCTCTGATCATAGTAATGGAAATAGGAGACAGTCGACTACACATGTGCACTCATCGCAAAGCATCTCGATGATTATGCCTTGTACATGTATTGGTTGGCAAAACCTCTAGGAACATGGTATCCTCCATGATGTACATGTATGTACTATGTGTCCATGTAGGTTCTAGGCCGACCCTGTATAAAGCATATACTGTATATTATTAAAATGCATGTCATCTGTCCATGTACAGGTTCACATGACTGTTTGTATACAGTATGCTGTAATCACTGATATACATTTGTACATTTAAGTATGATTTGGTTCATAGAAGTTCTAGATAGATATTCATTGTATCATAGTAGTTATTGGTTATTGAACACCTTGAATAAATCATGTGACAGCCCAAACCACATGTTCAGTAAGGTGAATACAGCTGTGTATGTACATACAAATACATAATGCAGTCTGGTAGCAGAATGAGAACATACAATGTGTACACATACATGTATTTAGGTTTTTGATATATGAATACTTTATATGATTGATGTCAACTAAGCCATAACAAAACATAGGGGAGGGGAAATAAAAAGCTTTTAAAAATATAGAAAGAAAATCATTCCATGCATATGATTTCTTTTTATAGAAATCCCTTTAAATACTGGTACCACATTCTCCCTATTTATTATCCATAACTTCCTGATGTATTCATTGTGCTGGTTCTTGTTACTATAAGTTCATTTTATTCAAATATGCAGGGCCATTAGTGTCATTCAGTCAGAATACAATAGTGTGCATTGCAAAGATTACTGGGAAATTGGGGGAATGACGGAAGTTAATATTTCCTTATGATGTTCATATACATGCCAATCTGCACAATTTCAGTTTAGTTCTTAACACAACTTCAAGGCTGTATCCTGTATAATTTGAAGAAGTACATTTTAATAGTACATACAACACATCGATCTACTTCATGATTTAGTGTAAGATCTGTGCTTAAAGATAAAGTTGAGTCCTGGTCATGCGTTTGCATCGTGAAAGAAATGGTGTGGAATCAATCAGAAAAGATTGATCATGACATGCAGCATATTTAAGTATTGGTGTGTACAGCAAGGTTTTGGAATCATCAAAATGATAAGAAATTTGGCCTAGTCTTGATAAAAGTAACAAGCGCTGTACACAGGAAGATTTACATGGGACTACACAAATATGTGGCATAAAAGTGAGGCCCACATTGTAAAGCTGTTACATGTCATATATTTAGAATATGAAGACATATGAAGAGCCATGCTTTTCAGGGAACATTTTTTTCTCTGAAGTTCCTCCACACTTGCATAATTTAATAACAATAAAAACGCTGACAAATTATTTTTCACCTCTCCCCAGAACTCAACCTTCTCTTTGAATGAATATGAGTTGTGAAAAAAAAGGCTGATTCAGCAGGCCTTTAATGTATACAATCCACCTCTCCGTTAAAGATAGGAAAGATAATGCGACTTACAGAAGAGTATTGAGGCTGTGATAACAGCCAATTATATTTCGCTTTCACCACTGCGGTCAAGGCCACATGTATGTTGACTAATATTTTAGGCACGTAACATCTGCCTTGGGAAATTAATTTTGGATACAGCCTTTTCTGACTTGAGATTGTACAATGCTAACTGTCTTTTAGCTTGCATAGTGTATGTACTGTACATATTTGAAGATGGGATACCAGTCTTGATGCAATTGCTTGATTTTCTAATTCACTTATGTATTTTTTGTTTTGTGAATTAAAATACATGCAAGGCGTTGCTTGCCATAAATACAGTACATAAATTGTACATGATATAAAAACATCCAAAGACACTGTTTTTTTTTTAGGGCATCATTTTTTTTTATTGAAAAATATATTAGATATTACAAATTCCTAGATGCGCATATAACTGCATGCTCAAACTACATGTACGTGTATACTATCCATATATGTTTATGAACAGAAATCGATGTAATATGATTTTGATACTGTACAATACAATATAATTGCAGCACGATACGATACGACACGACACAATACATTACATTACAAGCTATCTTAGGGTGAGGCTGTGGAGTCTGTTTGCATAGAAAATGCAATCAATTGACAACTGCGACTATGGAACATTTATTTGATAAATTGTTTATTGCTTAAAAGGCTGTCAAAAGTGAATTTGATCATTCCATTTATAAAATCTACTGGTAAACATGTCAACTCAACTGTTTGCAATAAGTTAAACAAATGATTCTGTATACTGCAAAGCAGATGCAAAAACTAAAATAATAATGAGAATGGAGAAAAAAGGAATAGAAGTAGTATATATTGATATGTCTACAGCAAAATTAAGAATTTGTATTGAAATGGCTTGTTGCAAAATATTCCCGAGATGTACATGAATATGTACAGTTCATATAAATGAAGCTACACATCTACATTTATTTAAATGTGACATTCAAGCCCACTTGTACATGTACATGTACACATACTGTGTACACAGTATATTCCCTGCAACAAGAATACACTTGTTTTGCCATATGGTGCTGATGAAATGTATGTTGTTCATAATTGATGCCATCCTACAAAGCTTTTAAGCTGCACCCTAATTTAGAGCAAATGCCGGTCACTACAAATGCCGTTATCTGTAGAAATGGGACAAATGGGGGACTTTATGCATGGCTTGGTGATCAATTATAATTTATATCAGTTATAGGTTATCATCTACCCCTGATAGCAGGGCTGTTAACCTCATGAGAATAAGACTCATTTGTCCATCGTGCTGGGCATATTACAAACAGGTGGCATGGGAATCTCACAGGCTGTTTGCATAATGTGCTGAATTTAGAACAATATCAGAGAGATTCTTTATAACTTATCATGTTACGTCAACATTATCTTGGTTCATCAGCCTGTCATTTGCTGATATAGGTTTATTTTGGGAGTTGGGATTTTTGACGCCTGTGCTCAAAGTTTTCATTGGTAAATTATGGTAGTTATATTATGAACCATCCCGTATATTTAGATTTACATTGTAGTACATGACCGGTACATTTACAGATACTGCAGCATATACAGTGTACATGTATTTCCCAATGCACATTTTGATTCTGCAACCATCTTCCTCATACACATGCACTTATACTGATGCATTAGCCGAATAGTATGCATGTACATTTAATTTAACAAAGTGCATACCGGTACAGGTATATATACATGTACAAGAGTGTGTGTGCATTCGAACCACACCTGACGATCATAATTTCACCGTGAAGCAGCATATGTTAATGTGCTTCAACCTAAATTATGCCATTGGAAAACAGTCAAGATGGAACAGCTGTTTCCCTCTTATAATATATCAATAAAACACTGGCCTATGAAAAAAGAGCCCGATGCAAATGAGATGATAATGTATGGAGACCCTCATTCATCATTGCGTGGTTATGGATGGGATGGTGATTGCACACAGGCTAGAGGGCTAGCTGGCCAGCCGGCCGGCATGTGTTCAGTGACTATGTACCTGTGTGAAATTCCCTGCATAGATGAGCTGTCAGGGTGATGATATTTACTGGTTGCCAATCAAGAGCAGAGAGAGAGAAGAGGATAGAAGGATGGATGGTGGCAGTGTATGCATAGGCATTTCATTTCAGGTTGCATTCATGCCCCAGAATGGAACACACACACACACTCACACCATACACATAATGCGCATGCAGTACCTGCCAAGACACACACACACACACATCCTCCCTCTCCCCCTCGCCCCTATTCTCTCCTCTCTCCCTCTCTCCCCCTCTCTTACTCAACTAGAATATTGAGCCTGCAAGTGTCTATACCACGAATACCACACATCAGTGACACACTATGACTATGTGAATATATAAATTTGAAATGGGCAAGAGACTATTCCCAAATAGACTTCCCATGGTATGCATTCATACACGTGCCGTTAATATACCTGGCACGCATAATGCAGACTTGTTGTGTATTTGCTAGATATTTGATGTGAATTTGTTAAATGTTGCACACAGATCACATCTTATACATTAGATATCGGTATGTTACTGTAGGGTGTACGGACCTCCATTTACCACCGTACTCGCTGTGTGGACCTACCAGAGATTTCTTCGATCCAACCTCCATGAAATGTTTACACTGAGATACAATTTTGAGTGGGTTTTTTTTTTTTTGCAGGACACATTCACCTTCCCTCCCCCACACCCTCCCTTGTGGTTCAGTGTGTACACATTCCATGCATCAGTTTTGCATTTCAAGCGGGCCCATTCTTGAGAGGATGTGACCGCAAAATGTAAATTGCAAAAAACAAATTACATGTATATATACTTGTCGGTGGTTTTGTGATTGGAAACCACCAAACATATTGACTATTCTTATGGTTAAGAAGAAGAGATATTTGTTTGTTTGAACTAATACCATTTTTGTTTGAACTAATACACGTTTATATACATACTTGTCAGTGGTTTTGTGATTGGAAACCAATGATCTTATGGTTATTAAGAAGAAGATATATTTTTGTCTGAACTAATACCAGTTGTATTTATATATGCTGTTGACAAAGCCCAAGATTATATTTATATCTCGCAAAGATAGGTTTAAACAAATTCATGTGGGTTATTATGTGTACATGTACAAGTGTGTTAACTTAAATATTTCAACACCAAGTCAAAATCTTTCTTTCTTCATCAGATGATACCTAGCATACTCTTGTAGAGTGTTTCATGAGAATAAATGAACCTGTACCATTAAAATTTCATATTATGCTTTGTTTGCCATTCTGAATATCATCCTTAAATGACAAGGATATGCAACGTTAAAGACAAATTTGTCATCGATACAAGATTTATATTTAATATGCAGATCTAAGATGTTGCTGTACACCGAATGAACTTTTGCAAATGTACTACGTTGCACATCATGTATTATTTTGCTCTATATATGTCAGCATCAATTGACATAGAGCTATTCACCAACGCGATGAAAAAGGTATCTCTTCACGTTTAAGTGGAAAAACACATGTCACAAACAGACCCCTTACACATGCATTTCCATTTTGATTTTTGTCTTTGCAGTTGAATTGGCAATGATAATGGATCGCCTGTATGGCGGGGTATGCTATGCCGGTATTGACACCGACCCAGAGCTGAAGTACCCCAAAGGAGCTGGCCGAGTGGCCTTCGCCAGCCAGCAGAGTTACATCGCTGCCATCAGCGCTCGTTTTGTGCAGCTTCAGCATGGCGACATAGACAAGAGGGTGAGTGATATGTTTATGCATTTGGCAAATCACAGACATGTGGTTCTTTGACATGGGTGGGGGGATATTCTAGATGCGCGGCTCGTAGCTTCGGTTTAGATGCAACTTGCAATGTTACAAGCATATATATGAAAGGCTGCAGAGTGGGCATCAGATAGCAATCATACCTCATTTCATTGCAAAAGAGATTCATATTAAGAGAATGACCGCAGTCATCAAACATTTTGTTTTTATTATAACAACAGATAATATAATTATTAGAATGTAGATGTCAAGTAAAAGTATATTTCAGATTCCCCCAAGGAGACGAACAGAGTTGTGCCTTTGTTTTGACGGAAGATTTTTGATCTGATATTAATATATTGATGTGATGTATTGACAAGCTATAAAGTATTTTCCTTCTTTTTGTAAGACCAAGTTAAAACTACTAATGTTAGGTTAAAGTATTTTTTTGAAATAATAAAATGGACTTTATATTTACTTAACTACATGACAGAAAATACTTATCTCTAGTCAATGAATTAATTAAATACCAGTTATAATTATTCTGCAGTCATACAAAAGTGGTATAGCTTAAATGAAGCCCTACATGTTCATGGATAGATAGACAAATTAATAAGCTGTAGAGTGAAAATAAAATGTATGCCTACACACTGCCTGAATTGAATTACACCCACAGACCCTTTGCACTCACTTGCTACATAACTTATCCATCATATTCAATACCGCTCACCACAGAGAGCTGTTGATATAGCAACCTTCATTAAATGTATGTGTAACAATGAGGGCTTGCTTCACAGCAGAATGACTGTTCTTTGGTTGCCATAGTAACTGCACTCACTTTCATTAGTTATGGAATCATTATTGTGGTGCATGATGAAAAGCATCATTATCCTCCACTTCTGATGCTAGTGTTATTAATTAAAAAGAAAATCCTCTGACTTTGATATGGGATTTTCATTTTAGATTCGCCATAGATTCCAACTCTCCAAAGCCTGTCTGGTTAATTTGATACTACCCTTCCTCATTTTGTATATAACCTGTATGCAGTTCATATTTGGTAGTAAGATTTCTTACAGTAGCTAATATATGAATCTAATTCATTACATATTGACATACATATCGACTCTCAAATGTGTCAATTGACAAATGAAAACCTCAAAGCTGCCGCACATATTCCTCTTGAACATTACGGGATGTTGGAGAGTAATATACGAGCATCTATCGTTGATTACAGCCTTGCACGTTACATGGCGGATTACATGCTCACGTTGCACTGCCTGAGAGCAAAGCCTAAATATAGGACACACCGTATGCATTAGAGTGAATGCTAAGTGCAATGAAAATCCCTTGGTCTACCCTACGTCATGAGTGCGTGAGTAGTCATCTACAGAAGATGAGTGGGAGTGGAGAGCTAGACGGCCATATGGCTGGCTGCCTCTACACCTCACATAGGCCATGAAGAAAAATCAATTCCTCTTTTCAAAGCAGTGGGGGTGGGGTGAGGGGGAGGGGTGTAATTTTCAATGTTTCGATGTTGTACTTATCTGACTAAAATTCCATTATTGTATGAGGTTCGTTATAATTCATAGATGTATAGTTATCAAAGATATATGTCATAGTTTTACAAGGATAATCAAGGTGAATCAAATTGATGAATGTTGAATGTTCAACAGTTATTTTGATTTACAACATGTGAAGATTTATGCATTTGTAAGTGTTTGATTATCATATCTAAAACTTATCAGTGCTACACATGTGATATTGCCGAAGTTGAGTTCTGGACATGTGTGTATTGTTTATTGCAGTTGTACATGTACACCATACTATTACTACTACTGCGCACTTGATGCAAGCAGATGTAGTAAATGTAATTGTATAAATCTCTGGCTGTCTGACATACAGTATCTCTATGTCATTATTAGCATTGTATCTGAGGCGAAGACTCTTTTGTTTGATGCATATTACGAAGGTTCTTTCAAACAGTCTTCTAATATCTTCTGTACCTTCAACATATTGTATCATAAATTCCTTACTTGAAAAATTGTTTCCCTTTATTGTGTTTAAATTTACCTTCAATATACCAGTTATAATACTTAAAAACTTAGGGAAAAAAAGGAACCATGTAACTTAATTCCTTTTTGTGGAAGATTTTTGTCATCATCACTATATGTATATTTCTTGGTTACTACATGTAGTGCATGTACCTTACTTCCTATAATAACTCTGGCCTGATGTCTTGCCAATATAATTTAAAATGTTGACCTTTGTCTGTTTTCATTTGTATAGGTTGAAGTAAAGCCGTACGTGCTTGATGATCAGATGTGCGATGAATGCCAGGGCACCCGATGCGGAGGAAAGTTTGCGCCTTTCTTCTGTGCCAACGTGACCTGCCTGCAATACTACTGTGAGTTCTGCTGGGCCACCATCCACTCTCGTCCGGGCAGGGAGTTCCACAAACCCCTAGTCAAGGAAGGAGGCGACAGACCACGCTCGTTCCCTTTCCGTTGGTAGATCCCCTCCAGAGGGCCTCCTACCTTGCGTGAAGAAGAAGAAGCGTTCACATCTACTACAGATGACGGGATGAAGGGACGACGATGTGAAGGGATCAGGCAGACACAAGTCAAGTGTAGTTTTGTGTGGTAGACCAATCCGGGTGATTCTTGTCTGCCATTTTGTGTTATTCAGTTTTCAATATACAAAAAAGAGTGTTTTTTTGATGAGGCATTGTGTGATGTGATTTCAGTTTCCTTTTCTTTTTCCTTTTTTTAATTTATTCTATTTTTATTGATTGACTCAAATTTTTGGACAGTGATATGACTAGTGTGGCATAATTGATGTAGTGCTCCTAAGAAATTAGTGTTCATGTGTGTGGCGTGTTTGTTCTTTCAGCTATACCATAGCCAGGTATATGATTCCTTTTTACATGTCACTACACTCTACTGTATTTTGCTGATGAAATGGTTATGTGAAAGAACCTTGTGAAGAAGAAAATGTTCATTGCTCAGATGAGCTATCGAAAGAATTCAAGGTTTTGTTTTTTCCATTATTTAATTTCCCTTCATAGGAGTGGATTCTTGCCATATTTGTGCAAAGGAGACATCTAATATATGACAGATTTTATTTTTTCAATAAAGAAGTTGCACACATTTTTTTTACATGGACCTAATAGAGCATTGGGCATTTGTCGAAGTTGTCCTTAAAAACTTGAGGAACAATGAAAAATCAAGCGTTTGCTTGCAAAAAATTCATTCATTTGAGGCCAGGAAAGATTAATTTTCCTGAATAAAAATAAAAATTGAAAGTTAATGCCAAAGCTTCTATTTAAATATTATTTCAGTGCAATTTGTGTAATCACAGTACACACCTAACAAATAGAACGCCATTTTCATTATTTTCGTATTTTATGTATTCTTTATATATATATTTCTAAAATTATTTTGGAAAAAAAAGTAGATAAATGTGTCGCTGGTTCAGTGATTGCAAAAAAAAAATAAAGAAAAAAAAAGAGGAGATGAAGTGAATAGAAAATATGCTATTGTGTCAGGGATTGATGATTTTCTTTTTAGAGCTGGGATGGTCGGTGTGTTGATAGTCACATTTCTTTTGTTGGAGTTCATTAGATTGAAGAAGTGAGGTATTTGTCTGCACAGTATATTCTATATCAGATTTAAAGGTATATATTCACTGTAGAGAGAGAGAGAGAGAGAGAGAGAGAGAGGGATCAGAATCTTATCATTCTCTCATTACTGCTGTTCATACTCACTGTTATATTCATGTATCAATGTCATGTGTCTGTGTGTGTATGTATAGCAACATATTATCAACATTCTACAGAGAAACAGAGTATTGCCAGAGAGCAAGTTATGATGGAAGATTAGTCATTATTTCTTTCAGCGGTACCTGCTTTATTGACATATAGATTAGATAGATGATATTGTAACCTTTCAAAATATTTTTTTAATTCACAAGTTATTTAGTCCACTGTGCAATGTTCTTCTTTTGATATTTTTTGTAAAACATACATTAGAAGAAAGATAGATTTGGAAAGATTGCTGCATAAAAAAAGATAAAATTATCTCTGAAATACAGGAAGCAAAGTGGTAATTTTCACCAAAATAACCCAACAACAACCTAGTGGTGTTATTTACAAAAAAAAGAGAAAAAGTGAATGAAAAGGTAACCGTTTGTGTTTATTGTTATCCTTTCCTAGTATTTACCAAACCAAAATTGGACATCCGTCATCTAGATGGAAAATAATGAGTGCGCGATCATATACATGTATGTACTGCATGAAATGAAGCCAAAAAATGATGGGAGCCGTGTAGATTTGATGTTCATGTCAATGTGTGACAAAAAGTTAAGATATAACCAATGTAACTGTTTGGTGTGTGTTCTTGGAGTGTTTGAAATTGTTCTAAGGCATAAAACAGGTGGAGTTACAATGTATGATGTACATGTTAGTGGTGGTTACTGTAGTAGTCTGTTCTGCATGCAAAGCACCCATACCTGTGTTGTGGATAGTATAGGAAGGTATAACAAACAATGTATAATCTCACATATTGACACAATATTACCACATATATATGTGTGACAGAAATTTAGATTGCGGTAAATAAATGTTGGGCATTGTTTAATATTGAACAGTTCTGTGATTCCTCCCTGCCCTGCCCTTGTCGCAGCTTTAATCTCCTATTAAACTTGTATTCACATTTTTCTGTGAATGGTTATCTTGATATTTAGTCAAAATCAAGGCTTAATATATGTCAGCTGTGAGACAAATATTTATGTACAAAAGGAAAGAGGACATATCCTCTGTATGTATCTCAGTGTGGTGTTGTCTCTGCCCATATGAATAAAGAATATTGGACATGCATTATTGAAATTTAATAATACAAATTTGATTTTATGTGGTTACAGGTTTCGACATTTCATTGCAATAGATTTGTCAATTGTTATTTTTGTGTGATTTGCAGATATTGCAGCCTTTTATTTTTTCTAGTTATTGTATTTAATGCCATGTTTTTTGGCAATGGATTGTGAATGAATAGATGTCATTTTGAAGTTTTTGTAGAACAATATTTTTATTGAATTTATGTGATAATTGTATGTGTGCATGAGTGTTTGAATGTAGTGAGGGGAAATAAACAGAGAGAAGACTTTCAGCTTTTTGCTTTTTATATAAATATTTCTTAGCATATATTCTCATGGAACAAATGTATTTCATATATATGTTTGAATCTATACCTATTTTTCTTGGTACAGTATTTTAGTAACAGTTTACAATTGCTACAATATATTTGTCTCTCTTAACTTTTATACAAAACCAGTAATTTTCTTAATAATTTAGACTATAACATTTGGTACACATTTTGCAGATGCTTTAGTATTACATTTTTGAAGAAAAACTCCTTTCTCACTGAAATTTATATATATGCATGTATTTTGATTATTTATATAACATTATCGATTTGCAAAGTGAAAGTGATTCAGAGTTTGTAATTTTTTATTTTTCTTTAATGGTATAAAAAAAATTGAAAAGAAAAAAAAAACTTTGAGAACATTTTCACATTGCCCGTTTTCCAGAGTGTGTATTAAACTTTTTATTATTGGATAGTTTGTTCATATAAAGACAGAGTTAATATATATGGTTTCAGAAGTTTGTAATCGATTTTCTGCATTTTTTCTAGCAAATTGTTATTGAACTGCTTACGTTGTGAAATCTTTTCTACCTTCTTGTGTGTTTTTGAACAATTTTTGCCAATGTTTTCATATAGGGTTATACACTAAGCGGGTAGTAGTGTATGTATGGAGTAGATATTACATGTCTTATTATATCTGGTGCTACAATGTACACTGTAGTATGTGATTTGTGTGAGCGTATTAGAGGTCAGAGGTTCATATAATTCTCGTGTGAATGTTGCATTCTGAATGGTTTTGTTTCATTTTTTTTTCTTTCAGTGCAATATAAGATGAATCAATAATTTTTCTACAATCTATTTTTAAGTTATTGCCTTTAGCCCTCATGATTTTGATATGAATTTTCTTTTCATCCATTTCAACCTGATTAAAAATAAGGAATTTGTGGATTTATTATACATTTGGTCTTTTCTTTTTTTAGAAGAAGAAAAGAAGAAACAAAGGAACCTCTTTATAGGCTCTTGTTCAGCTCTATCAAATCAAGTTCATTTTCTCTGTATGGTTAAATTTAAGATTTTACTTTGTAATTGTGTTAAACTGAACATGATGATATTCATGGCTTCTAAAACAGTAATTTGCCTATCGATGTGATACAAAGGTATTTTGAAACCTAACATTTTTTAATCAAACAGTGTTTGCTTTTTTTGCCATAATGACTATTGCAGAGTTCAGCATAGCTCTTCCATTTTGTTACATTTTGCATAACAAGATATTTTCACTTTAGCTTTTATATGAAGGATATCTTTGCTAGCTTTTTACAGTTTCATCATTTTAAAGATGATCTTTTGCATACAAGTGTTCTGAATGCATTTTTCGGATAGTTGGAATTTTTTTATTTACTTAATGTAAATAAGTAAACATGTTGTCTGTCTCTCACTTCATCACTTTCTCTTTTTCTTTCTCATCCTCCTGTAACATTCTATTTTCCCTCCCTCGTACAGTATTCATTTCCTTTTAAAAAGAAATAGGGGAAATTGTCATGTTATATTCTGTTTTACATGCATCCTTTTTACTGGGTAGAAGTTACTTGGTTACATACTTATACACTGTAGATAGCTGTCTTTATCTACTGGGAATTTGTTACAAAAGACATGGGAATTGATATTCCAACAGCCAGTCACTTGGCATAGTCACGCTCAACTTTTGTATATTTGACCACCTTGTTAATTGATGTAATTTCAAATGGATCAATTTCTGTTGTGATAGTGCTGTGCATTATTATGAAGAAAGAAAAAAACTGCAATAAATCTTTAGTTTGTTTGCTCCAAAAGTATCCCTTATCCACAATTAATAAATATGTAGAAAATTCATATTTCATTGGGTCATTTAGAGGTTGCAAGTGGTTTGTTTTTTGATGAATTTGAAATGATTTAGTCAATTTTTGAAGAGCATAGATAGGGTTTTGTTTAAATATGTATCCTTCAGCATAATCAAAGCTTAGTAAAAAGAAAAATGAGGTGGGTTATTTTAGAGTGTGGCTCATACTAAAATTTGAAATGATGCTTTGTCATTTAGTTTGAATTTGTTTGCTCTGATATTTCTGTTTGGTTTTATTGTTGGTAAATTGGCTTTTTGTTTAACTTGTGATGAAATATGAAACAGTTCTAAATCTGGAAAAAAAAAGTCTAGCGAGTCGTAATTTTGGACAGTTAGAGACGATAGAGAAAATGTGATTTCAAACTTCAAATTTCCAACCAAAAAAGAAAAAGAAAAAAAAAAATCATTTGAATCAGTGAATTTTTTGTAGTTTTGTAGTGTGATTATGCTATGACAGTTGTTTGTTGCTCGTTTTGAGTTTTCTTTCCCTTTCTATTTTTCACTAGAGCTTAACAGCCACTTCGCCTGTTTTTCTTGGGCAGACTTTTATACAACTCTTAGTAGCCATATTGATATATTTTTCATAGAACTTTTTGTGACATTTATTATTCTTATTACTATATATATAGTACAGTGTATACATCTTTTGAATGAAGTGTTTGTATTTTTCCAGTGGAGCATGATTTGAATGCGATTTTTTTTTTTCTAGGTAGAATATTTGAGATAAAAAAAAGAGAAAATTGAGAATTCATTATTTTTGGAACTCGCTTTACAACATTCCTATTCTAATATGTAAAGATTCGAGGCACTCTTTTCTGTGCAGTTTAGTTGTGTATTTTTTCACAGTTTTATTATGTATTTATATCAATGTTCAAGGTAAGAACCTGGGGAATGGTAACCTCACTACATACACGTTTATCTTCTTGTAAGACTTGAAGTGCAAAAGCAGTACATGTTATAGTTGACAAGAAAAAAACAAATCAATGTTGATGGTATTATACAAGCTTTGTATTACAGGTCCACAAGCTTTCAAGCAGCATATCAATCAATGTGTATGTTAGCGCTGCTAGCATTGGATGAGTATGGATCCAACCACCCATTGACTGTTAGCAATATATCCAAAATTGTTATGATACTACAATGCTGTATGTTAATTATATAAGATATCACTCCTAACCCTGTATACATCAACAAGCTTAGTATTTATATTAAAAATGAGCAAATTTTGTGGATTATGGTGTTATTAATATAAGTCCAGTGCACACATAACAGCACATCAATGCAAAACTGCTAAATAGAGCCTGCCTAGGACCTCGGTCACACTGACAAACCAATTCCAAACCGACACGTTCTTGGCCATTCAGTGAATGCTGTTTGGGTTATGACCGGTCTGGTGTTGGTCGAGTCAGTGTGACCGCGGTAGAAGTTATCCAAACTAGGTATGTCGATTTGATTTTTATTTTGTGATATTTAAGAGAGAAAGCTTTGTTTCAATACATATCATATGACCTGCTTTGCATTTGAAGTCTTGATCATAATCGAGTGGAAAACATCATTTTAGATTGAGCTCTGTTCTGATGTGCTGATGGTTGCGTTCCATACACAAGTTGGGCATTGTTTTCGTTTGCTTTGAAACTTGATGTGATAAACCTCAAATAAATGTTGAACGCTAATCTTTGTGATTTGTCAGTAGCTTGTCGTTATTGCATTTTCTCGTCGACTTTTTAAGGTGAATGAGAGAGACATAGAGAGAGATCGAGAGAAAGAGAGAGAGAGAGAGAGAGAGAGAGAGAGAGAGAGAGAGAGAGAGAGAGAGAAAGAAGGAGGAGGAGGAAAGAAATGGACCTTGGAATCGGGCATTGTAATAGAATTTAAAATAATTTAAATATTATTTATTTTTATGAGATTAAGGAGTCCAATGGAATAGCGTGATAATAATATAGATAAACCTTATTGTTAAACTGTTTATTGCTGCAATTTGTGGCCTTATTACTATCAAAGTCCAAAGATATTGCGTTAGAAAAACATTTACATGGATAAATTCCATAAATCCATAGATGAAAATACCAATGGTGATTGGCAGCTCGTTGCCAAGTCGTTTTAAGCCCAATTACACTTAAAATCCAGGATAGTTTATCTACCTGTCTAAATATTTGTATATTTTGCTTTTCACCACACCAATTCAAACAGCTGTCGACATTCTCTCCGCCTGTCTATCTCTGTCTGTCTTTCTCTCTCTCTTTGTTTCCTCTCTGTGTGTCCCTCTTTGTTTCTCTCTCCCTCTTTTATTCCTCTCTCTCTCTCTCTCTCTCTCTCTCTGGCATATGGACGAGAGAAAATATATAGGAAATCGATGGTAAGAGGGTGACATAAATCACACAGTGCTATTTTGTGACAACGCTCATCTAAAACGAGAGCAGAAAATCCCAATCAGTTTGTTTATATATCTCACCCAGATTGGGAATGGAATGCCTTCTCACTCAGTTATGAATCTAAGTCCTATGAAATGATCTTAACAAATTTGCCGTCGACGACTCTGAGAGATTTCCTCAAAACTACTTGGCTGTCAAATACAATAACGAAATACAAATAAATTGAATACAGTCCTTCAACTGTATAATGATTACGGAATGAGTCATCTGATTACTTGACTGCGATATGAAAGTGAAAAATAAAGTTCGTCTGAATTTCATTCCGAGCCATTTTGTTCCCAATATTTTGTATAAATTTCCCACTCTGATACGTGGGTTTTTGTTTCATCTGTCACTATCTCAGGAGACGTTATTCTACCCCTCCACCCCCTGATAATTTAGATAATAGTATCAAAATCGAATAAACTTACGTTCGACTGCATTTCAATTCCAAGCTTTTTGTTCAAAATATGTTTTTAATCCTTTTCCTGCAAACATGAATTGATGAATAAAAATAGAAAAATTATATTAAGCTAAATTATAATTAGAAAACTTAAAAACGTTGAATTGCAAGACGTTTCATTCCCATTGTTTTCATTCATTTCAAATTTTGATACATTAGTTCTTGAAAAAGAAGGGTTATGCATTGCCTCATGCGTTTATCAGGAGACGATGACCGCCCCTCAACAAAGACGGATAAATCAAATGGATAAAGATATAAACGGAAAAACAACAACATAAAAATACACTTGAAATTGCTGCTTTATGTTTAAACTGAGCCTTCCTACAAAGTATTTTTAAAATGTCACATTTTTATCATATTTTAGCCCAAAAAACGTCCTTAAAGTGGTGAGTTGCCAAATTAGTTTTGTTATAGGCAATGTCAAGATTGCTGTATTATGATTATGATGATGATGATTAAATTTCAAATACAGAGGGGCAATCCAACGTGATTAATTACCTCATAGTCTGTTAAAGCCTTATTTCCCTTATTTCCGTGACAAAACATACATTGGGATAAAATGTTACACTTTTTTTACTGTAATATCACGTTATACTTCTAAAATATACTTTTCGATACAATTTGGAAGAAAAAGGACGTAAACATGAAGCACAATCATTTTCTTGTTTGATTATTTCTTTCTTTCGTATATTTCTTAATTTTGTGGAGGAATGATATTGGTATTTACCATTCCAAGTCGAGATCAAAGTAATAATAATCATCGACTCCAAAATATCGGGTTGTGTTTTATGTATCACTTTGAGAATGCCAATATAAAATGTGACATCTGCAAAGAACCCATCTGTTGCGTGCCTGAGGCAAATATTTGTTCGATATTCAAATCAATTCCAACCTTCATAGCTGTTTTCCCCTTTGTTTTTACCCGTTTGATATGGATATGACGTTTGACCAGACATGTAGGGAAGTCTTCTTCCTGTGTTTTTCGATCTAAAAAAAAATAAAAGTGGGGGAAATCGATTATCTAAATTGAAAAATGGCACTTAACACATGTCACTCAGGCGGATTTAGGAAAATGGTGAGGGCGAATCGACGGCCCATAATCATGGAAAAGAAATAATCAGACAAAAACAAAGAACTAGTCTTTTAAGTGGTAAAGACAGCCAATGAGCCCCATATTTTTTTCTTTTTTAACCTCGAGAGTGCCAGTGGAATTCCAGCGAAGAAGTAATTCCTGATCTAAAAAAAAAAATAATCTAGATCTTTTTTAAACGCTCTCTTCTCTCAACCTCCAGTGTGAGTATTCCTGTTGGTAAATACTTTTTTAATATAGTTTTCGGATTTTTATTTTTATTTTGCTGACAATCCCCCCTCCCCCTCCACCACTCGGGGAAAGACACTGGCAGAAATTCCTCTGAAAATCCCAGTCTCGAAAAATGTCACCCTCTTACACCCTTATATAGTTATACTATGAGACTCTCAGATCGTCACTTCATGATGATGAATTATAACAGGCTAGAAATACATTTCATCCTTAAAAAATGTACCATTTTCAAACTGCGACAACGATAGATAAACTACACAGATATTGTTTGGAAGGATTGTTCTACATGTGGATGAGTAATGCACATAATTTTATTTGATTTGATTTGGTTTATCTATTTTTGTTTGATTTTCTTTTTCTTTTGTAGTTTTACGAATATACAACAAACAAATCATTGCAAATTTTATTCATGACAAAAGAGTATATGTAGAATAAAGTAAGGTTGGTTGTAAGAAATCGAAAACATCAATCACTATATTAGACACAAGTTATGTATGAATGTAGATTTTAAGTGCATCATTTAAATACAAAATCGCTCATGAAATAGCTTAACCTGGGATAAGTTATGCCCCTGGTTAAACAGTCGATCTACTACACAGCTCAGGCACGATCATGATAAATCGGCAGTTCCATGCTATCTCTGCATTCTTATAAAAGAATTGCCAATTCTCCAATTGTTATAAATGGACTAGTTTCATCGTCATGAAGGATATTCCTTTTTTTTCTTCTTCAAACTACTGGCATCCACCCCCGCCCCCCCCCCCCCCCCCACTCCGAGAACGGACGGACCCCATGCGTGTTGCCAAAATGTCCTTTTCGTAACAAAAGAAAAAGGTCGACCCGTATTGACTTTACACACCGGACTTTTGCTGAAAGGGGGGGGGGGGGGGTCGGTTGGAACACGCATATGCGTACCCTAAATAACACTGAGTGGGGGGCCGGGCATCCACCGTACATTAATCTTGTAAAATCTATCCAATTGAATTTAATATAATAATTGCTGTTTAACATTATGCTTTTTAATGCATGAAATCATTTCTTCGTTTGAGGTATTATTGAACTATATACATCTTATAACCTTATTGCATGTTTTCTTGTATTTAAAAGCAAATATGACAATAGAAGTCTGCTGACTTTTGTAATGTTCTTTTTTATAGTAAAACCGAAATGTGATTGAAATTGAATTCGATATATTCCTTTAAATTGATTTCTTTGGCGATGCAGGTATTTTTAGTGAGGTTTCTATAAACTTTGCGTATTTTTCTTTGGTTTCTGTGATGTGAAATTGCTCCGCTGAATAATTGATTTTGGTGGCATGCCAAATTCCCCCATCCAAAAGAGGAGAGAAAATAATATTGACATTAATTTATTCCATTACGAAATTAATTATTCCATCTACAGTTGCCATTAACCTCCTTTTGTAAAAAACAAAACAATAATACTGTCAAGCGGAATAATATAAATTGTATGAATACGCTGTTCGATAAGATTAATGGTCATAATTATGCCATTATTCAACCAAACGTGTCAAATCATTATGTGCCTGTCAGCATATTAGTGTACCCGTGTAAAGCGATCTTCAAAAACCATCCGGTTTCCAAGAGCGATGATCTAGTTATCGTACTGTAATGACATATTGGTGGTGGGGGAAGAGGAGGAGAGGGAGGGAAGGAGGAGGCGGGGAGAAGGAGGAAGGGAGCAGCAGGAGGAGCAGCAACAGGAGAAAAACAAGAAGAAGAAGAGAACGTGGAAGAGGATGGAAGGAGGAAAGGGGAAATTATGGAAGAGGAGATGGAGAAGGAAGAAGAGGAGAATGATGAAGTGGAGGAGGGGAGAACTAATAGAGATGAATGAAAAGGAAGATAAAGAAAAAGAGAAGCCAATAGCAGAAAGAGGAGGAGGAGCTGAACAGGGAAAAGAAGAGGAGAAATCAAGGGAAGAATGAGAAAGAAGAAAAGGAGGATGAAAGGTTGATGAATAGGAGGAAGGGGAAAGGAGTAGGAGAATAGTTTAATTTATAAAAAAAAGTTTTAAGTAGGCCTTCAGATAACAATTAGTGCTATAAATTTTAAGGTAAACTAGAAGGCTTGCTTAAGATTGTAAGATATAACTGCATAGGCGCATGGAAGGCATATTTCCTGTATCTTCTCAGTCATATGCAAACTAGATCAGATAATTCCTCAAGAATAGACAATAATTATGTATACATTTTGATTGCCCCCTTTCATCCTGCAGTCTATACTGCATGATTAATTTAGAAACTCTAATTGAGTGTGTACAGGGTGCAATTCGGCGTGAAGAAACGACCTATCGATGGCTCCATTTTGTCTCGGGGTGGCGTATCGTTTGAGATCGATATCGGAGACATAGGGAAAATCAAATTGAGCACATCAACGAGCATAGGAAAGGTATAGGTCTTTTTTTAATCCTTATTTTCTTTTCTTTTTATTTAGGAATAAGAAGGTTGATGAGGCCAATGAAA